ATATGAAATTCTTGCTTTAATCAATTGGGTTGTTTATTTTTAACAGTGATTGAGAAATTAATCAGTGAATTGAACACTCATTATCAAAATTGAGTGGTCAGCTTTAAACTGGACACAAGTACAAATTAAACGATTTATGGTGATTTTAAACAGTTTTTACGAATTTTTAAACAAAGATTGGATATTAAACAAATGTGAAAGAAATTAGTGCTAGATACACAAGATTAAATGATGCCTGGGTTACAGTGAAAGATGCATAACATTATTAGATATAATATTATTGGTCATTTAATTTTTCTTCATAACTCATGAAATATCTCAAAAAGTCTTTGCAAGTCATAATTAGATTCAAAATATTATAATTTTCTGTTTAATTTCTCTTGAGAGACTAATTTAATATTACTAATTCAAAGACAAACTGAAACTTTAAATTTTTATTCGTACATATTGGTCACTATTATTGTCAAAATACTGTAAAAAGTGCAATAATATTAATAAAGACAATTTTTGGTTGATTAAAATCAACAACTTCAATGGGACATTATCGCAATGTAGTGTAGACATGATCAACTTTTCAAAAATTTTTCTATTCCAATGAAATTAAAAAGAAGTTTCTTGACTGCAATCATATCAAAATCAGGTGAAACCATAGGCCTACTTGTAAATCTGCTGCTAACGCCTTTAGTCTTCTGTCGTACTGTTTTTTTTTTTATATTTTAATTAGAATTAGACTTGAAACAAAACATTAAAAATGTTAACTTGAATTGATAATTCAATGATGCTATTTTAAGTACCGGCAAGTAAACTTACCAACATCAACAATTAACCATCAAAACAGACAGTGACAAGATCAAGACTTCTAGCTAAAAAAAAAAAAATTATTGTAACATGTCTTTTAATTGCTTTGATCAAAATTAAACTAGCTAGGCATATACATTACAAAACACAGACAACAGCTGACCGTACCGTCCAGACAGTTTTATTTCTGTTTTACTATAAACAGACATACACGTCATAAACTAGATGAATAGGACTACTCGTAAGCTCCGGCATTTCGAATGAGACGTGCCGGTTTACCGTATGTCACCCACAGTCATTGCAAGAACGCAATACAAACCGTTTTTGTAAAGTGGAGAAATGAATTTCCAACATTGTTTTGCGATTAAGTTAGATTAAAACGAATTCTACATTTGAAAACTTACATAATGTGCCACAATATTCTTCTGTGGATACGTCCTTGAAAATCTCGCGAAGATAACATAGCGCAGCCATGCCCCTGGATTTTGTATAGAGAATCGATGCCTACCTCTCACTCACACATTAGTGTCGTAGCTATTAATTATAATTTTTTTTTTTTTTTTTTTTTTTTTTTTTTTTTGTAGTTTGTAGAAAACATCTTCTACATAAATCCGCTTGCGCATGTGAAAATTTTATTAAAAAGCTAATTATTCCTTCAATTTGACATATCTTGGCTTCTAATTAAGTTAGAAATTTGGCGCAAGCAGTATAATAAAATTTAGCAGTCCCTCTTTTTGATTGGGCAAGAATTCTGGATCTCCCGTGCATCCCTATTAGCTATCAAAGGACTTAAAATAGCATAGAAAGTTGTAAAAAACTGTGTGCCATGAAATTTCACTCCGAGAAATCCCTTGATATGCCATATGGGCTGTTAAATTGACAATTTCTCAACATGTAATTAACGTACCAAAAAATTTATAACACCATTGAAAGGCTTATTCAATGCTGATTAATAACATATATATCATTATAATTTTAAGTACAGACATCTGTTTACAAATTAGTGTCTTGTAATGTGTGTCCTGATTTTTGACGTCATCGATGAAAATTAGCCATGTTGACGTCACAGCATTCATAGCCCTACTATATGTTTCGATAAAAACAATACTTGAAAACTTTTGTAAACCCATTTATCACCAAAAGAAAGCCTGCATGTTTGTCCGTGTACTTCATCCATAGAAAGCACTATTGGACTTAATATTATTGCATTAGAATATTTATATTATTTGTTGTGGTAGATATGGCTATCCATACTACAAACACTAGAGGGGCTAATAAATAACTTCTATAACATAGATAGCTCCTTAATTATGGCTAACTAATAAATCAATCTGATTAAAACACAGATCCTATTTCGTTTTGTTTTGTATAGTTCAAAATTTTATTTTACTTATCTGTACTACACTAGGATCTGGAAGAGTTGTTATATAACCTGCGTTCTGGATGGCGTGAGGGATTAGCCAATGAAACCATCTGTAACAGCGACTTCTTGGCGGGTAAATTACTTGTGGGTAAATTACTAGAAACGTCAACGCTGATTGATTAATCAATGTCTGACGTCATAGGGTCAAAAGCTGTTCGTACGACCTGGCGCGACCTTTTACTACAACCTGTCAGATCTTCATGTAGTGTAGGCCATCAAAAGTATAAACCAGCGATTGACTGGCAAGGTATGCCCACATTTTTCAAGATGGATAGAGAACAAGCTAAAAACAAAAGAGATTTTTCGTACAATCAGGGGCCATAATCCAGGAAGTTACGATCCGATATGTGCAAATATCGAAAGGAACCAAGATCTTTGGCTTATAGACATCGATTTCAAGGTTCTTTAAAATCAGATGAAAATTGTCAAACTCGACCAACATTACGGTGTAATGGTGATATATTTATGCTTTTTTTTCCGATCAGATAAAAATTGTGACCTCTTAAGGGACCACAAGCTATAAACGTGATTTTTCGTACAATCAGGCCCATAATTAAGGAAGTTACAATCCGATATGCGCGAATATCGAAAAGAACCAAGATCTTTAGGTTATAAACATGTATTTCAAGTTACATCAAAATCGCATTAAAATTGTGACCTCTAGAGGGTCCACAACGTTGATATTTTTACCATATGTTGACACTATTTGCGTATGAGGGGCGGCCATTTTGTGCGGAAAATTTGGTTCGATTTTCACGAAATTTGAACACAACCGACATTATGGTGTAACACTGAAATATTCAAATGTTTTATTTAAATCAGATACTAATTGTGACCTCTGAGGGAGCACAAGCTTAAAACGTGAGTTTCAGACAATCAGGGGCCATAATTCAGGAAGTTACGATCCGATATGCACAAATATCGAAAGGAACCAAGATCTTTGGCTTATAGACAATAGACATGGATTTCAAGTTTCTTTAAAATTAGATGAAAATTGTTACCTCTAGTATGTCCACAAGCTAAAAAACGTGATTTTTCATACAATCAGAGGCCATAATCTATGAAGTTATGGTCCGATATATGCCAATATCGAAAGGAGCCAAGATTTTTGGGAAATAGACCTATATTTTAAGTTTTGTCAAAATCGGATAAAAATTGTGACCTGTAGAGTGTCCACAGGGGCGACGGTATAATACTTCCATATGAAAATTTGGGCTTAAAAAAAAGAACGAAACGAAATATATAGATAGAACTCAATGACCATTGAATACCACTCGGGTTATTCAATGGTTCAAGAGAGTGTATCCCTGCGCAAGTATTCCAGGGATACACTCGAGTGAACCATTGAATAACCCGAGCGGTATTCAATGGTCATTGAGTTCTGTTTTTATTCTATAACTACATACAAATCTTAAAATACACTGTACTATCTAGATTATCATAAAAAATCATCACCACTAAATCATCACCAGGTTCCGCCCTTTTTCTTTCTTTTTTACAAAAATTGTGGTTGCCTAGTTGTGACGTCATTACAGTTTGACGTAGTTCTGTAAGTGACGTCATTATGGACAAAAGTAGTACGTTTTCAAGCCATTGAATACAACTATAGGTTATTCAATGGCCATTGAATACAACTATAGGTTATTCAATGGCTGTATTCAATGGCTGTATTCAATGATATTTGCTTGTATTTGCATGTAGTTATAGAATAAAGATATGTATTTTAATCAGATTGCTAATAAATAGGTATTTAATTATTGAAACCCAGCACAAGTTGATATTTTTGTCCCCCGCCTTTCGAAGAAAGCAGGGGACTATTAAAATGGGTTCGTCCGTCTGTCTGTCTGTCTGTCCGTCTGTCCGTCCGTCTGTCTGTCCGTCACACTTTTTGGGACACAATAACTCTCTTCCTAATTGAGCTAGAATGTTCAAACTTGGTGTATGTGTTTATTAGGTCAATGCCTTGATGGAGTTCGAAGATGAGCATTTTCCGCTTAGGGTAAGCAGAGATAAGCAATTTGATTGGTTGATGCTTTGGGACACGATAACTCTCTTCCTAATTGGGCTAGAATGTTCAAACTTGGTGTATGTGTTGATTAGGTCAATGCCTTGATGGAGTTCGAAGATGAGCATTTTCCGCTTAGGGTAAGCAGAGATAAGCAATTTGATTGGTTGATGCTTTGGGACACAATAACTTTTAATTGAGCTAGAATGTTCAAACTTGGTGTATGTGTTTATTAGGTCAATGCCTTGATGGAGTTCGAAGATGAGCATTTTCCGCTTAGGGTAAGCAGAGATAAGCAATTTGATTGGTTGATACTTTGGGGCACGATAACTCTCTTCCTAATTGAGCTATAATGTTCAAACTTGGTGTATGTGTTGATTAGGTCAATGCCTTGATGGAGTTCGAAGATGAGCATTTTCCGCTTAGGGTAAGCAGAGATAAGCAATTTGATTAGATGAGCATTTTCCGCTTAGGGTAAGCAGAGATAAGCAATTTGATTGGTTGATACTTTGGGGCACGATAACTCTCTTCCTAATTGAGCTAAAATGTTCAAACTTGGTGTATGTGTTGATTAGGTCAATGCCTTGTTGGTTGATGCTTTAGGACAAGATAACTTTGATAGAGAGTGATGAAACTTAAGTGTATAGTTGATAATCAGTTTGATTGCTTGATACTTTAAAAAAAATAAATGTGCGATAAATTAATGTGTCATCTATTTATTTTGGTATTTTGGCGGGGGACATCAGCCTCACTGTTGGCTTGTTTTTTTTACAGCTTATAAGTCAAAACCAGGAACGATTTGTACGAATGTTAAATGCAGAATTGCCAGAAGAGGGTGGTGAGCAGCAAGCTGTAGGGGGAGGTAATCCATTAGCAGGGGGAACTAACCCACAAGAAGGTGTAATTCAAGTCACACCACAGGAAAAAGAGGCCATTGATAGGGTAAATATGTCATGTAATTGTAATCTTACATTTTGTCAGTAAAAAAATGATAGACAGACACACCAATGCTATTCATAAATCTAGAGTATAGGCTTATGTTCACCAGATGTGTCGACAAATCTATAAAAACTCTAGCTGGAACACTGAAGTGAATATTCGCTACTTCGAATCATGTTTAACTGAAGAGATTGAATGCACAACAGTTAGAAACAATTCTATATCCAGGACTGCAGTATTTGTATGGTCAGAGTAACCCACTATGGTTCATTCATATGAAGAATGTAAAGTAAACCCATTCATCAATTATGTAGAAATCTGTTATTGGTGTGATTAAGATCAAGGTGAATCAAAACATCCAAATTAGCCATTGAGAAAACATTTTCTTTCTGAGTTTTGCATGTCATGTCCAGTTGACATCAGCTTTAAAACATGACAAAATTATGATAAAACTATCTTCATGACTCAGTTCCTTATCAATATGGTGTTTCTGGTTTCATAAAAAGATTGCCTTGAAATATTTTCTTGACAAAAAAAAAAGTATGACGACAATTATCTTTTGATTTTTGGAGTCAATTCTCTATGTGGAATAACTTGATATGTAGTTTTATTTTTTATACATGATTAGGAGGTTATACTGTATAATGTATGGTTATGAAGTTTGTAATAGAAAGGCATGTATACATTGAATGAATAATTTCTATAATGGTCATTCTCCTGTTTCAGTTGATTGAAAAACAACTTTATTTTTTACTTCTTTCAGTTGAAAGCATTAGGATTTCCCGAAGGACTGTGTATTCAAGCTTACTTTGCATGTGAGAAAAATGAAGATTTGGCAGCCAACTTTTTGCTGTCTCAAAATTTTGATGACGACGATCAATTAAGCTGATTCTATGAATCAAGAAAGACTGTTGTGTATTAAGATCTATTAATATATCAGTGAAATAATTGAAGCGGCATTGTGAATTCTGGACTAACTGATGTCTAGACTTATTGGTGCGAGAGAAAATAATAATAATACCCCTGTCTAACAGTGAAGTTTTGTTATTATTTGTGACAATCGTTTATATAATAAGACAATCATATAAGCAAGTGTCAGTTTTACAAAGTTATTCTTCTTTAAGTGTTAATAATCCTTTGATTTTTTTTCCCCTTGTTGTAAGGCACACTGCAGACAGTGTGTTATCATTAATTAAAGTGACTTTTCTGGCCATTTTGTGAGCAATATATCATCTTATACACGCATTAAACAGTGTAAAAATTTGAAAGGACCACTATCAGTATATTCATTAGGTTAACTGTGAGTAAGTAATATAATAGAACAGTAAACTTTTTAGTGAGCTACATATTATGGTAACTTAACTCATCACAAGCCACGTTTCTCCATTACCCATATCTATGTATTTCAACTATTTGCATAAAGTAGAAGTAATGTTATAGACATAGCTTACTTTACAGTAAGTTACATTATTGAAGGCAAGCAAGGGATAGTTTATGAGAGGGTTACCTTCACCAAAGCTTAGATTTATCAGTATGTGTAATGTCTGCATACTGAAGACCAACAGCTGATGAATAAAAATTAATTATTTAGGCTTGCATAGACTTATTGCTACTTTTTATTGCAAGTCTTATGATTCTGTTGTAGCTTTTATATACACTTAAACAGAATACTGACAGTGGTTCTTCTTAACTAAAGTATCTCGTTGAAACATGTGTTGGCCTTGCAATTACATTTATTTTAATGTAAAAAAAATGCAATTATTTTAACTACTAATAATTCTTCTCATTAGCACATAATCTGCATTAATTGTTGTCATGCCAAATAATGAAGTGAAAACAACAAATAACATGGTGAAATGTATACCAGAAATCTGCTAGCAAAATTAATATTTCATTGATAGACAATTGCCGGTGTTTCACTGTTTCGTTAGTTATATAAATAAAATGTATGTATTAAAACTCAAAACATCATAGTTTCGTATGTTTAAAAAAGATAAAGTATGTGTTGTTTTCTTGAAAACTGCAACCCAGCTTAACCGTTAATTTTGAGCCAAGTTCATGAAATTTTGTAACTTTTGTGCAGTTATATTCAAAGTTATACATATTTTAAAAATAATGTTTAAAGATACAAAACCTTATGATCTGAGGTGTTAATTCGATTTGGTGCACAGCACATCATTGGTGGGACGTTTGTTGGTCTGATGAGTGTGTGGATGTTTGACAAAAATATCTACATAATTTTTGAAGATTTTTGAAATAATTAACTGAAAAGGCTAGATATCAAATTTTGTAAAGTGGGTTTAATACATGCATGTTGATTATTTGTTGAGTAATGGCCCTTGTTCACTTTGTGAAACCTTGTTTCAACAACAAAACTTATGCCTGAAATTTTATATATATGCTTTGTTGAAAATAGTGAAACCAAGAAGTTCGAGTTATGGCCTGTATTCACATTGTGAACACTCGAGCAACGAAAGCTATTGTCTGATCTGCTTGACTTTTATATGCATGCTTAAGATTTGTGAAATGAAGAATCGTGTTGATTTTCAACTAAGGTATTAACATTGTTCCGTTTGTAAAATTTTGTAAACACTGCAGTGGATCATCTAATCTGCTTGAAATTTATGGTTCAGATTAGTGAAATGAAAAACGTCTGTAACAGTTTCCATTAATCACTTCTAAAATCATTGCCCTTGCTCACTTTGCAGATAGTTTCCATTAATCACTTCTAAAATCATTGCCCTTGCTCACTTTGTAGAAACTTGTGAATGCTTTAACCTTACTTAAAGATTTATTACCCTTGCTTATGTCATAAAATCTTGTCAATGCGTGAATGATATACAATGTAAAAATTTTACATTTTACTTACTTAAAAAATTCACAATGCGACAAACTTTATGGACCGGTCATACAACTTTTAAAACTGCTTGGGCATATGTTTCATTGATTGGCATCACATCTTTGGTTATTTGGAAAATTGCCACTCCATAAGCTCTCTTCAGATTTGAATTCATAGCTGCATGCATGATATGATCAACTTACTTTAGCGTGTGCACACTAGATCAGAAGGTCTGTCATTGAGTCAAGTGGCATGGTTTTGATTCCCTGCACAACCTTGTGGGTTTTCTCCTACAGCTAAACACCCCGGCATGTAAGCGAATTATTAAGAGTACATGTATGCCATTAGTCCATTTGGAGGAGAACAGTAGAAAGTTAAACCCCATTTTATTTCATTTCACTTAGAATATATTATGCTAATGGTTGATTTTGTGGTAATGCTAGAAGGTGAGTCCCCATTACAACACAGATGCTTAAATCGACGGGTCATATCAAAAAGATATTATTTATTGTGGAAAATTCTTCTCCGTTTTAATTGGTCAAGTTAACTGTTATTGCCATAGACTGGAGGCCAGTATTATCACAAAATAAATCAGCCAATTATATTTTTCTCTTAAAGCAAAGAGGTCTAGCCAGTTGTGCTGTAGATAATTTTTGTTTCAGCATTTACATCTGCTCTAGAAATGTCTGATTCATTTATATCTCAGCTAAACATGTTCATTGCCAGTCAAACATTGTCTGTGGTTATTTCAAATTAAATTATTGTATTGATATGAAATTTGGTTTAACATCCTACCTTCGTTGCCCCTGTCTGTCTGTCATCTACAATGGCCCTTAATCACTTGGAAAAAATCTTGTGTGTGTCCAAAGGCTAAACTTACCATCTGAATGACATGGAATATATATACAGCTTTTATGTTCATGAGGCGAAGTAGCCTTGTGGTCGTATATTGTTGTCGCCCCCGTCCGGCATCCACAATTGCTTGTCGACACTCTATAGGCATGTTGATTATTTGTTGAGTAATGGCCCTTGTTCACAGTGTTTAAGGTCATGAGACGAAGAAGCCCTTTGATTTTCAGCGATTTTCGATAATTACTGCCAGAGTTATGGCCCTTGATCACTTCAAAAAATCTTGTGGACGCTCTAGAGGTCAAAGTTAATATCTGATTGACTTTAAATTGATACACAGTGTTAAAGGTCATGAGACGAAGAAGCCTATTGATTTTCAACGATTTTCGATAATTACTGCCAGAGTTATGGCGCTTGATCACTTCAAAAAATCTTGTGGACACTCTAGAGGCTAAAGTTAATATCCGATTGATTTTAAATTTATACACAGTGTTTAAGGTCATGACACGAAGAAGCCTGTTGATTTTCAGCGGTTTCAGATAATTACTGCCAGAGTTATGGCCCTTGATCACTTTGAAAAATCTTGTGGACGCTCTAGAGGCTAAAGTTAATATCCGATTGACTTTAAATTTATACACAGTGTTTAAGGTCACGAGACAAAGAAGTCTTCATTTTCAGTGATTTTCGATAATTACTGCCAGAGTTATGAACCTTGACCACTTCAAAAAATCTTGTGGATGCTCTAGAGGCTAAAGTTAATATCCGATTGACTTTAAATTTATAAACAGTGTTTGAGGTCATGAGACGAAGAATCCTATTGATTTTCAACGATTTTCGATAATTACTGCCAAAGTTATGGCCCTTGATCACTTTGAAAAACTTGTGACGCTCTAGAGGCTAAAGTTATCATTCGATTGACTTCAGATTGATACACAGAGTTTAAGATCTTGAGACGAACAAGTATATTGATTTTCAATGAATTTTTATGACTTGAACAGCTAAATCCATGATATTAAAAGTTTTGTATACTAAATGTTAGCATGGGGCAGAACTTTATAAAAACCAAAGAAATTTTAATGGTTTTCTGATAATTACTTCATGAGTTGTTACTCTTAATCAGATTTTAGTGTATTATAAATGTTTCATTACCGAAAAAAGTAAAAATATGCGACAACACTTGTTGACTGCCCGGACGATTTAGCTGCTCTGGGCGTATGTTTCATTGCCTGGCAACCTATCTTTATTTTTGTGGCTTATTTCACGTTAATATGTGCTCGGATTGATTATTTAGCATTTAAGTTAAAGTTTTTAATCCAAGCTGTGACATTATCTAGAGTCAATACTCAATTTTTCAAAAATTAACTAAGCGCATATTATTAGCATGGATTAAACCATAATAAATTTGATATTTTCCATAAATACAATAATATAAATTGGATTTGCTGAAAATTTCAGTGAAATTGATCACCCTGAACCGAGAATTTAGCGATTGAATTTTCAGCCTAGCCTCAATCATCATTGCTAAAGTCGGTACGATAAAAAACATAGTCTCGATTATCTATTTCATGATTTAATCATGAATGAAAGTTTAGCAGCAAATCGAATCCTAATACAGTAAATATCACAGGGTAGTGATGAGATCAAGAGTTGATTATGGTCTGGATAAGTAAATTAATCTCTAATTAATAATTTAGGTAACATTTCAGGTCTAAAGAAAGACCTACAATAGGTAGATTTAGCGCTTGCATAATGTATGGTTAATAAATACTTCCACATTCATAATGCATTTGTAAAGCAGCAGTGCAGGACAAAAGGCAGCCCATTAAGAATCCTCTAACAGACAGAAATCGAAATAAGAGTAGGCTGTAGCGCTGCCGTTCAGACATAATTTCTCTCATATCACACTCTATTTTTGAAGAAAGCAGGGGACTATTAAAATGGGTCCGTCCGCCTGTCTGTCACACTTTTTGGGACACAATAACTCTCCTAATTGAGCTAAAATCTTCAAACTTGGTGTAGGTGTTTATTACGTCAATGCCTTGATGAGTTTGAAGAGGAGCATTTTCTGCTTAGGGGGACACGATAACATTAAAGATACATTATGGGAGATGAGATAAAGAACTGGCAGTTCTCACTATAATTAGTATAATAGTTAAAAACTAGATAATGTAAAGGAAATTTGCTGAAAATTTCAGTCAAATTGATCCACTCTGAACTGAGAATTTAGCGATTGAATTTTCAGCCTGGCCTCGATCATAACTACTAAAGTCGGTGCGATAAAAAAACATACGTCTCAATTATACATTTCATGATTAAATCATGAATGAAAGTTGAGCAGCAAATCCAGTAAATATCGCAGGCTAGCGATGACATCGAGAGTTGATTATTGTCTGGATAAGTTAATTAATAATTTAGATAACATTTTAGGCTTAAAGGCAGATTTAGCTCTTGCATAATGTATGTTTAAGTGAGAGCGATCAAACTTGGTGTATAGTTTCATTACATCAATACCTTGACTAAGTTCGACAATGATGTTTTGGGACACGATAACTTTAGTTCCAATAAAGTGAGAGTGATCAAACTTTGTGCATGGTTTCATTACATCAATACCTTTAATAATGAGCATTCTCTGCCGATGGTCAGCAGAGCGATCATGTTCCTGAAGCAACGACTGCGAGTTTCACAATATCTGGCCGTTGCTTGTTTACTTCACAATTCCCGAACTTATAGCTATGTTATCTACAGACATGTGAGCAGTAGCGTCCAATCAGAGGTTGTGACATCGCGACCTCTCTGAAAACCTTAACATTGAATGAACCTTGAACTTTGCAACTCGATTATCACAGGTTGACATTTTAGCTTGAAAGCGCGAGACTTGGTATTGATCGAGGAATCTGATAGGCTCACAAGTTGGGCTTGTACCCAATCGAAATTAGTGCCGCAATATGCAGGGTATTAGGTGATGGCCTTGATAAGATGTATGTAGTTAAAGCGAGATCAAGCCTTCTATTGAAGATGCAGAGCGATAAGCAATATGATTGGTCGAGACTTTGGAACACAATAACTCTCCTTGTAACATGGACGGGAAATCTTCCTTTGTTCATTGAATAAGCAGATTGTTTTCCCTGTAGTAGATTGGGTGGAGCTTAACCATGCAATAACTAGACATGTTCAATGTTATTGCACTCTTTTGCTGGTTTACACTAGTTTTAGTAGAAATCATATAGAGAAGTGGGGTGGGTTTTCTGTGCAATAACAACAAGCATGTTGAGCAGGTGTCAATGTTACAAGTCATTTAAACCATGCTTCAATCGTTAACATGTTTAACATCTCGGCCTGTGGTCTTGATGTTTAAACCTGTTAACTCATGAAAGCTGTGCTATAAATATAACTTATAATTGAGGTAGAGTGTTCAAACTTGGTGTAGGCATTCCTTACGTGAATGCCTTGATGGAGTTCGATGATAAACATGATCTGCTTATGGTAAGCAGAGATAAGCAATTTGATTGGTTGATGCTTTTAGGCACGATAACTTTGGTGTAATTAAGTGAGACCGATGAAACACCGCGTATAGATTCATTATTATATCATTACCTTGAGTAAGTTCAATGATGAGAATTTTCTGCTTAGGTTAAGTAGCGATAAGCAATTTGATTGGTCAAGACTTTCTAACATAACAACTCTGCTTTTAATTGAGGTAGAAGGTTAAAAATTAATGTAGATGTTCATTAGGTGACTGAGTTTCATGTTGAACATCTCCCGCTTAGGCTAAACAATTCCTTTGACTTGGATTCTATCTGATAGGAGTGATGAAACTTAAGTGTGTAGTTGATAATCATTTTGATTGCTCGATACTTTTGAAAAAGATAAATGTGCAATTAATTAATATGTCATCTATTTATTTCGGGATTTTGGCAGGGGACATGTGTTCAAGTAATTGACAATTTTGCACGATGTATGCAGGTTTGCCTTCAACGCTGCAGAGGGCATTTTGGAAAGAACATGACTTATGCAAAGCCACCAAGATAACAAACTTTGGTAAATGATGTGGGGGGGGCAGATTGTACAAGACAATTAAATAACATTTACCAGTAGAAATTCGATGTGATGTCCTGTAACTACATGTATATGACACATTGTTTCAAACTGTAGAAAGGGAATTCAATAAACAATGTAATGTCAATGTTATATTCTTAATTTACTTATCAGCGACTCTAATGTTTATATCCCTTTCAAAACATTTTCTCTCTTTCTTGACTATTTGTTCTGAACATTCAACCTTCTTCATACCAACAACAGTTTGAATTTATAACAATAAAAATACTTTGTAATTATTATATATATTCTTCTATGGACGGTAACATAAATTGTCAATCAAAATTAGCTTTAACCTAATCTAAATAAACACCAAATACCATACCAACTGCATGAAGCATGGGTTGATTGTATTGTGAACATACAAAATTATCATTATTTTCATCCCAGCAAAAACGAGAAGCAACACTCATACTCTGTTGGGCATGTTCTGTGATGATTACAATACATATTATTCTGTAGCGCTTCATGTTTAGTAGTTTAACTTTCTCCTTGATAAGATCACTCAAGTAAAGACAAGAGCGTGCAGAAGTCACTGGATCATATTTTTCATCCCGAAGTTCTCGCTCAAAGACATCCGCAACAATATTCTCAACTTTCTTTGTTTGAAATTTAACGTCTGGCTCTAGTTGATAGGTGTTTTCGTATCGAATAAACTTCTGTTGGTCCAAAGTGCTGCAACTATTTCTGTCTGGATCACGACTCGAGACTGAGATTGCCCTGTCCTTTCTGGTTACGGTGCTTGCTCTTGGTCGGATTAAGGCATTTGTTGGAGTCTGGATTTGAGATATTTTCCGAACCATCGAAGTTTTATGTTCAGAACTCTGGATTTGAGATATTTTCCGAACAATCGAGGTTTTGTGTTCAGCACTCTTTTCTTTTGGCAAAGATTTGCGATCCAATTTCGGAGCTGTAGTTCCACTTCCCATCATCATCTTGAAATCTGTAATTAGATATTAAATAAATATTTTAAATGCGTTTAAGATGGACAAGAGAGATTGTAGTTAAATATAATTTAATTCCCACCTTTACTTAAAGGACTCCAATGACCAAAAAAGTTATTAATGGTCTTTGTAAATATGCCAATATTTATACCATTATCCAGACATCCTTAAGATACATTATAAGAGATTAGATGAAGAGCTGGCAGTTCTCATTATAATTTATAATAGTTAAAAACTAGATAATGTAAAGGGAATTTGTTGAAATTTCAGAGAAATTGATCCACTCTGAACCAAGATTTTAGCGTTGATCATCATTACTAAAGTCAGTACGATAAAAAACATAGTCTCGATTATCCATTTCGTGATTAAATCAAGAATGGAAGTGGAGCAGCAAATGGTATCCTAATCCAGTAAACATCGCAGACTAGCGTTGACATCGAGAGTTGATTATGGTCTGGATACGTTAATTAATTAATGTCTAATTAATAATTTAGATAACGTTTCAGGCCTAAAGAAAGTTCTGCAATAGGCAGATTTAGCTCTTGCATAATGTATGTTTATATTTAACAAATAAATAAAAGCAGAGAAATAAGGCATTAAAGAAGGGTATTCTAAATTAAAATGGCCGATCACACCTGAGTGCAGCTAAACATAATAGTACCTAAGTCGTCAGAGCAGTCCATGAAGACTCAAATGTTGATTTTTTCAAGAGTTTTTGTGTTCCAAAAGATGCGACAGATGGAAAGGTGGGGATAAAAAAAAAACTTCACAAAGAATGGGCTGGCTTGTACAAACAAATAGCAGAATTATTATATTATTGATTTAATGAAACTATACACAAAGTTTCCCCACTCTCACTTAATTAGAATCAAAGTTATCATGTCCCAAAGCGTTGACAAATCAAATTAATCGTTTATGAACCCAAGCAGAAAAAGTTCCTTATTGAACTATTCAACGAGGCTTTCAACTAACGAAAAACTATAAAAGGTTTGAACATTCTACTTCACTTAAAAACATACGGACAGACAAATGTATGGACAAACAAACTCATTTTAATGGCCCATGCTCCCTATCAAAGGCGGAGGGCAAAAAAAAACCTTCATGAAGCATTAGCTGGCTTGTACAAAAATTTAGTTTTATAGAATATAATTTATAGTACCGATAGCTAAATATTTTTGATTTAGGTAAAAATTAAGTATTAACATACTTTGATCTGATGCTTTATTTTGAGTAGTAATGGGACAATGTCTACATTATTACATTATTGTTTTCAAAGATTATGTTAAAAAAAACTGTATAAATTTACTTCTTAAGAAATTTCATTGAAATTAAATATAACATTCCATATCATAACAAAATTTATGGAGCATTAATATATTTACCTATAAAGTGGACTGGTTGTTAACCAACTATAAGATTACATTCCTATAAAACACATAAAGAGAGTAACTAATTTTCACAGAAAACTAAATGAAATAGAATTTCAACCAGAACATTGAACTGGTGTACATTTTATATCACTGGCCAATAGAATAAAAGATCTGAATCTGTTTCTTGTCAAGATTGACTGTGTAAAATTGACAGTTTATAACCTGTACAAAAGGGTCTATTGAAAGAGGTATCTTTGGGGACACTATATCACTTCAGTAATGTGATAGTTATTATTTATGGGCTTTCTATTGACCATTTAACCTACTAAGATAGCATAATTCATCACTATTATAGACTTCAAATATTTCCTCCTTTAAGAGCTAACATGCCCATTTTTATTTGATGTGTGTCCTTCTTTCCTTGCACATACAATGAATTGATTTCTTATCATATTGAATATCTATGTAACTAACAAATGTGACTGTATTTATAAAATTGTCTTTCATTATATATAGTATATACTGGCAGTATAGTCTGTAAGTAAATATATGTACAACTACATATCCATATAAAAGATAGGTTGCCAGACAAGAAACTTGAGCCCAGATTGTTTTTAATAGTTGTCACCATTTTATTGTTTTGAAATTTTGCATCAAGGTTGTTTTTTTAAAAACATCTAACAAATTATTGAACTACATTTCTTGGTTTTGATGACAAGGGTAATGACTCCAAGAACAATTGATGGTCAATTTTGAATTATAATAGGGCTCATCCTTATAAGCCTAACCAGTCAAACAATTCTAAGAAGACATTCACACTTCTGACTATCCAAACAATGACACATATGAAATAAACCAGCAGCTGCCACGCAGGATACGCCCACATTTTGCAAGAGATGGATAGCGAACAAGCTAAAAACAATTTTTTGTACAATTAATCCAGAAAGTTATGGTCAGAAATGCGCAAATATCAAAAGCGACTGAGATTTATGGAATATAAAGATATGTTTTAAGTTTCATCAAAATCGGATAAAAATTGTGACCTCGAGAGGGTCCATAACCTTTGTATTAAATACTTATACACAATTTTTGTACAAAGAGCGGCCATTTCGATTTTTCCCGAAATTCAAATTCAACCTTCATTATGGTGCAATGGTGATATATCTAAACGTGTTTTAAAATCAGAAAAAAAAATGTGACCTCTAGAGAATCCACAAGCTAAAAATGCCATAATCCAGGAAGTTACTTTCGGATATGTGTGATTATCAAAAGGAACCAAGATCTTTGTGATAAAAACATATATTTAAATTTTCATCCAAATCAGATAAAAACTGTGGCCTCTAGCGGGTCCACAACCTTGATATACCATATTTTTAGTTACACTATCTGCGTACAAGAGGCGGGTGGGTATGTCCGTCAGTTTTTGTCAGATTTTCACGAAATTCAAACTCAACCATCATTAGTGTAGAACTGTGATATATTCACACGTTTTTTTTTAAATCAGATAAAAATTGAGACCTCTATAGGGACCAAGGCAAGCTCAAAACGTGATTTTTTGTACAAACAAGGGCCATAATTCTGGAAGTTACGATTCGATATGCGCGAATATCAACAGGAACCAAAATCGTTGGGTTATAAACATGTATTTCAAGTTTCATCAAAATCAGATCAAAATTGTGACCTCTAGAGGGTCCACAACCTTGATATACGATATGTTTACATAATTAGCGTACAAGGGGCGGCCATTTTGTCTGACAGTTTTGATCCGATTTTCACGAAAATTGAACTCAACCATCATTAGGGTGTAACAGTGATATACTAAAATGTTTTTTTTTTAAATCAGATAAAAATTGTGACCTCTAGAGGTACCACAAGCTAAAAGCGCGATTTTTCATACAATCAGGTGCTATAATTAAGGAAGTTACGATCCGATATGCGCGAATATCGAAAGAAACCAAGATCTTTTGGATATAAACATGCATTACATGTTTCATCAAAATCTGATGAAAATTGTAACCTCTAGAGGGTCCACAACCATGATATACCATATTTTTATACTATTTGTGTACAAGGGGCAGACATTTTATCCGGCAGTTTTGGTCCGATTGTCACGAAATTTGAATTCAACCAACATTAGGGTGTAACGGTAATATACTAAACCCTTTTTTTAAATCGGATAAAAATTGTGACATCTAGAGGGACCACAAGATAAAAACGCAATTTTTCGTACAATCAGGAAGTTACGATCCGATATGCGTGAATATCGAAAGGAAACAAGATATTTGCATTGTAAACATGCAGTTTAAGTTCCATCAAAACCGGATCAAAATGTTTTTTTCGTACAATCAGGGGCCATAATCCATGAAGCTATGGTCCGAAAGCAACCAAGATCTTTGGGAGATAGACCTATATTTCAAGTTTCGTCGAAATCAGATAAAAATTGTGACCTGTAGAGTGTCCACAAACAAATTGTGGACGGACAGGGGCAACGACAATATACATCCACATGACAATAATGCTGCAAATAATTGATGCAAACAAAATTTAATAGTCTGATAGGTTACTGGTACCACGATCCAAGCAGCTTTGGAAAAAATCTCAAAATCTACAGAGCGATTAAAAGTTCAGGGCAATATGTCTGTAAATATATGATGATGACTATGACTTTCCATTACGTTCAATCATTCATATCTGTCACTAGTTAAACAGTCTCAACAAGTGTGAAAGAAATCTGTAAAAAAACCTATAAATTTGATTGTTTTCACAGGTTTTCGGAAAAGGGGGACTACCTCTGGTATACTGAAGATCACGGAATGCTGAATATCAATAGGGTTCATCCCAGGGTTCTTAATCCATTTTGAAATGAACCTGCCAGAATTGGGTCAAATAAAGTTCCGGTAGGAAATAGGTTAATTATAAGCTTCCATTCCCTTTAATATAACCAGACTTCAACAAAAATAATTCTTGGTAATTTGTTATGGAGATCGAATCTCAGATTCTAATTTTCCATATTTAATTCATGTACCCGGTTTAAAGTTGATTACTGTCTTGGCTTCATACTTTCATGACCTAATGCTTCTCACCAAATTTGAAAAAGATCCATCAAAAACTGTAGCTTACATCCTGTTCACAAGCCAATTGGCAGACCAACTGACAGGGTGTCGACATAATATGCCAACACTGAAATGTAATATAATTAATACTAACTGAAGAAATTAAATGTACATTATATTATACTTATTAGACTATCATCAAATTATTCATCATTGTTTATTGTAATGTTTATTGGGAAATGATGTGTATGACAATAAAACTGATGTATGGAATTACTATTCCATATCTGTACATTGAAGTTAATGTGACTGGCAATAGGTTACATTTTACCCATTAATTTCTTACTTGTTTTTATTTCTTGGTTAAAGTAGTATTTTTCATTAAGTAATTTAGTTGAATAATTTGGATTTTTTCACATGCCAATCAGTAGGGGAGTAAGTGTGTGCAACAGTTACAATTATATTATTAAAAATTCATTTCTGAAAAAAACAACAACATTAGGATGATTTGAATAAAAGACAATGTATAAAAACATACCTTCTTTTTCAACCTTTCCTTATTTATATTTCTAGTTATCAGAATAACAATACAGATCAGCAAGCATACATAACCAAATTAAACATTATTTTATACATTTCCAAATTGCCAATCCAAGGATAACTAATAGATTCAATCAGCTATAAGTGGTTACTGAGGTATTTTGGCCATTTGTAATAATGTTGTTTTTAGTTGGAGATAAGGCTAGGTTATGTTCATCAAAGAGGATCAACCACAATACTAAAGAATTTGTATTTCACATTATGTCAATAGAATGATGTTTAACTGTCCACATCCACTCGACACAAACTAGGTCATTTCAGGAAACTACTGATTACAATGCAGATTCCATTTTGTTTCATTTGTTTTATAGCTCAAATTGTGTTTGAGGGCTCAGTGAATAAGGCACTGGCTTGCTAAACAGGAGGTCCAGGGTTCGATCCCGGTGTTGACCAAGAATTGTCCTCAGAATGTTCCAGCACAATTTCCCTTGTCAGTGACGCAGAATAGAGGGCCTGCAAGGAAGGTGTCTTGTCGTTTGGATGGGAAAAAAGTGAGGTCCTGTGAACACCTTGGCGGGCAGGTGAAAAAGCCCTTAACAGTTGGAATTCAACTGCTGTCTGGGCAAAATTTCCCTCACATTACACATGGCATATGCTTGTCTAAATTAGCCCAGTCTGTTTAGAAATGTAAAATATAAATAGTCTACATCATTCAATCAGGTTCACCATTATTTAACAGTGCCGTGGAACAAAACAAAACAAGTTAAATATAAATAGGCTATGTCATTCACCATTATAGCCCCAGCCATGACCTCAAATGCAAATCCGTGAGATATATATTTTGAGAAACAGAACAAGAATTATAGCTCCATTTTAATGAGATTGAAAGTATTTTTTTAAAACCTGTTTATCTTATTACTACAAATGTTTAATTTCATATAGGGTAATGTTTAATTTCATATTTACATTTAAATATTTGAGTGTCTCAATAAATCTTAAATATGTCACCACCATGTTAAAGTCTAAACTAATCTTGTTCAAAATGGATGAGACACTTTAAGCGATCTCCAGTTGTTATCTAGTTAGTAATCAAAATATATATTGATTTTGAGACAATTTATTAAATTATAAGGATTGAATGACAGGGACAACATATATTACAATGATTTATAAGTATTTTGTTTATCATTTGATAACATGTTAGAATACTGAAAGATTAAACACTCTCTTATTAAAGATGCATTATGTAAGAGCTAAATATTTAGATATCTATTATCATGAACAGCCTACATTCAGCCCTTCAGACCATTGGAGGGTGGAGATACAGTCTCGATTGTCAAATACCATTGCTACGATAATAAACAATCTATACGATATAGCTTGTCAAAACTTCAAACACTCATAACTTCACTAAAAATAAAGATATTTGAATGAAATTGTATATTCATTTTTCGCTATCTATGTTTGTGGGTTAATAGTTAATTACAAATCTATTCATAATTAAATTTCTAAATGAACAGTTAAAATCATGATTTTCTTTTTTTTTTTAAAAATGCAGTCAAATATTTTGGTCAGTGTTATTCTGTTGGCATACAAGAGACAACTATACTCCACCAGACTTCCTGGTTGGCAGCACAAAACGAACCAATCGACTGACCCTGTGTCTACTATCAATATAATATATTACCTTTTACACCTTCAGTCCATAGCCTGATAATTTATAAACATAAGTGTTATAAATGTCTTCCAAGTCTCCACCAAATATATCTTTAACTTCCTCATTGCTTTCACAATCAATAACTTTAAACTCATGAAACCTAAAAAATAAAAATAAATAGATTTAATCATTTTGACAATTTAAATATAAATTATAAATAGCCTCTTATGTCATATTCAAAGAGGCATTGATACTTTGTAGATCTTGAATAATTAGTAAAAATTGATTTTCAATTTAATGTTATTGGATTACAAAGTTTCATAGTCCATGTTCTTATTAGGTTGTATACAAAATTTGAGACACACTATCACAATATATACACATTATTTAGTCACATATTAGTCAACTGGACTTTTTTTTTAAAATCCAACTTCCAACGATTCTTTTACCAACATGTCAATGTGCCATTCGAACAGCTAGGCACACTTTTCTTATAAGCACAACCCCGGTTTAATAAGGAGTTAAAGGTAGATTGATTTTTGATAATTAAATTAGTCTAAACTCTTACGTTATTTTGAATATGATATTATTGAAGAATGATAATGCTTAGAATTTTTTCTCTCATTAATTTAAGACCAGAAAATAATTGGGAACCAGTAACACTAAAAATAATCTTAACAAGCCAACAGTGAGGCTGATGTCCCCCGCTGAAATACCAAAATAAATAGATGACACATTTTAATTTATCGCACATTTATTTTTTTCAAAAGTATCAAGCAATCGAACTGCTTATCAACTATACAACAAGTTTCATCACTCTCTATCAGATAGAATCAAAGTTATCTTGTCCTAAAGCATTGACCAATGAAATTGCTTAGCTCTGCTTAACTTTAATTAGCTCGAAATGTTAATCATTGAACTCAGTCAAGACATTCAACTAATGAACATCTATATCAAGTTTAAACATTCTACCTCAATTAAAAGCAGAGTTGTTATGTTCCAAAGTTTTGACCAATCAAATTGGTTATCTCTCCTTCGCCTAAGCAGAAAATTCTCATCATCGAACTTAGTCACGGTAATAATATAATGAATCTATACTCGGAGTTTCATCACTTTCACTTAATTATAACCAAAGGTATCGTGCCCCAAAGCATCAACCAATCTCTGCTTACCGTAAACAGACAATGTTTATCATCAAACTACATCAAGGCATTCACCTAATAAACGGCTACACCAAGTTTGAACATTCTACCTCAATTAGAAGGAGAGTTATTGTGTTCCAAAAGTCTCAACCAATCAAATTGCTTATTGCTCTGCTTACCCTGAGCAGAAAATGCTCAAGAGGTGGCCATTCTTGCTATAATAATTCAAAAATAGATGATGAAAAAAGAAAATGTTGAAAATTTCAGTCAAATTACTTTGTTCTGAACGGAATTGTCACTGTTGGAAATTTGGACTAGAAATAGGCATCAATTGTGTCTGCACCGTCTATGAGAATTGGCAATCGTTTGATTGACAGATGATAACTCCACCCACATATTCTCGATTATCAAGTAACATGCTCAGTGGCTATGGTAGCCATGCTTGACAGGCCTTTCATCACCAGTTTCCGGTAGTGACATCAGCAACTAACGGTAAATGTTAGCTTGGTCTGCCATTTATTGATTTAATTTTAAATGGACGAATGTTTAAATCCACACTGTACCCAAGCCATCAGTGGGTCTACAGAGTTGATTTTGAGCTTGTCGTGTAAATAAAGGTCAAATTAATAATTTCTATAACATCTGGGCCCTGTTTCACGAAATTTTAACTTAAGATAAAATCCAAATTTTAGTAGATACTTCAATTTTGATTGGCTAAGCACTAAAATCAATTTAATATTATCCAATCAAATTACTGAAATTTGAATTTTATCTTAGTTAAATTTTCGTGAAACAGGCCCCTGAAGCCTAAATAAAGACTTGCAATAGGCAGATTTAGCTCTTGCATAATGCATGTTTAATCAGAACTAAAGTTATCATGTCCCAAAGCATCAACCAATCAGAAAATGCTCATCTTCGAACTCCATCAAGGCACTGACCTAATAAACACCTACACCAAGTTTGACCATTCTAGCTCAATTAGAAGGAGAGTTATTGTGTCCCAAAAAGTGTGACGGACAGACAGACAGACCCATTTTAATAGTCCCCTGCTTTCTTTGAAAGGCGGGGGAAAATTAATGATCAATATAAACACAATTTCTCTTTCAAATGAGATGGGATATCATTTCCTTGTGTAATATAATTATAGATGTGCTGTCACCATTCCAATACAAACAAACTTCATTTACTGAAACTTAGTGAAAGTGAATGCTATGAAAAGACCTCATTATTATACTTACATAACCTGTTTATCCCAGGGTTGTTCACATAGTACTGATAACATTCTTTCTTTACAACTCTGACCTCTTGAATCAACATCTACATTTCTACTCCTGTTGCGAATAATATACTCCTTTCAAAATTGAATAAAGAAAATTCCAATATTAATGGTTCACTGTTTATTTTTATTTTGGCATTTGTTAAAGCTGTACTCCTTTTATTAAATTAAGCTGCTTGTTTGACAAAATAATTCAACTCAATAAGTACAGTACTTTGAAAAAATGTATTTCTCTCAAACCTTTTTAAATCATCATTGTATTAAATTTTAATTAGGAGTGCAAACTTTGATGCCAAACAGATATGGTGAAATATACTAAGCAGCAAAAGAAACGTCAAGTGTTTTTATTGTATATTTGTGACCACATCTCCTACTTTACCTGAGCAATAAGGCTAATTCCCAATCACAGAATTGAACCCAGGAAATGTTCTCAAAAACGCAACCTGACTTCTGAGATGGTAATGTGTTCTCCATGATTTTCATGTAACTTATGCTGCACACCAGATCCAGCGCTATAAAATGCACCCTCATACCTGGTTGAATCATTCACACTACAACGTCAGCAACATGCCACAACTCAGAGGAACCAGGCACTTCGAAGACTCGACGCTGGCCACACTGCCCAAGCTGTTGCCAATCACTTCCAGGTCAATGTTCGGACCATCTACAGGCTTCAGCAACGCTTTCGGGTCACCAACACCACGGATGATCGCCCCCGAACTGGTAGACCAAGGGTTACCACAAGGCGACAAGACCGCCATGTTGTGCGACAGTATGTGCAGAATCCCTATGCACAGGCATCTGAGAACAGCACGTCAGACAGTGGGAACAGACAGAAGATCCATCAGTACCGATTTAGTGCGCCAACGTCTCACCAGAGAGAACATCCATTGCCGTAGACCTTACCGTGGACTGATCCTCACCCATAGCCATCGACGTGATCGTCTACAGTTTGCCCAACAACACCCGAACTGGCGACACAGGCAATGGAGAACTGTTCTGTTCACAGAGTCCATATTGCGTATCAACTGCATATGGCAGGACCAGAATATGGCGTCGAAGTGGCCAGCGTTATTCTGACCAATGCGTCATGGAACGAGACTCATGGGGAGGTCCAAGCATAATGGTTTAGGGTGGAATCGGCCAGAGAGTGGGTCCTGTGGTGTTCAAAATCTTGGTCCAGGGAGAGGAGGCAGCATCACAGCAGTGCGCTATATTGATCAAGCTCTCAGACCCCACGTCATACCACATTTTGTACGTCTCGAAATGTTTTCCAGCATGACAACGCCCATGCCCACACCGCCAGAGTTACTCGGGACTTTCTACAGCAGAACGGTGTCAACGTTATGCACTGGCCAGCCCTTAGTCCGGACTTAAACCCGATTGAACAGGTATCTGTGGTGTACAGACACTGCGCTGCTGTTATTGACACTTGTGGTGGACACGCCACATACTGATGTATAGACTGTGTACAGACTCTAAACCTTCTCGTAATGTCTTGGAATTGTGATGAATTAATCACTAATGTGTCAACATACAAGTTCACAAAAAAATGCTTTGATCCATTTAGTAAGTCCTTTTCTAGAATGATTTGATTAAAGTGCCTCTTTGATTTTGAAATCGTACTGTTTTTTTTTTGCTGTTTAGTATAATTTATTGTATATGATCTGAAAGTATAATATTTGCCTTAATTAGACTGGGGAAATGAAATTAAATGAAATAAGGTTTAACATGCTACTTGTCTGTAATTTTACGTCCACACAAACATAGACACAGAATCTAAATTTTTCGTCCAATCCAAAAGCTTTGACACTGTTCCTTACCAGACCTGCACCACCTACAAGGGGAAACCATGCTGGAAAATCCATGGGGATATTCTCAGCCAACACCGGTCACCGGGATTGAACCCGACCTCCTGATTAGTGAGCCAGCACCTGACACACTGAGCCACCACAGCTTCCTTTTAGACAGGAATACTGGGGTTATAACAACTTAGAAACGATGTAAGATACCTTTAAATGGCAAGTGCTTCCTATTAATAATAAGAGAATAAGTCTTTTAAAGAAAATAAGTCTTCCACACAGATTTAATTCATTTGTCCACTTCTTTATCAATTTAATGTAGGATGCTCGAGCTCTCATGTGATCTAAATGTATCAGCATAATACAATTCCTTCTGTTTTTGTGAATTTCTGTATTTAAGGATCTGCCTACTATTTCTGTTGACAACTCACCAAGTTTCTCACAGAGAAAAGTAATTATATGCAATAAAACTGGTGATCCCAAATTTTCCTTGATTATATCTGTGACTTCTTGTCGAAGGCTTTTTAACACTTTTGCTGATAGTTCACAACTAAATAGGGATATTTCTGGTGCTGTACTAGGATAAGAACTGGATAGAGCTATTTTGACATCCAGAACAATTCTTTCTTTTTCCTCCTCTTTTTTCAGCTTCAATGCAATGTGTCTTCCATTCCTCGAATCTAAAATGAAAAATAAGGAAGTTGAGTGACTGATGACAGATTAAATACATGATTACAGTTTGCCTGGGGAGGGGTGGGGGGGGGATGACTCGATAAATAATTACCCCAAAAAAACAAATGATTAATAGGTTTCTGTACATTGTATGACATAAGTCATTATAAGCTCTACATCATATTACACTACATCTCTAAGTAAACTTGTAAATTGTCTTTGCTCATTAAAATATAGGTTAAGTCATAGATCTCTCCAAACCATGTATACCTCATTTAATCCTCCTCATTTCGAATACTGTGATGTTATATGGGATGGGAGTAGCGCCGAACTAACACGTAAACTAGAACTTTTACAATTAGATGCACTCAGGACTATATGCGGTGCTGTGAAAGGTACAAATCACCAACTGTTATATAAGGAAACTGGTTTTATCACACTGCAGGAGAGAAGAAGGCAACATAAATTAATTTTATTCTACAAAATCATAAACCATATCACTCCTGAATACATGTTTCAACTGACACCACCTTAAATAAATTCTTATCGCCTACGAAACCAAAGCAACATCCCAACATATTTCTGCAGAACTTCGTTATTTTCTTCTTCTTTTATACCATCTACAATTTTTTGTCTTTTAAATCTAAACTCATCTACCTTGATCAAATTATACCTTTAACATACTACTCTTGCAGCAGGAAAAGTCAAATTCACCATTCGCGCCTTCGACTCTCTTGCAGTGATTTAAACGGACATCGTTTCACAGACATATTTCTGACAGCCCTACATACGATTGTGGTCATGCCTTTGAAGACTCTGAATATTTTCTCTTAATTATCCCCCTTACATTCAGATGCACGATCTGCGACAATATCAAAACTTCCACAACTTTATCAAAATTCATTATTCGGAACTGAAGACTGAGACAATTCTGAAGAAATTCTTTCTGTAGTACATAACTTCCTCGAAATCTCCCAAAGATTTTGAAAATTCTGTATGAAAATGAATGAAATATAAATCTTTTGATTGTGGTTTGTACATATGGTGTATATAGTGTATATAACCATCTTATAATTTAATCGTTCTCTACTTCTTTAAATGACATCTAGAAGCTCGGTTAACTATTCATAACAAAACATTCTCTACTTTATTTTCTTTTTTTTCTTTACATCTTTTCAATATATATTTATGTTTGTACTTTTATGGAGAATGGGGTTATAGGTTTCTGCCTGTTCTCCAATCCAGTTTATGTGAATAAATATTGTTTAAAAAAAAAAATTACTTATTTTAAAAAATTGTTTTCAGTACCAATACTGCTCTCTGAAACTTATGACAAGAAAACGTGAATAAAAATTAATCCAGAGCCATTCTAGGAATTGTGATGACAGGGCACAAAAATCTAAAATTTACTGAAATACTGACTTAAGGAGTTTAAAGTCCAACCTCTGAACTGAGATCTTTGGGTTATAAACTTACATTTCATGTTTCATCAAAATAGGATTAAAATTGTGGCATTCTATAGGGTCCACCTCCACAACCTTGATATACCATATATTTACAATATTTGTGTGCAAGAGACGGACATTTTGTCCGGCAGTTTTGGTCTGATTTCCAAGAAATTCAAACTCAGCCATCATAATGGTGTAACGGTGATATGTTCGAACGTTTTTTTAAATCGGTTAATAATTGTGACCTCTAGAGGGACCACAAGCTAAAAACGCAATTTTTCATACAATCAGGGGCCATAATTCAGGAAATTACGATCCAATATGCGCAAATATCGAAAGGAACCGAGATCTTTGGGTTATAAACTTACATTTCAAGTTTCATTAAAATATGATTAAAATTGTGACCTCTATAGGGTCCACAACCTTGATATACCATATTTTTACGCTATTTGAGAACGAAGGGCGGCCATTTTGTCTGTCAGTTTTTAGGCCGATTTTCACGAAATTCAAACTCAGTCGTCCTTAGGATGTAACGGTGATATAATAATACGTTTTTTTAAATCGGAAAAAAAATTATGATCTCTATAGGGTCCACAAGCTAAAAACGTGATTTTTCGTACAACCAGGGTCCATAATTCAGTAAATTACAATTCGATATGTGCAAATATCATCGAAAGGAACCGAGATCTTTGGGTTATAAACTTACATTTCAAGTTTCAACAAAATCAGATAAAAGTTATGACCTCTGTAGGGTCCACAAGCTAAAAACGTGATTTTTCGTACAAACAGGGGCCATAATCCATGAAGTTTCGATCCGATACATGCCAATATCGAAAGCAGTCGAGATCTTAGGGTGATAACCCTATATTTCAAGTTTCGTTGAATCGGATAAAAATTGTGACCTCTAGAGTGTTTACAAAAAATTGTGGACAAACGGACTGACAGGGGCGACGAAAATATACGTCCACCTGCAAATGTGGGCGTATAAAAATCAATCATATTGCTGCATTAGCTATAAAACTGGCTGATACAGAACCCTGTGTCATAATCTCCCTTAAGAAAGTTATTACAATTTACAAACCTTCACTGATATCAAGTTCTCCAGGCAGACAATACATGGATCTTAAAACCTCCAGTTCTTCACAAATATCGTACTGGTTTGTAGCCATTTTATCTTCTGCAAGTTTTTCCTGTAATATGTAATTTTTACAAAATAATGGCAAGATAGGTTGCCAGGCAACAAAACATACGCCCACAGCAGCTAATTCGTCCAGGCAGTCAACAAGAGTTGTCGCATATTTTTACTTTTTTCGGTAATCAAACATTTATAATACACTAAAATCTGACTAAGAGTAACAACTCAATAAGTAATTATTAGAAAACCATTAGAATTTGTTTGGTTTTTATAAAGTTCTGCCCCATGCTAACGCTTAGTATACGAAACTTTTAATATTGTGGATTTAGCTGTTCATGTCATAAAAATTCATTGAAGAACTTAATACCTTAACCTCTGTGAATCAATCTGAAGTCAATCGGATGATCACTTTAGCCTCTAGAGCGTCACAAGATTTTTCAAAGTGATCAAGGGCCATAACTATCGAAAATCGCTGAAAATCAATAGGCTTCTTCGTTTCTTCGTTTCATGACCTTAAACACTGTGTATAAATTTAAAGTCAATCAGATTTTTTGAAGTGATCAAGGGCCATAACTCTGGCAGTAATTATCAGGAATTGCTGAAAATCAATAGGCTTCTTTGTCTCATGACCTTAAACACTATATAAATTCAAAGTCAATCGGATATTAACTTAAGCCTCTACAGCGTCCACAAGCAATTGTCGACAGACGGGCGGATGGGGGCGACGACAATATACGATCACATTTCAATGTGGGCATATAAAAATGGAATGAATCAAGTGAAGTACGTGTTCTGCACAAACTATTATTTATATAAAGCAAATCTTCCCTATAATATAAACTGGAGGTGTTTTTTGTAACAAGGAAACAATGCAGACATGAATGAGTATATACTCCCAATTTTATTTTTGTTTTGTTTTTGACTTCTAACAAATAAAATGATAAAACTCAGCTAGACTGGCGGAATCTAACGGTCAGATATTACAAGTTCTATTTGTCTTCTGATGCCCTCATCATTGCTTAAAATGAGAGAAAGAGAGTGAATGGGTTAAACATCCACCTGACACAAACTAGGTCATTTTTCTGGGCGTATTATGTCGTCAGTTTTTGACAGATTCCTTTCAAATTTGGTGTGAAGCATTGTGGTCATGAGAGGACGAACCATATTAATATTCAGAAGTCTAAGACTTTCCATACCAAACCAATGTAATACCCCCTTTACTGAAAACCTTGTGAACACGATAGAGTTTCTAAATCCTTATCAAATTTGCTCAATATCCAAGTTTTTCTTTCGGATAAGCTGCAGTTGAGACAAAGCTATTGTGTGGGACTATGATTCGATGGAATTAGCTATAAGCAGTGACAAGTATCACGCACTTAGCAGGGTGGTGTTAGTATTTCTAGAACACTCTTTACAGATTCTGATTTAAGTTCTCATTTAACAAATTTTAGCAGTGCTTTTGGGTGCTGCCTCAGATTACCACCCATACATCGTGAAAAAAAAAACAACAACCGGTTGTAATGCAAGATACGCTCACATTTTGCAAGAGATGGACAGAGAACAAGCTAACAAAGTGATCAGGGGCCATACTCCTGGATGTTACAGTCAGATATGTGCCAATATCGAAAGGAACCGAAATCTTTGGGATTTTAAAAATATATTTTAAGTTTCAACAAAATCAAATAAAGATAGGTTGCCAGGCAACGAAACATAAGCCCACAGCAACTAAATCGTCCGGGCAGTCAACAAGGGTTGTCGCATATTTTTACTTTTTTCGGTAATGAAACATTTATAATACACTAAAATCTGATTAAGAGCAACAACTCACAAAGTAATTATCAGAAAACTATTAGAATTTGTTTGGTTTAGAGCATCACAAGATTTTGCAAAGTGATCATGGGCCATAACTCTGGCAGTAATTATCGGAAATCGTTGAAAATCAATAGGAAAATCATGACCTCAAACACTGTGTATAAATTTAAACTCAATCAGATATTAACTTTAGCCTCTAGAGCATCCACAAGATTTTTTGAAGTGATCAAGGGCCATAACTCTGGCAGTAATTATCGGAAATCGCTGAAAATCAATAGGCTTCTTTGTCTCAAGACCTTAAACACTGTGTATAAATTTAAAGTCAATCAGATATTAACTTTAGCCTCTAGGGCGTCCACAAGCAATTGTGGACGCCAGACCGCTGGACGGACGGGGGCGACGACAATATACGACCACATTTCAATGTGGGCGTATAAAAATTGTGATCTCTAGAGGGTCCACAGCCTTGGTATTACATGCTTTTACACTATTTGCGTACAGGGAGCAGCCATATTCACAAAATTAGAACAAACCGTCATTATGATGTAACGGTGATATATTTAAACGTTTTTTTAAATCGGATAGAAATTGTGACCTCTATAGGGTCTACAAGCTAACAAGTGGTTGCCGGGCAAGATACAACCACATTTTGCAAGAGATTAGAGAACAAACTAAAAAAAAGAGATAAGGGACCATAATCCTGGTTGTTACGGTCCAACATGTGTCAATATTAAAAGGAATCAAGATCTTTGGAATATAAACATACATTTTAAGTTTCATCAAAATCAAATAGAAATGGAGACCTGTAGAGGGTCCACAACCTTGGTATTACATACTTTTACACTATTTGCATACATGGAGCAGCCATTTTGTTGGGCAGTTTCTGTCCAATTTTCAAGAAACTCGCACTCAACCGTCATTTTGGTGTAACGGCGATATATTTAAATGTCATTTTAAATCGGATAAAAATTGTGACCTCTAGAAGGCCACATGCTAGCTAAAAACGTAAGTTTTCGTACAATCTGGGGCCATAATCCAGAAAGTTCCGGTCTGATAGTGATATGTATACGCGAATACCACAAGGAACCATGATCTTTCGGATATAAACATATGTTTATGTTTCATCAAATTAGATATAAATTGTGACCTGTCCTGTAAAGTGTATGTTGGCCGTCCACATGAAAATGTGGACATATAAAATTCTCTGGAACTAAATTCCAAATGAGATTAGGGTTGTGTGTAGACCTGTTATTACTACGGATAGATCTATTTATTTGGTCTTTATAAAATAATAAACATTTTGGAAACATTCATATAAAAATGTATACGGTACAGGTAACATCTCTATATGATCAGTGTTTGTCAGTCATGGACCTTAATTCAATGAGTCATCACCACCCCTCGTACAGAGTCAAAACTACCGATTGGCTTTCTAACTCAATAATTTCAAATATGTGTGTAAAACAAGGCTGTGTTCTAAGTACCACCCTCTTCAATATCTATATTAATGATCTTCACACTTATTTAACCAATTCTGATAACGATGCACCCACTCTAGATAATACCAAAATTTCACACCTTCTCTTTGCTGATGATTTAGTTCTGATTTCCTCTACAGATATTGGTCTTCAAATGAGTCTACTCCTTGGGACAGTTCTGTTCAGACTGGAAATTAGATGTAAACACAGATAAATCAAAAATAATGCTCTTCTCTTAATAAGAAGAAAAAAATTCATAAAAGGTTCAATATTGGAATTCATAACATGGAAAATGTAAATACATATGTGTATCTGGGTGTATGTATATCCAATAACTCTAGCTTTAAGCAGGCCATGTCAGACTTAGGGAAAAAAGCAAAAAGAGCCTGGTACAGTATCAGAAATAAAGTATGCTCATCTGACTATATTCCTACCGACGTCTTGATCAAACTGTACCAGGCCATTATCAAATTCGCAATAGAAAAATGGGTTAAAATTAATCTAAACCAATTAACTATAAAAATATGCAAATCCATTTTGAACCAACCACTTAAGTTGACCAACCTTGGATGTATTGCCGAACTATGAATCTTCCCACTAACGCTAGACACTTATACTCGCATGCTTATGTATCATAAAAGGCTAAATGATGTCAGGATGAAACAAATATTTCCTCTACTTTCAGCAGCCTATTCTGAAGATAAAACTATATCCTTTAAAAATGAAAAATTGTCTTGGTCAGGTGCAATCAATAATTTAACTTCGGAACTCCAAATAAATCATGTTCATTTGCTAAATAAAGAGAATATAAAGAAATCCCTCAAATCAAAATTTAACTCCTTCTACCACATATCCTCTAACTCCAATAACAACAAATTACGTACATATTTCATTTCAAAGCCTACTGTTACGAACTCTCCAGACATTTTATATTCGGTTAAAAATAGAGACCATAAGAAAGCTATGACCACTCTTAGACTCAGTATGCATCAAATATGTTACAGTATTGGGTCTTTAAGTCAGGTTCAGATGACAAGACTAGTTTAACATTTTATAATACTTTTATTCTCTACTTCTTACATATCACATACAAACATCGTAATGTTAAAGATACCCAGAAAAACTTGTATTGAGGGAGCCATGTCCTAGCTTGGCTAGGCACGAGTGTGCCAACTCCCAGAGACTCTCCCTCGTTTCGTCTCGTCTCGTGCTAAGGCGCCCATGGCCTCCGTTCTGTCCTATCTACTTTTCGTTTCTGCTTATAAACTCCTTCTAGACAAAGGATGTCAGATCAAGTCTTAAATACAGATTGCATTACCAGACAAATGATATCTAAGAGATTTTGCAGTTGGCTATTTGTTGCATCACAACTCAGGCCAGGGGTCGTAATTAAGTAATGACTTCCACGTGGTCGTTGGCCGTGTCAGCTGACCACTGTGCAATGTCATAATCTGATAAAGTTAATCGATTTCATGTAAGGGGGGTGTAAATACTGTAAAGTGATATTTCCTCAATTGTGTAACACTTAGAAATAGAGAGGGGCCGATACAAAAAAATTCCTGTTGATCAGCGTCTATGCAAAGTTTGCAATTTAAACTCGATCGAAAACGAGCAACATTTTTTGCTATACTGTAGCAAGTATGAAGAAATACGCCAAGCCCATACTCAGCCTTCACAGCAAATCCTAGGATTTCCTACAATTTTCTTAATCTCTTTAACCCACCAAAATTGATTGCCAAGGCAGTGGCTTTATATGTGTTTTGGGCTTTCGATAAGAGAGCTAAATCAAATTCGGTGGCAACTACATCAAACTGAAACACTATAGTATACTGTTTGTTTGTATGAATGTATTGAGTTGTCTATGTAATATGTATTATTAAATGTATATGACTATGTCTAAGTGTATATGTATGCGAATACCTGACAACTCATCCCAAAGACAACTCATCCCAAAACAACTCATCCCAATATAAGTTTATATAAGACAACTCATCCCAAGTTAGAAGACAACTCATCCCAAGATTATTAGCTATACTGAAACTCATATATAAAGATAAGTATGTATTCTGATGAATTTCTATCAGACCATGATATGGAAACAATCAGCACGACTGGGGCCAACATTTTCAGTCACGTGTATGGTTCAAACAAGGAAATGAAACTTGTATGCTATGATAAGTATACAGAGCGCCCAAAACTTAAAATTTAAAACAACAATATCAATTTTTTTATTAAAACAACAATATCAATTTTAAGATAACGCATTTTTATAACAAAATCAGAATGGTCTGAGTCAGAGTGGCAATTGTATTAAAACAAATATTATAACTAGCACTTATAATTGTTGGGATGAGTTGTCTTATATCTCGACCTATGTTTTAAAGTTGAGATGAGTTGTCTTTTATCTTGGAATGAGTTGTCTAATAGTAATAGGCTAGTGGGACTCAGACTAGTAAATATTTCCCCTTAATTCATGATGGACGAATGTAGTGCGAGTTATAAATAGACAATTTTTTCCTTAATTTTTTTCTCCCCTCTTTCTGCTTTTTTTGGTTGACTTTTGGGTCTAGAATTGGAGAAAAGGGATCAAATTTGCAATTTCATAGCAGTTTTGGGTAATAGCCTAGTACTGATGATATTAGAGCGGGGGGATAGGGGATCGAATTCGAAGTTTCTTTCTGCAGAGCGATCATTGTGTCGAAAGTGAGATTTTCACCCCAGTCAACTTCAAATCCCCGTAGCAAAAAATCTAAACGGTCAACCCCCTACAAAATTATGATGAGGAGATTGCCAAATGTGGTCCCCATTGTGCCTACAAAGATTGGAACCAACGGAATGTTGAGCAAAAAGCTACAGCCCTCACTCGGCAAACAACGGCAGATTCCGGTAACCTACATCTAGCGATGTAGGGTACTGGAATCTGTTGAGGTTTGCCGAGTGGCTACAGCCTGTGATGTTACAGCCATTTAACATTGAAGTCAATGGGCAAATAATTGCTAGTCTGAGTCCAGTTGGGATGAGTTGTCTTTGGGATGAGTTGTCTGTATACCATGTATGCATGCTGTCAATAATGGACGTTTTGGTGCAATAAACAGCTTATCTTATCTTATCCATCAATCGTTACAAACTGTTTGATACTATTGGTGTACTATTTATAATTATCGTACTAGGCCTATAACCGTAGTATAAACTCAGCTGTAAAACTTAAGTCAAATTTAACGTGCTGTCTGGATAATGAAGAACAAACTTTTATACTCTCGCGTGAATCAGCGAGAAAGAACGAACGCAGCCATCTTTATTTCCGAAAAAACTGTCTGAATAAATTTGGAAAACTGATTTGATTTATTCATGCAATGTAAAGAGAAAATAATTTCCCTACCACGCAGAAACGGCGCGGAGACTGTCAAGAATTGACTGGAAAGAAATGAACATTGAAAGCGAAAGCTCTAAAGGTAAATTATTCAATTATTGATTGAAGTTTCGATTTTTGTTTGGAACGCAAATTAAATTTAAATTAATTTGAAAAACGCCAATGCCCAATGGCAACCCGTTTTACTAAAACTTTTAGACGTGCACCGTATTATTGCGAAAAATAATGTTAGATTATTTTGTTAAACACCCGCGTTGAAATGTTGTCACGTCACTGGTCCGTCGTGCCATGCCCATATACAAGTCATAGGCATGATCGGCGCGTCGAATTACCCAATAACACCCAATAACTCCAAAATAACACCCAATAACTCCAAAATAACAACCAATAACTACAAAATGTTGACTTTGGAAACACAAAATAACAATTTAGTTGAATTTAAGAAGCATCACTGCTTTGTGTCCAAATCGGAGTTTCACGCTCACTCGTCTGAAGGGAGATAACCTGTATATGTGATTTTTGTTGACAAGAAATTAATAACACCCAATAACTGCCCAATAACTGCTTAATAACACCAAATTGTTGACTTTGGAAATACAAAATAACAGTTTAGTTGAATTTAAAAGCCTCGCAATGTTGAGCCCAAATCAGAGTTTTACGCTCACTCACCTGAAGGGAGATAACTCGTGTATGTGATTTTTGTTTACAAGAAATTATACATGGGCGTCAAATATGGAATAACTATTTCAACCCCTCCATGGGTATCGTCAGGCGGTTGCATTAACAAAACGCTATTACAGATGTCCCCGCTATAGTTTTTCATGAAATTCAAATTAACTTCCAATAATTTAGCGCAAAAATGCGCTACCCGACGACATAACGATCAGTCTGTAAAGAAATTCTAATTAACTGCCAAACATTCTACGCACATAGGCGCTACCTGACGAGATAACGAGATACTTGGCTGTTAATTTTAATACCTTTACAAACCAATGTTTTATAAAAAAACATACACATATTTAAAAATGTTTCATATGAATAATGAAAATATTATAAAGATAATAGAATAATTAGTCTGTAAAGAAATTCTAATTAACTTCCAAATATTCTACGCACAAAGGCGCTACCTGACGAGGTAACGAGATACTTGGCGTTTAATTCCTTTACAAAACAATATTTTATTAAAACATTTAAACCTTTTTCATATGAAATATTTTATTAAAACTAACATAGTCATTCAATGAGTTTTTTCTGCGCACCTTCGTTTACGTTGCCCTGGTTTTTTGCCAGAGGTTTCTTTGGGCTTTACGCACCCAAAATCAACATTTTTTGAATTAACAATATTTACATTATATACATTTTTATACGCCCACATTGAAATGTGGACGTATATTGCCGTCGCCCCCGTCCGTCCGTCCGTCCGTCCATCGTCCACAATTTCTTGTGAACGCGCAAACGCAAAAAGTTATCATCCAATTGTTTTAAAATTGATATATGTTGTTTACATGTACATTAATGAGATGAAGAATCCTATTTAATTTCAATAATTTCTGTTTATTATGTCTAGAGTTATGGTCCTTGTTTCACTTTATTGAACCTTGTGAACGCTCGAACGCCAAAAGTTATCATCCGATCTTTCTGAAATTTATATGCATTATTTAGATTACTGAAACGAAGAAGCCTATTGAATGTCAGCAATTTCCGTTTATTACGTCTAGAGTTATGGCCCTTGTTTCACTTATTGGTCCTTGTGAACGCTCTAACGTCAAAAGTTATCATCCAATCTTTCTGAAATTTATTTGCATTATTTAGATTACTGAAACGAAGAAGCCTATTGATTTTCAGCAATTTCCGTTAATTACGTCTAGAGTTATGGCCCTTGTTTCACTTTATTGATCCTTGTGAACGCTCTAACGTCAAAAGTTATCATTCGATCTTTCTGAAAATTATATGCATTATTTAAATTAGTGAGACGAAAAAGCCTATTGAATTTCAGCAATTTCTGTTAATTACGTCTAGAGTTATGGCCCTTGTTTCACTTTATTGAACCTTGTGAACGCTCCATCACCAAAAGTTATCACCGAATCTTTGTGAAATGTATATGCATTATTTAGATTAGTGAAACGAAAAAGCCTATTGAATTTCAGCAATTTCCGTTTATTACGTCTAGAGTTATGGCCCTTGTTTTTTTATTGATCCTTGTGAACGCTCTAACGCCAAAAGTTATCACCCGATCTTTGTGAAATTTATATGCATGATTTAAATTAGTGAAACGAAAAAGCCTATTGAATTTCAGCAATTTACAATAATTACATCTAGAGTTATTGCCCTTGTTTCATTTTGTTAAACCTTGTTAATGCTCGATTGATGAAAGTTATCATCCGATATGTATGAAATTTATATGCATTATTTAAATTAGTAAAACGAAAAAGCCTGTCAAATTTCAACAATTTCTGTAGATTACTTCCAGAGTTGAGACCCTTGTTTCAGTTTGTAGAACCTTGTAAACCCTCAAAACGACAGAATTTATAATCTGATTTGTATGGAATTGTCTTGTAAAGACCCCCAATTACCTACAAAGGAATAAATATTCGACAACCCTTGTCGACCGCTCGGACGATTTAGCTGCTGTGGGCATATGTTTTGTTGCCTGGCAACCTATCTTTCTTCTTCATTAAATATTTATTCAACATGCGAGTTTTCTTGTCCGCTTCCATACAAGCCCATGTTTCAGGACGGATCTCAGATTTGTGGTCTACATGTTGCCAATTGCCTGTACCGTGTAAAGCCCGACGTATGTTGAGAATTTGAAATGTTGACTCTCTAGCCAATTTTGTAACAAGGTCAGGTAAATTCTGAATATGCCAATCGGTTTCTTGTTTCAATCTATTATTAATTGATTCTGCGTTGTTATTAGTCCATAAGTCTGAGATCAGTTTATTTTGGAGGGGCTTAATAACATATATAATAACAATTTATGTTTTAAATATCTGTCCCAATATTGTTCAAATCTAGGATATTTTTCAAAATAAACAGACAAATCATCTTTTTTCATTTCAAAATCCATGTCATTTTTCGAATATACAATTCCTTCCTTACCAAAAATTAAATTTCTTATAATTGAGCATTCTTTTTGTGGTGTTCCCGATTTCTCTAAATATCGATATAAATTTTCCTTAATGTGTTTTGTACAAAGTAAGAAATTAGAATTTTGGAATACTTCATACAAAGATTTAGTCATAGATTTTTCTTCGTCGGTACCAAATATTATTTTATTACTACCTAACTGGGAACGAAGATGTGAAAAGAAATAGTGATAGGTTTATTGCTTCGCCATCCCAATGGAGCATTATGGGGTTTTGATTCGTTTCGCGATATAAAAATAACTATAGCGGGGATATCTGTAATAACTTTCTGTTATTGCCACCCCACCGCCTGACGATACCCATGGAGGGGTTGAAATAGTTATTTATAGATTGATGGCCATCTTATATATAATAATAATAATGCACTAGTTAAAGCGATTTTTGATTTAACGATATGTAATGATATATAAGGATTAAAACGTACACAAAATACTTTGTCGTGAGTATTAGTTATGTAGATAGAGGGATGAGGTTTAACGTCCACTATGTCATTTCAATAATTCTCTTGTGTGTGTGTGTGGAGTGGGGGGCTTTACCAGTGTGATGACCCAGAGAGAACCCACGATTCTGGACAGACGACACTACGCTTGTCAGGTATAACCGCGGAAGCACATACACAAGTTATCTCCCTTCAGGCGAGTGAGCGTGAAACTCCGATTTGAATATCAAAACCAGCATAGTTGGATCGGCAAGACCTACATATGTAGTCTTCACTTGAACATTGAAAAAAATTCAACTGAGTAGTATCTACTTAGTTTCTCACAATCTGAATGGCACCAACGTTGACATACTTCACAATATAAGCTTTGAATATTGCGAGTTTCTTTCAAACATGATCCGCAAGGATACTCAAATCGGGGATTTTTCCTATCATGTATAATTAAAACGAATTGCAACGAAAGCATACATTAATTTCTTGTAAACAAAAATCACATACACGAGTTATCTCCCTTCAGGCGAGTGAGCGTTAAACTCTGATTTGGGGCCCAACGTTGTGAGGCTTTTAAATTCAACTAAATTGTTATTTTGTACTTCCAAAGTCAACAATTTGGTGTTATTGAGCAGTTATTGGGTGTTATTAATTTCTTGTCAACAAAAATCACATATACGAGTTATCTCCCTTCAGGCGAGTGAGCGTGAAACTCCGATTTGGACACAAAGCAGCGATGCTTCTTAAATTCAACTAAATTGTTATTTTGTGTTTCCAAAGACAACATTTTGTAGTTATGGGTTGTTATTTTGGAGTTATTGGGTGTTATTGGGTAATTCGACGCGCCCGGCATGATAGGGCATAGGCTTAATGATGCACTGCAAGCTGCAGTCTACTATAACTAGCCTAGCCTAACTTACTGTCTGAACCGTCGTAAATTTTTAAAGTTTTTCTTCGATTATGGACAAACTACTTAACATTTGTTATTATAAACTTACCTGTGTGTTTGAAATTACCTCTGGTTAAATAAAATTCATTGTACAACTAAATATCCCAACAAATAAAAAAAGTTCTCTCTTGTGTAAAATTGAACTCCTGACAAAGTGAAAGTTTGACATCGATAAATAACAAAAATGGAAGCTAATTACGTCACTTATCAGGATAGATCATTTCGTATGGGGGTCTCAGCAATGCTGGTCTATAGTAACAGTGTTTCGCTCTTTTATGACAATTCAAATTTTGTGTATGAATAAGCTACACTCGGTCTCGGGCCCAGTAATGAGTTTGGGCGTTTACAAACATAAATACGTCCGTAGTCCGTTATTTTGTTTCTGTCTTGTTTGTATTAATTATTTGGTTAGAGAGTGGGTAGGATTATTTCTTTTGAACACAGGTGCAGAACAAAAAGAACAACATTCGTTTTACGGCCCTTGAATCTCACCCAATATTACTTGGCAATCTGCTGTAGCAGAGGTAAATGCTGATATATATTACAATTGCCTTGGCAAAATTATTAGCCGTTTTAATTATCGGCAGATAGTTCCATGTCTTTCTATTTCCGCTGTGCAAAAACTATTCAGAATTTTATAATCATGCTTCTCACTGAGAAGCACAATTTATTTCTGAAAATCCCGGCTTCATTTTGAAATTCAAAGGGCAAAGTATCAATCCATACAATTGTACTCTGACTCGGTTATTAATCACAGGTACAACTCCATTTTAAAATCCATGGAGAATGGAATTTCCAGATGGCATTTCATAGATCGCTATCATGCCGCAGCCAATCAACGCTTTGAATTCTATTATAGTAAAAGGTACAATGCCATGTTATTGTATTCTACACAGATGCAGTGAAAATGGTTAAATTTAGTGCCAAACTTGCACAAGTTTTTCCAAATGTCTGCATAATTAACACACAAGACCCAATAATACACGCAATCTGTGATGCCTCTTTTGACAAGTGATTTTATGTTTTAAATACATTTTTATAAAGACGATAAACGATGTTAGACATCTGTTGAATAAACAAAAAAAAGTAATTTAATCAGGAATATTATTGACATGAATACATGTACATATGTAGTCGGAACGTGAATTAAATATGGCAATTATTGAGAAGCGGTGGCTTTTTTCATATTTTTTTGTGGTAATCATAAAACATTGAAAATGGACTAATAACCACAGAGCACTGGGATAAGACCTCGTTATGAAATATGATCAATTAAAATTATGAAATAAAGTGTGTTTATTTATAAATGTTAAAGTGCACATAAGATGTGGGAAAAAACTTTTTAATGCGTGTAGCCAGTGGTTACTATATCCACTTTACGGCAAGTTCACACCAATCTGGTTGAAATTAATTCACCTATCTTCACTCAGTCGTAAAAATAGACCTCCCGTAAAAACGACTTTGCCAATTATCGAAAACACTCTTAATCCCCTCAGACGCCAGTGACGTCACAGTGACCGAATGCATATGCAGAATGTTTATTCCTTAATCACCGATATACAGCCGGCGTGTGTATTCTTTAACGCCTGAAGGATTCCTTAATCCCCCTAATTAAATAAAACAATTGACTACGGAATAATTTGTTTTCTAATTCATTTTAATTTAAGATCCAATTTAAAGTGCCTACAACTTTTAAACTTTGAAGTCTTGAACTCGTAATTAATTTTTTACAATATAGAACTTATTGGACGAACACTTTTAATATGTAAATAATATATACGGGTCCAGCTATGTGGTTTTTACTGCGAGCACTTCGCTTTTCCACATAAAGTGTAGTGTCCTTAATATCTGTCATCAATTAATCAATCAGACTATAAAAGTTATACAAGCATGGGTCATAAATCAATTTACACATTGGTGTTAGCAGTGCGGGTTTATTTCCTTTTTTTTTAAAAACATAAACCCCATTCAAAATATTATAAACCCGAGAATATGCCATCAAAATAGAATCTTTCCTCCGACGTGATAATTGTCACGTATACACCTCTTGTAATTTCACGCGTCTCGCAAGATTTCTACTTGAGTTTTCGATTATTGTATTACAACCATGTGTGGGTGTTTGTGTAAATAGCTTTATTTAACGTCCGCTTCCACTGAAGTGATATCGCAGACAAATTAACAGATATATTGATCTACAAGTTAACGTGATAATTGTCATGTTTACATCTCTTGTAATTTCACGTGTCTCTCAAGATTTCTACTTTAGTTTTCGATTATTGTATTATAACCATGTGTGTGTGTGTGTGTGTGTGTGTGAAATAGCTTTATTTAACATCCGCTTCCACCGAAGTGATATCGCAGACAAATTAACGGATATATTTATTGATTTACAAGTTAACGGATAATATTGATTTACAAGTTAACGGATAATATATTGATTTGGGGTGTTATATACTCTTACAATATGTGACATCTATGATTAGTTTATACATATTGTCGGCTCACATCAGTGGGATTAAAATGTTCAACAATGGAGAAACCACGAGGTAAACACATAGATTAAAATAAATAAGTTTTACTCGTCTGTTGTTTATAATTGTTTTATTTACCTTCAATGTTTTTGTTATAAAGTAGCCTCATATTGTTTGTTGATTGCGTTGTGAGTTTAGACATGCACACAAAGTACATGTATTGGTTACATGTACATGTACATAGTATGTCCTCAACTACATGTATACTATACTATAACACTTTAATTGGATGGAATAAATAAGTTTTACTCGTCGGTTGTTTTAAAATTGTTTTGTTTGCCCAATAATCAACAAGTTTGATTGACAGATCCTGACCGAAATTAGTTCACTGATGTTTTTATAATAAAGTAGCCCCGTATTGTTTGTTGATTGGCGTTATGAGTTTAGACATAATGACTACAAATCGAAGATTAGACGGGGTGCGTCGTCCATTAATATTTAGACAACATCTAATTGACTTGATATCAAATCTGAATATAAATTATTTGATGAATAAACATTTGTAGTTTATAATGTCTAACATGTTTTATGCTATCCTCTTTATAAGAATATATTTTACAGTATATTGACAGCTTAATCAATCACTATGTCCATGAAGCCCCTGCAATTTTGGCGCTAAATTTAACAAAAGTTACTACGTCCGTAGTATGCCATGCCTTATAATACTTATGATGACATGGATGGAACCGTTATGGTAATAGAATTCACAAGCGTTGATTGGCTGAGAAATGAATGAGTGTGATCTATTGTTATGCAGGCATCGGAAAATCTCATATTCAAAGTGAATTTCAAATGTTGTTTGTATAAGCTTTTATTATGAATGGTGATTATCATTAATAAAGATAGCTTATAATAATGAATATATGGACAAGTGATTAGTGAATGGCACCATTTGTATTTCTTAGATTATAGAGAATTGTTAAAGCCCTTGTGACTAAAGTTATCAGCCGATCTGTAATATTTAGATTAGTGCAATAAAGAAACCTACTGAATTTCAACATTTTTTGTGAATTACTGCTGGTGTTATGGTCCTTGTTTCAATTCGTAGAATATTGTGAACACTTTAACAACAACAATTGTCATCTGGTGTATGAAATGTATGCATTATTTAAATTAATGAAACAAATAAGCCTATTGTCTTGTGGACAGTTTGGATGACTGGCAACAAAGATCTTTAATACTATATAGTCCTATTTTTTGCAGGTGCTGAAACAGTTGTCAATGTTCTTGATGCTATATTAGGTGAAGATGAATTAACCACTTCTGCTAGTGATGCTGTTGTAAATGTTCTTGATGCTATATTAGACGGTGAAGACGAACTAAGTGCAGAAGTACCAGAAGACACTGGTAGGGTAATTTTAAAAGGACATCAAACATTTTACGCTTCATAATATTGTTCTTAAGATTTACCAAAGCCTCAAAAGGTTTTCACATAAGCTTATAGAATGTTTTTAAAACACGTAAAATTATTTTACAAAGATTTGAAACATGCTATTAATATTAAAATTGGAATTTTCAATTTGTGATTAAGATTGAAATTTGAAAACAGTTATCTTGATGAATTGATTCATTTCAGGTAAATCTATATTAAAATCCAAAGGAAAGAAATCTCTTATAAAGAAACCCAAAACTGTTGAAAAGAAAGATTTGGGTAAGAATAATAACTGTGCTCTGATCCCCATAAATCAGTTTTGTAACATCTGCCCATGTGTTGAGTATTCTAGATTCTACAGTTGTTTCCTGATATTGGGATTGAAATAAAACTGACCCAATATTGACCAATTTGTTGCGGCTAAAATCTTGTCTTACTCTTAGTTTACTTTATTTGATTCAGACAATGTTGGGAGGCACATTAAGGATTTTTGTGGAAATTATAGGCGTCGCTTGCTTGCTTTGACAATTTCCTGTTTATAATATATCATTTGCAGAGAATGCTGAATGTTGACAAATTATCAATTCCTCATTTCTTTTTAAATACTAAATGAAATTGAACCATTTCTGTACTGATATTTCTTTTAAAGATCCATCTTTCACGTCGCAGTTTGAAAGGGATTAAACATCCCTCAAATGACGAAAGTATCGAAACAAGTTCTTTATGTCCCTTAAATTTCTTAAGTGTAGTTCAATTTTTGTTTTGAGGGGGGGTGGGGGGGGGGGTAGATGGTCAAAGGGTTACCATGTGTTTGCTGTATCATACAGCCTATTATTGAGTCAACTGGCGTGGTTTCGATTCCCGTTTGTACGTGACAAGGGCTTTCTCTTGTATCCTCCCACTGCTAAAGATCCTTACGCGCAAGCGAATTATTGATTAAAAATTGAACCATATTTTCATCCCGAAATGACCTAGTACTGTTTGTGTCCTGTGGACGTTAAACCCCATTTCTCTCTCTTGAGGGGGGTTGGATGGCTGAATGGTTAGCGTGCGTGCGCTGTATCATAAAGTCTGTCATTGAGTCGACTGGCGTGGTTTCGAATCCCCAGTTGTACGTGACAAGGAATAGGGTCGCCTGTCCAACCTCGTGGGTTTTCTCCGGGTCCTCCGGTTTCCTCCCACTGCTAAAGACCCCTATGCGCATGCGAATTATTGAAATAAAATTAAACCATATGTTAGTCCCGAAATGACCTAGTTTGTGTCGAGTGGACATTAAACCCCATTTCTCTCTCTTGATCTCTCTTGATCTCTCAATTTTTGCCTGGATAAGAATTTGTTTTTATAAATTTTTAGCAGGTCCAGAAAAGTCAAAGAAAAAGACCAAAACAGAGGGTAAGCTTTTAAGAAGAAATGCAAACAGTTTTGTACTTCCGGGTTTTGTTTTTATTCATAGATTTCTGCTTTGAGGTCTTGTGTTATATCTTACATGTGCTGCCTGTCATGGGCATATTTTGCAAGTTGAGCAGCCCTGCCCTTGGTCTGAATTTCATCTTATGTTGCCGTTTTGATAATATTCATTTCTACAAATTCAGAGCTATGAAAGTGATTATCCCTTGAAAATTTTATACTATACTGTATACAACAAATAATTTTGTGATAAAATAAATGATGTTGAGACTGCAGTGTCCAAACGGCTTTCTAACACGACAGAAATAAGTCAGAAGTTGAGTTCTTATGGCCCATTTTCACACCAAATTAGGTAGATTTGCAACTCCATGTAAGTTGCACAAAGGACTTGCTGAACATACAAAGCAATAGTTAATATGCGTTTTGTTCAATACCTTTTGGCAGCATCAACTGTAAACTGATCTTTATATCATGCTACTTAATGGCAATTTTCAATGAAATTTGTAACATTAAAAATCTATATATATCTTGGTATGTAGTGAAATACACTAGAGCATTACAAAAAAAGTAATAAAAAAATGACTTTTTTTCAGCAAATTGTCCAAATTATCTTCCACAAAAAGTCATAAATCACAATTGTTCATTTAAAAAAAATAATTTTGAATTTGTAAAGTTTAGTACACAGAACAATGAGATAATTGGAAAAGCTAATAAAAATTTCCACATATGTATAGAGTTATAGATTGATGAATATCAGCAATATATTATATGTATACGTTAACAAGGATTTTACTGACCAAATGGATAAAATTTTGCATTGAATATAGATCAATCTATACAATTTGAATTTGATTTATTGTTTGTAGGAAATAGTGTTGATAAAACAATTGGTAATATGGTAGAAGAAGATAATCATTTAAATCTGAGTTTATCTGCTGATGAAACTGATGATGTTAAACAGCCTGCAATTGATCAGGATGCCTTAGATTATGATACTAGAAGTGAAACTGGTAGTTCAAACTATACTGATGCCACAGATGGTATGTATACTCTTTTAAACACACACATTGATAGACAATCTCAGTCTAACGTGTTTCAAGAGGTTTTTCACAAGACCAGGTATAAAAAAGAATTCTATACGCGTACATGGAAATGTGGTCGTATATTGCCGTCGGTCCGTCGTCTACAATCTCTTGTGAACACTCTACAGACTACATTTATCATCTGTTTTAATTTCAATAATTTCCATTAATTTCTTCTAGAGTTATTGCCCTTGTTTCACTTTGTTGCACCTTGTGAATGCTCCAACGACAAAAGTTATCGTCCGATCTGTATGAAATTTATATGCTTCATTTAAATTAGGGAAAAGAAGAATCCTATTGAATTTCAGCAATTTCCGTTAAATACATCTAGAGTTATGGCCCTTGTTTCACTTTGTTGAACCTCTGAACGCTCCAACGACAAAAGTTAGCATCCGATCTGTATGAAATTTATATGCATCATTTAAATTAGTGAAAGAAAGAAGCCTATTGGATTTCAGCAATTTCTGTCAATTGCTTCTAGAGTTGTGGCCCTTGTTTTACTTTCTTGAACGTTGTGAACGACAAAAGTTATCATCCGCTCTGTATGAAATTTATATACTTTATTTAAATTAGTAAAATGAAAAAGACTATAGAATTTCAACAATTTCCGTCAATTACATCCAGAGTTATGACCAGTGTTCGACACAAACGTCGGTCCGTGCGTCCGAGACCGACTGATTTATCGGAGGACTCCTGCTTGCCTATCTCACTCGGGTCCACCGGGCCTTCGCCTTCTTTCTTATCTCGCATAGTTAGTGTCCACATACGACAATTCGGGAAATGCTAGAACTGTCATACAAACGCAACCTCCGAGTCTCCGATAGTTGACGGTTATTGTGTACTTGTCATCGACATGACGGAAGCTGCTGTTTTTCCAAACATTGACTCGCGTAACCAGCCTCTGTTTTTTTTGTCGGCTTTAGCCACTTGAACTTTAAACAAGCCGATTGGTAAAAACAATGAATCGGCCACTATGGTATCATAAATCAATCTACTTTCGGCTAAATTTAACGGGTTAGTTATTACTTTTTGATTAAGTAGTCAATCAACTTGCTTGTTGGCTACAATAACAGTCATACCTCTCAGTATGGATTGCGAATCTCGCTCGGGAATCGCGCTTCTTAGACGCTCCGTATAGATTCCAAGTACCGGTAGATAATAAAATAATAATTGGATCATACATTTAATGGTTTCGCTGACCAGTTGTTACAGTTGAATATAATCCTCAGATAGAACACCGAATACACCGAGAAACAGTCATTAATATATATTTTTCCGACAAAATCTTCAATGCCAAATCCGCCGATGACACGTGACATCGGTTGGAATTTCTAGGTCAATAAGCCAGCGATGCTAGGTTTAGTTTTAAGTAATGTTTACCATTATGATTTTTTATTTGATACACATGCTGGCAGAGGCTAAATTTTAAACATATTGTCGTTATTATTATTGAAAACTATATGGCATAGTCGTACGGAATTGTATTTTAAAGCAATTTCAATTATGGTTGTCACGTGATCACTGTGCTGTGTGTTTCTCTCATGGAAGAATGAATAAAAACATATTTGCAAGTTAGGTGATAGACAAAAACTACAAATTGTGTTATGAAAAATACCACGGCGCTGTATCATTTTATATCCATCCAAAAAACGAAGACAGTAATTTATTCAGGAATATTACTAACACGAATTTCAAGCCGGAACGTGAATATGGAAAATTTTCCGAACGGTGTAGCTGCAGGCCTACCTATTATTAAAGGTAATGGAAGCTTATAATTTTAAAACCATTTCCTAAATTCCTACGGGACCTCATTTGACTCAATTCTGAGCTATTGTGCTAACAATCTAGGGTGGGATAAGCGAGTTTATGCCAACGCCATTCCTCAAGGTTATTGCCAGACGTCAAGTTTTTTTTGTGTAACTGTTTGAAGTTTAACTAGTTTAATGAGAAAAACCCTAAATTATGTAGCCATGAATAGATTTGTTTCCATTAAATTAAAATGGAAGTTACTAAACCCTAGTCCTTCTGTGGTGTACTGGCTTTATACATGTATGTACTACCTTTCCTCTGATCGTTCTGCGCTTCGCTTGGAAACTATAAATATTATTATTGGTTGGGCCTGCGTGTCACCTGAAGGACCCACATGATCACGTGTCACACAGGTCCTGCTGGCCTGTGCTTGGAAAATGTTTGTTTCGGACACTGGTTATGACCCTTGTTTTACTTTGTTGAACCTTGTGAACGTTCAAACCACAATTTATCATCCGATCTGTATGAAATTTATATCAATTATTTAAATTAGTGAAACGAAAAAGGCTATAGAATTTCATCAATTTCTAGAGTTAGGCCCTTGTTTCACTATTGTTGAACCTTGTGACAAAACGACAAAAGTTATCATCCGATCTGTATGAAATTTATGTGCATCATTTAAATTAGTGAAACAAAGAACCCTATTGAATTTCAGCAATTTCCTTCAATTACATCTATAGTTATGGTCCATGTTTTACTTTGTTGTACCTTGTGAACGTTCGAACCACAAAAGTTATAATCTGATCTGTATGAATTTTATATGCATTATTTGAATTAGAAAAATGAAAAAGCCTGTCGAATTTCAACAATGTCTGTAGATTACTTCTAGAGTTAAGGCCCTTGTTTTAGTTTTTAGAACCTTGTGTACCCTCAAATGAATAAAATTATACTGTCATCTGTATGAAATTGTTTTGTAAATGCCCCCATTGATCTACAAAAGAATAAATATGTGACAACCCTTGTCAACTGCTCGGACGATATAGCTGCTGTGGGCATATGTTTTGTTGCCTGGCAACCTATCTTTGATTTTTATCTTTCGGGCACATTTTGACATTTTAAGCTTGTGAAATCCATACAAGACAAAGTCTTTCTGTAATTTTTTAAAACTTGTCGGTCTTGTTATATCGGATTAAAAAAAGGAACCCTATTTGAAAATTGTAGACATAACCCCATTCTCCAAACATTTACCTTATGAACTTGGATGCATGATAAGCCTTTTGTAAGATTGGGAGAAACCCTATTGTACTGCTGATCTAATAAAAAGAATCTAAAGTGCACATCCAAGTCACTATTTCTGAATTTGTTTTTTTCCTCTGAAATGTGACTGTTTAAATGAACCAGTCTTTAATTGTCAGTGATGGAGAATTTTTAAATGTTCTGTGATTTGTAATATTGTAGATGATCAACCTGGTAAAAAAAGAAGAAAAAAGAAAAAGGTAGAACCTAGAGATATATCACCTATAGAATGGGATAAAGCTAGTGCTCAAAGTGATGATGAGTCTCGAAGTAAGACTTATTTTTATTAAAATGTTCATTACAGGATAACATGCCTATTTTATAACCTATCATATTCAATATCTGATTAAAAATTCTTACTATTAACGATGATGTATATTTTGGTATCTTTTTTTTCCCCTAAACCCTGTGTGCCATTCTCTCTCACCTTACATGTGTAGACCATTTAGTATTTTCAAGCATTTAATATTTTGAAAACTTTTTATACTTTTACAATTTGAATAAATCCTTTTTTTTTTTAGGAGCAAGATCTAAAATAAAATATGTGTTCCGAAATGCATGCTATTTCCTTATTAAAAGTAATAATCATGAAAATGTAGCATTGGCTAAAGCAAAAGGAGTTTGGTCAACTCCACCACAGAATGAAGCTAGATTAAATCAAGCCTTTAGAGTGAGTAGAAAATCTGACCTGTTATTCTTTAAAATTCCATTTTACATGTCTTAAATTTGACTAAATACCATTGCATTAAGCTAAAATGGTTTCAATTTTGAGATCCATTTGTCTATCCGTCTTGTAATATTAAAGATGTTTCATTATCTATAGTCACCAATTTTTTGGTCATTGCTGTTAATACATATTGGTGTATGGTATCGGCGTGGTTCCCCCTTGTCAGTGATGCAGGACGGAGGGTGTGACAAGGACAGCTGTCTAGTCCTTCGGATAAGACGAAAAACCGAGGTCCCATGTATACATTGGAATGCCCGTAAAAGATCCCTTGGCAGTTGGAATTCGATATAAGAGTAGGCGATAGTGCCGCTGCCCGGGCAAAATTTCCCTCATAGCACACTGTATGGCGTATGCCCGTCTTCATTAGCCCAGTATAGGAGCAGAAGAGTAGGACGTTAAACCCCATTTCATTTCATTTCGTATTGGAACGCAAATATTTATATGAAAAAAAAATTGTTTTCCCTTTTATTATAGGACTTTGATAATGTTATTTTGATATTTTCTGTAAAGGAGAGTGGCAGATTTCAAGGTATGAGTCTTCTACACACAAGTGATATTAACAAATTTGTCAATTTATTAGTGATAACTTACATACACGTAAGCCTTGCCTTTTGTTAAGTCTATTTAAATTTATTTAGAATTTTGCTCTAAGCCATTCAATCAGAAATCTATATTATGACATTGTGTTGCTGCCCAAGGTTTGAAGGGAGGTTACTATTGATGAAAGTGCTGTTCTTCATATTATCTCCCCTTACACCACAGATCATTAATTTCTAAACAATAAAAGATTGAATGATAAATGATTATAAAATATTTGCTATGTAGTTGTGAAATTTTAACTACAGGATTTGCTAGAATTGCAGAAGAAGCTACCAAAGACCATCCAGCAATAAGATGGGTGTTACCTCCAGGAATGAGTGCCAGAGCTCTCAGTGGTGTTTTTAAATTAGACTGGATTACACGGTTTGTCACATACATATATATTTACAATACTGAGTGAGCATGCTTAAGACAATTTCAAAGAAACACAGACATGCAGGCCTACTTTATTTCTTGCTCTAAGATGAGATAATAATGTAATGTAAAAACATATGTAGGCCTACTTTATTACTCTTAAGATGATATGATAATAATAATGTCATGTAAAAACATATAGTGTAAGTAATTTCAGTTTATCACCTTTTCACTGCAAATTAACGCGCATAAAAAGTTGGATGTACGCCATGAGTATTCACTTGACCCTTTGTCGTCCATATTATTAAAAAATATACAAAAGACTACATATGACAAGAGGCATAAAAAAAAAAAGAAAAAGCATAAAAAAAGTTTGTGTTATTCTATCGGCTGTGTGTGTGATTTTATAGCTACGGGTCCGATGCATTTACCCTTGCAAACCCGGTTTTCTCATTCAAGCGTATCCATTCTTGAAAATGAATTTTACAATTCAAGAATACTAATTTAAACTATAAAACATCAGTGCTGACTATTAATAAAGTCAAATTGCGATTTGTTGATTATTAAATGATAATTATATTTCTGCTTTATTAAAATTTATTTCAATCACAAAATCAATGATTCTTTTGAAAAATTAAAGTATCGATACGATATAAACTATTCATTGAGAAAAAAAAGCAAGGATAATTCTAACAGTACAGGTCTGTTGGAAAATTGAGCGAGAAGTCACATGTGTAAACAAAGCTTACATGACAACGTGGAATGATCACTCAGGAGTTCATAACAGTATTTATTCATCATTAAACAAAAACTGAAATATTGCCCAGCTCTACTTAATCATTGTTAATTTCTTTGTTTAAATTAGGACACAATGAGAAATTCCATTTTTTAAAATATGAGACCAATAAAGAAAGATTAGCAGCTTGTGAAATGGCTGCGATGAAATCAATCAACCTCGACTGTTTGATTGTTTTGATCTCGTTTGTTAGATTGACTATATCACTAAAACTAATTCCAATCAATGGCTGTTATCACAAGTCACAAAAACAATGAAATTGACTGATTGGGATTGGCTTCTGTGGTCGTAGAGAGAGCTGCCCATATTAATGAGTACAATTTATAAGGAATATAGAAAAACAATTGGTTCTTTTATTATGTGGTTGTATACGTGAGTTGCCTGTAATACCGAGTTGTTATACACGTCGTGCTATATGTGTATAAACCAGTGATTGTTTTCCATATAAATTATGTTTTTTTGTCTTTTTTATGTGCTCAATCACTAAATGCCACTCAAGGATTATTTTGAGCAATCAGGTTGATTTAAACAAATTATGATCCTAGTTACATGTTTGTTGTTGCAAATTAAGTTTAATTTGTTGTTGAAGTATTAAGCTTATTATAATATTTTATCTTTTAAAGGCATGAGTTAGCTTTTACTAAAGTTAATCATCTACACAATCCATGGAATGAAAACTTACCAGTTAAAATAGGTCGAGATGGACAGGTAATCTATTTAAATTTTTCCAGACTGACATGGAAAATCTGCCTTGTAGTTTTTGTTATTGAACAGAAGTATGGTTCAGACATAGAGTAATGGTGCATAGCATCCAATAGGTCATTTCAATACTAACATACAGTACACAGCTAGAGGTTGAGACTAGAATCGCCGAACACCGTGGAAAAACAGTGGACTTTTGCAGAGTGTTCTTGGCGAATCGCTTGCGTTTGCTAGCTTGTCAAATCACAATGGATCACAGAGTTTCACGGTGAACCACAGAGTTTTGCGGTGGAACACAGTGAATCGCTTGTGTGCCGATATCGTCCGGATTCTAGCGTGTTGAAGAAAAATGTACCTTATGTAAGTTGAATACATGTATGTTAATCTTGAGCAAGGAAGGAAGGGTTAAACTAATAGTCTACAATAAATTTTAATGCTGCCGTGAAAACGTGTACATGTTTAACGTACAAGCCAGTTTGAATAATAACCCAATGTTTACCAGCAATCTATATCGGTTAAAATTTTGAACGTACATGTATTATGTTGGGGCTATACATGTATGCAAACAATGAACAACTTACAATTTCTTAAACGTATCATTTGGTCTTCATTGGCTGCTATCATATCCAAATTTTAAATTATATACGATGATTTTTTTTACACGTTACATCATTACTGGCAATTTCAGTTAATCTAAATTAACCATCCATACAGCACAGTGCCATCAATCACTCTGCGGTGCACACAACAGTATGTCACATGGTTAATTTCGCTCCAAAACATTGAGTATATACATGTATTCTTACGCGATATCACGAACATATACTGATTATGATGTATTCAAACGTTCTTTCAGTCGAATTTTTTAAAGTTGCCCCCTTTACATAGGGAAGTAAAACTTACAATTACCGTAAACAAAGATACCTTGTGAAAGTAATACACTACCTATAAACCCGATGAAACGTTAGCTATTTCTTACCATGTCTAGTTTTTGGCCATCGATAGATGTGTACATTTTGTAATACTTAGAGAAATAACAACACTCCTGCTACCGTAAAAAAGTCGGGGGAGGGAGGCGATGAAAAGCTTGCGAAATTCCTTGCGGGAAAGCATGGCGATACACAGTGTTTTCGAGCGAATCCTGGCAGAACATCATGGCGCAAATGAGTGAAAATTCACCGTGAAATCTTAGTGATTTCTTTGTGTTTTTTTCCGCAGTGTTCTCACAATTTTAGTCCTTAAAATTGGAGAGGTACTGTATGGTTCTCTAGCAATGGGGCAATACCAGAAAGTTTGGCAGGCCACCCTACTGCTAGTTGGTGATTGAACTCTTGACACTTGCAATGATGAAAGAGCTGTTAACCCCCAAGTACATGAGATATGACTTTCCATGAAATTATGGGATGTAGAAAACTTGAATTGAAAGTGATCAAGATTGAATCTATTTAAAGTATGTTTAGAGATATCGGCAAATTAGTATGTTCTGTGAAACTTTGTTATTAAAGGTTATTTGTTATTTTTTTTAGGAAATAGAACCAACATGTGGAGAAACACTGTGTCGATTATTCCCAGCTGATGATAATATTGATTTGATAACAATCGCGAGAAAAATAGTGAAATCCGGTAAACGTACCGTTCATTCAGAGAAAAGTCGAGAGAGATATCAACCAGCTCGGAGAGGAAGCTTAAATAGGTTAGGAATCATTGTGTCTTGTGATATAGACTGTATACGTAACTACGGAAGAGGACTGACCTGAATTTATTGTATACAGTGTTGTCAATACCTTGGTAAAGTCAAATCGAAACTAGACTCAACAAATGAAAGGCTTCATTTGACTGTCTTATTAAAAATCAGTCTTTCAATTCATCAGTAGTCTTTTGGGGGATTACTAAGTTTAAATAGTAAGACTGGGTCTGTCACACTGAAAGATGTTTGTTTAGATATAACATTGTTAAAAAAAAAAGGGGGTGGGGGTGGTAAGTATTTATTTCTTGTCCAACAAATATTCTAAAGAACAATTTTGACCTAGATATTTCAGGCCAATTTTAATGATATCAAGAAAATGTAAAGTATTTGAACTTACCCTCATCCAGTCCACGATATCTTGTGCTTACGTGAAGAATTTTGTGTCAGTTTTTAAAAAGCACTTTGATTTACTCATTAGTGTTTATAATGAGTGAGTAAATTAATTGATAGTGGTATTTTCTCAATAATGAACATGATTCTTCCCTCTGTGGAGATAATACATCTAAGCTAATGGACTATTCTTACATAGAATTTGTGTTCCAAAATTCTTGCTGAAAAAGATACCTCCACCACCAGCATTAACGCTTTTACGTTAATTTTATGGACTAATACCATTGAAAAATAAGCATGCAACTACACATTTTCAAAGGAAATTTTCATCTATCAGCATACCTTATTATGGACAAACTACATTTAATTCAATAGTTAAGAATGGGACTAAACCATAGTCTTAATTTTTAAGTTGTGGTTACCTAAAATATAAGTGATGGTGCATCGTTTGGACTAAAATTCCGATATAAGGGACAAGATAAAATAATGAGCTTAATTCGCTCTAAAAAGGTATGAACTTAAGTTTAAAAGTGTTAAGGGTGAATTGTTTTGGACGTAAGGTTCAAGCTTTTGGGACCTTTTTATTCTGTGTTTTGTGTGTGACTTTATAAAAAAAAAATAAACTGCCGTTAAAGGAATATTCCTGATGGCTGCAGAAGTGCCTGTGAATGGTATGATGGTATGTGTTTATTTTCATTTTAAACAAACATGTATTTTTGAGTTGGTTTCCATACATATACATGTATGACAGAATTTTCAAGAGCAAGCATTTGTTTTATAGTTCAACGTACAGAGTACACAGGCATTAATAGTACACAACTTTCATTTGCACTCAAACATTACACTTTACACAACTTTTTCCCACAATCAGACATTACACTGTACACAACTTTTGTCCACAATCAGACATTGCACTGTTCACAAAGTTCATCATCCACAGACATTACACTTTACACAACTTTTGTCCACAATCTGACATTATACTGAAAGCTTACACAACATTCATCCACAATCAGACTGTACGCTGTACAAACATTACTTTTGGATATAACAACCAAAAGTCTTTAAAATCCAAATTCCACTTGTTTAGTACTTTATGTGCCAAATCAATTACATTTTGTCTTCTAGATTAAAATAGAATATTGAATTGCCTTGCCAGGAAAGTGCTCACCAGGATTATTTCATAATCGGCATATTGATCTACATGTACATTTACCCTTTATCACTGGAGTGAGGTCCCTGGTGTTTTGTTTTGTTGTTTATTTAGAGAAAGGTTTGAAATAGAATAGTTATCATCTATGTCAGAAATGAAGCCAAGAATGCAAGATAATAAAAGCAGTGCACCAATAATGACGTTGACATTAAATATGTTTTTTTTATAGGTGTCCTACACGTTAAACAGTGTCAAAATTTTGGACTAAATTTAATTGATCCTAAACTAAATTTCAATAATTTATTATTCTGATATATATGTATGCAGCAACCAAATGAATTTCATGAGTAATTTATCAATGCAGAAAATTATAAAGATATGATTAATAATACTAAATAGTCTTTCTTAATATTGAGTCTTCCCCGCTTTGGCATAGCCAAACAATTTGTCACTAGTATGTAAATAGAAAAAGAATGTGATGATCAACAAATGGAATTTGTTGTTTGTAGGGTTTAGTAACAGATAGTTGTACTGCAGACAAAAGCCAGGGATTACCCCATATATTGAAAAAAACAAACTCATTATCATTTATTGTTGTTTATAATTTATAGGGACATTAGCCAATAAAACTGGTCATTTCTTGTTATTAACAACATTTTCAACTGTAAATTTTAATAATCTTTCTCAAAATTTATAAATTACAGGTACACATTCCCTTGATATTCGTATGGTTGATGCACACATGTACTTGTACAATTTGATAAAAAAAAATATTGAAATAGAACTGTGTCAAAAAATGGGTGGAAATATAAAGAAAACTAATGGTTATTTGGGCAGTTATAAATAAAAAAAACTATTTGAAGGCCTTACCTTATTATCACGATTTAATTTGATAAAGATTAGAATAATTTTTAGAAAAAAAAAAAAGATTCTTGTAACCTTAACCTGTGCCCCTCTCTTGTATTCCAAAATTTTTCTATGCCCACATTTTCATGTGGACCTATATTGTCGTCGCCCCTGTCTGTCCGGACGTCCGTCAAAAATTTGTTTGTGGACACTCTACAGGTCACAATTTTTATTTGATTTTGACGAAACTTAAAATATAGGTCTATCTCCCAAAGATCTTGGTTCCTTTTCGATGGTTTATGGCCCCTGATTGTACGAAAAATCATATTTTTAGCTTGTGGATACGCTACAGTTCACAATTTTAATCTAATTTTTATGAAACTTGAAACACATGGTTATATCCAAAAGATCTTGGTTCCTTTCCATATTCGCGCATATCAGATCGTAATTTCCTGAATTGTGGCCCTTGATTGTATGAAAAATCACATTTTTAGCTTGTTGTCCCTCAAGAGGTAACAATTTTTATCCGATTTAAAAAAAACGTTTTAATATATCACCATTGCACCCTAATGATGGCTGAGTTCGAATTTCGTGAAAATCAGACTAAAATTGCCGTACAAAATAGCCGCCCCTCGTACGCAAGTTCTGTAAATATATGATATATCAAGGTTGTGGATCCTCTAGAGGCCACAATTTTGATCCGATTTTGATGAAACTTGAAATACATATTTATTACCCAAAGATCTTGGCTCCTTTCAATATTAAGGCATATTACATGTAGATCATAACTTCCTGAATTATGGTCCTTGATTGTACAAAAAAAAAAAAATTTAGCTTGTGGTCCCTCTAAAGGTCACAATTTTTATCCGATTTAAAAAAACATTTGAATATATCACCTTTACACCCTAAAAATGGCTGAGTTTGAATTTCGTGAAAATCGGACCAAACCTGCCGTACAAAATGGCCTCCCCTTGTACGCAAATAGTGTAAATATATGGTACTGTATATTAAGGTTGTGGACCCTCTAGAGGACACAATTTTGATCCGATTTTGATGAAACTTGAAATACATGTTTATAACCTAAAGATCTTGGTTTCTTTCGATATTAAATGTTTCGTATACTAAACGTTAGCATGGGGTAGAACTAAAAGCCAAATAAATTCTAATGTACTTCATGAGTTGTTACTCTTAATCAGATTTTAGTGTATTATAAATGTTTCATTACCAACAATAGAAAACATATGCGTCAACTCTTGTTGACTGCTCAGATGACTTTTCTTCTGTGGGCGTATGTTTCGTTACCTGGCAAAAGGGGCGGATTGGAGCATCGGGCGATCGCCCGATGGGCCGGTTGGACAAAAAACTGAAAAAAAATTTTTTTTTCCTATTTGTCTAAAAAACCTTTTTCTGCTGAACATTATATGCGAGGGTGGGGTATTGGACCGGTCATGGAGCGATGATGATCATGTTGTATGTGGGCGGTGGCTTTAACGGACCGCCACGCCATCACTGGAGTCTGGAATGAGCTGATATAATAGACTTTCTGGTCCGGGTGTGCTGGGTGTGGGCCGGAATTCGGAATCCTGCATAATATGACGATATGATGATTTCACAGGTTGATGATTGTAAATTACTTGCAGGTCGGGATTTTTGCCTAAATTAATTGATTTATGAGACATACTATTTGACAGAGATTATAATAAGATATGCCACCAAATCGCATATTTGGGGTTCATTTTTCAAAATTTTCCCGGCGGAAAGCCCCCGCATCCGGGCTCCGCGGTCAGTAAAAAGGGGCCGCTCCGACACGGGAGCCCAGGCCGGTTTCCGGCCCCAATCCGCCCCTGCTGGCAACCTATCTTTGTTTAGCTTATTCTCTATCCATCTCTTGCAAAATGTGGGCATACATGTATCTGCCTGGCAGCTGCTGGTTCTTTACAAAGATACGCTGAACACCAACTATAGCTACATGGATATCTATTATGACTGGTGAAGGCAACATCTGTATTATATCTGGAATATTTTATCTGTCACGTTTTGCAACTGTTACAAATTAAAATATTTAGATTTGAATTGATTAAATCTACATGTAATATGTTAATTGCTTTGTGAATCAACCCACATGTTAAAGATACATTATGGGAGATTAGATAAAGAGCTGGAATTTCTCCATATAATAGAAACTAGATAATGTAAAAGGAATTTGCTAAAAATTTCAGTCAAATTAATCAACTCTGAACTGTGGGGGGGGGGGGGGGTTGGATGGCTAAATGGTTAGCGCGCTGCGCTGTATTATACTGTCTGTCATTGAGTCAACTGGCGTGGTTTCGAATCCCCGGTTGTACGTGACAAGGAGTAGGGTCGCCTGTTCAACCTCATGGGTTTTCTCCGGGTCCTCCGGTTTCCTCCCAAGCGAATTACTGAAATAAAATTGAACCATGTGTTAGTCCCCAAATGACCTAGTTAGTGGCAAGTGGACGTTAAACCCCATTTCTCTTTCTCTTACATGTAACTCTGAACTGAGAATTTAGCGATTGAATTTTCGGTCTAGCCTCAATCATCATTACTAAAGTGACTTAGTCAGTACGATAAAAAACATAGTCTTGATTATCCATGATTTAATCATGAATAAAAATTGAGCAGCAGATCCAGTCCTAATCCAGTAAATATCGCAGGCTAGCGATGACATCGAGAGTTGATTATGGTCTGGATAAGTTAATTAATTTGTAATTAATAATTTAGATAACATTTCAGGCCTAAAGAAAGACCTGCAGTAGGCAGATTTTGCTTTTGCATAATGTATGTTTATTGGAACATGTATTGAAAAATGTAAAGCACTCCAAAAAGTAAAACCCCTCACCAAATTACATTGTGGGCTACATTATGTTTATATTCACTTATACAGTAGCTCAAATTGTTGAATTGTAGTAAAAAGTAGTTTCTTGCACAGTCTGTGCAGAATAGTAGGACATTGAACTCCATTCCGTTTCATCTATTTAAACATGGTGGGACTGTTGCATGAGACTTAAGGAAGAACCCTAACAAAATTTTGAATTGCATGTAATTTTTTGTGACCCTACAAGGCTACAGACGTTGCAAACTTTGTGGAATGGCACTCATGACGTAACCTTAGAATAAAACTTACCATACATATGTTTTATCTCAAAATGACTGATGAGACCTGAAACCATTAACCTGTGTATATCTTTAATTAGCAAGTTTTGTATTTGTAAGTTAATCTGAATACAATGACATAATGTTGGTGAGACTAGTGAGAGAGTGTTTTTTTTTTTTGGTTTTTTTTTAAATTACAGATCTACATGTACATACATTGCACAGTACATTACATAACATAAACATGTATGAGATACAGAAATGCTTGAAAAGTTCTTGATCATTCTGTTAAAACAATAGCTAAGTGAAAAGAAAAAAACTACACACACAGAGGATCCCAAATAAACATATTGTTTTGGCTACATTTCAGACGTCGACCTGGAGGACGTGAAGAGTTTTTTGATGGGCCTCGTAGAAAACGAATGAGAAATGATTATGAACGTGATGGTAAGCATAATTAGTACATGTATGATCGTTGTACAAAATTTTCTTGCTATTTTAAACTTTACCATGACTTAGTTTTTGTTTGCACAATATCAGTTAGGGCTGCAATGATTTACCATTGAAATTACAATTACAACAATTTTGGTACAGGTATCCACAAAAAATACGATATTTACTGGATTAGGACCCGTTTTGCTGCCCAACTTTCATTCATTTCATTTCTACTCCTCATTGTATTTTATTTTATCATTATCATACATTGTCCAATGTCTTGTATGAGATTTCCATTGAAACAGTATCTGTGTGAATATTGAATACTGTGAAATATATTGTCTTTGTTGGGTTTTTTTTTAGGCTTTAGGCGAATGGAAAGGTATGTATATTTTGATTTTACTGAATAGATGGTAAGATGAAGGCATCTGATTACATTTAAAATAAGAAGTACATGTATATTGTAGAATTTATTTTGACATTGATGTTATTGTCGGTTATATTTGTTATATATTTCGTGGGGGTTGGATGGCCGAATGGTTAGCAAGTGCGCGCTGTATCATACGGTCTGTCATTGAGTCAAGTTTTGATTCCCCGGTTGTACATGACGGGGAGTAGGGTCGCCTGTCCAACCTCATGGGTTTTCTCTGATTCCTCCGGTTTCCTCCCACTGCTAAAGACCCCTACGCGCCAGCGAATTATTGAAATAAAATTGCACCATGTGTTAGTCCCAAAATGATTATTACTTGTTATTGCAGAGGAGGACCACGAGGATTTAATCCACCAGGTGTCAGAAGAGAGACATTCCTAAATGGAGTAAGTTATTTTCAGAATAAATCCAGGATAAAATAAGTTGAGATCTCTTACTATATTATTAAGGCTGATTTCTGACATGAGAAAACTTGTTCATGATAATAAAAGTAGGTTATATGTTTATAATTCAATTTGATTTATTCACATATCTATCTCATATAATATGAATAATATCCAATGAATGAAGCCTGATAGTTTAATCAGATTGATGTACAGTAAAACAACATGCAAGTGCTGTATTAGTCAATCTTTCATGGAGGATTGAATCCAATTGTGATCCAAGTGTTTTCTTTTTAAATAATCATTTTACACATATACTAATAATTCCATATATATCTTGACATATTATTAGGCCCTCTAAATTTAAAATTAATCAAAAGAAATGTAATGATATTACTACAATAAACTATAACACATACTTATGGAAGAACAATTACTGATTTATTTGGGCGATGTTTCGAAGAGTATTCTCTCAACGTTTTCAAGCAAGTACATTAACAAATGTGTAGAGCAATTATATATAGACAAGCAATAACAACAATTCCCTTGATGTACCCTCACCTAGCCAATCACATCATGTATGGTTTCTCATTTGTCATGATTGGTTGTCCAATTAAAATTATTTACCCCTATAATCCGTCATATGTATATTGCCTTTGATCATGTTGTTTTTTAATCCTTTGATCTTGTTGTTGTCATGCATGGTTTCTGAATTGTTGTTATTGCTTGTCTATATATAATTGCTCTACACATTTGTTACTGTACTTGCTTGAAAACGTTGAGAGAATACTCTTCGAAATGTTGCCCAAATAAATCAGTAATTGTTCTTCCATAAGTATGTGTTATAGTTTATTGCTCTATCCAGTTACTAAATGCCTCTAAAAGATTGATATTACTACAGTGAATTATATTTAAAATTTCAGTCCTACAGTGATTATATGCGAGAGTTTGCTCATGGTAAATTTCATCCACCACCAATGCCACCGTTCGGACCTCCAGTAAGTATACTTCATTTCTTAATTACATTTGTAGTGGGCTATCAATCTAAAAAGCCTGCACATGTAAATGATTTTCCATGATTCACTCAAGGTTAAATATAGTGGCATCCATGAGAGTTTTAAACAAACCATCTTCAATATCCAAGCGTGCATTCTTAAGTATACTTAACAATGATTGGGGAAAATCGCTGACAAATTATCCTTGGTGTACAGGGCTTTACTTTTGAGAAGAGTTTTAAATGTATAGGTGACTTTATCTATTATTGTGCTAAGCAAACGATGACCAAATCATTAAATGATTGAAGTCAGTTCTAATTTTCCTCTTTTTAGTCAACGTTATTTTGATTGTTCTATACATGTATCATTTCAGCCACTGGGCTTTACTGTGACAAATGTTTTAAATGTATAGGGGACTACATTTGATATTTTGTTTAGTGAACAATAATCAAATCTTTGAACAGTTGAAGTCAATTCTAATTTTTCGTGTTTGTCTATGTTACTTTGATTGTAATATCATTTCAGCCCCCTGGATATTTTGAGCCACCCCAAGTGTATCCGGGACATCAATATAATCGAACACCACGAGAATTCCTAACTCGTACAGACTACCCTCCACCACAGACATCTAGAAGTGGTGAATCAGCTAAGCGATCAATGAGACAGGTATTATTATTATAACAGAGAAAATATTTGAAGTCAGGGCCCATCAGACAGTAGCCGCTCTAAATATATATGAGACCTTATTCTGTGTAGAGACTGAGAACCATGAAGTTATACGTTTTAGTTTAGTACACCACTACATTCAGTGGAGCAGTGTAAATTACTAGTGATCTCCACACTTCAAATTTGTGTCAAGAGAGAATATCACACAAGAAAGTTTCTCAGGACTTCCAGCCGGGTGACCCCTTGTCAGTATTTAGTCTTATGATGGTACAAAAAAACATGGACATGTCTACTTAGTGGTATGTAAGTAAAAGAAACATTGACTGTTAAAATTCCACTGTCCAGGCAAAATTTCTTTAGTGGCAAACTGCATGGTGTATGCCCGTCATCCTCAAACTTGGTGGTTCAGAAAAGTAGGACACGAAACCAGTGATGGGATTTCAAAAATTTTCTTGTCGGACATTTTTACCGAAAATAAAGGGTCATAACTCTTATCGTTATTTAAGCTGGCAGTTTTTAGACCACACACAAAAATCATGTGTCAATACAATATTAAAATTCGTTTGTAATAAATAATAGATGCACCTCGTTATTTTTCATATTTAATTCCTGTACGGTATTCGGATTTATGTCAGTATTATTCCTACAAAATTATGTGATGTCGTAATACGATAGAATGAAAGCGTGCCGACTACTGCCGATTCTTGCATGTTTCAAATTCCTCCAAAATTACCATATTTTTCGGGTCATAAGTCGATACATATTTCAGCTGAAGTCCGGCATTCGTCTTATACTCCGTTTCGACTTATATATGGAGGGTAAAAAAATTACATCCCGAAATTTATTTGGCGGTAAACATCGCTCTACAACATCATGCGAGTGACACGATCTGCTAAATAATAGCATTCGACTCGAGCATGCGCTATCGTCTAAAACAATTAATTACTATTCCAATCGACATATTCGTCAACATTTCCTCGCGTACTTATTTCTTTATTTAAAAAGATATACCCCATTCAAAATATGATCATAAATCCGAGAATATGCCATCAAAATAGAATCTTTTCTTCATTGCATAGTATCACGCATCTCGCGAGATTTCTACTACCGTTTCAGTTATCGTACTATAACCGGGTGTGATCATAAACAGAGTTAGCATTGTCGTATTTTTCAGATATGTGTGTGTGCTTTATTTAACGTTCACTTCCACCGAAGTGATATCGCAGACAAGTTATCGGATACATATTGATTTGGGGTGTTATGTGCTATTAGGATATGTGAAATATATGACTAATTTCTACATGTTGTCGGTCGACATCAAGGAGACTAAAACATCCGACAATGGGGAAATCATGGGTCAGTCACGTAGATTAAATTTATAATCACTCTCATTGGATTGATACATATCCCGACAAAGGAGAAGCAATGACTTCTGTTTAGGATTGGATTGATGAATTGTGTAATAATTGTTGGTGTATAGAGTATAGGCGGTATAACCCCATAAGTACGTTGATCACTTAATTACCAAATCAATCCAGCCTATTTTCAACGATAATCGGGTTGAGTGGTATATTAATTTTGGGATTTTGAATATTATTCACCATACCTTGATTTCCGATTGGGCATATACGGGCGAAATACCATCACTGCATGAAACCCTGTTTCATTTCATGGTATTAAGTAAAAAATCAACTGATGTAACCATATTGACACTTTCTTCTTTCCTCATGAGTGTATGGAGCGATAAATATAGAAATGATCAGTTTTGGTTCAAAATTCCTCAAATTTATGTAATACAATTATTTGTAATTTCAGTATGAAAGGGATGTGGATGACTTTTTACGAAGAACCTCTCATAGATCTAGTAGCCGAAGACGAGATCGAGATTCTGATAGAGATCGAGAAGGTGGTCGGGATAGAGATGGTGGTCGGGAAAGGGACAGAGATCGAGACAAAGATCGTAGAGATAGAGGTAGAGATCGTGATAGATCTCGAGAGAGGCGATAATATGGCAAAACGTACATGTTATGGGAACAAAACTGGCATTATTATGAACAAGAGAATGATGGGGTTTATTTGTTTAGTTTTAATTTGGGAGAGTATATTTAAGTGTGTGACTGAAACTGCTTGGATATTTTGATAAAATTTCTAGAGGAATATATGGTAATAAAACATGTTATTTGTTGAATATAAATATGTGTGTGTTTAGTATCACTGAATTTTATTGTATAAATCATTTAATACGCACACGTTGCTATTAGGTTATATTGTAAATACCGCTTTCTATTTGTTTTGTCATAGTTAAAAGTACATTAACCATGGCTAACCTTATAGGTGTTTGTCCAAGGTTAAAATTTGTCTTGTAATAAATCTTTTTCAAAAAGTTTAGGTAGGTTAATTGTAATAAAACTTGTATCATTTTCAATTTTAACTCATACAAACAGGTGATATAAACTCTATTTTATATTTTAAAAAAAAGAATAGAGCCCTTTTAATAGGATATTATTAAGGTCATACAATTGTAACCTACCATTATGTGATTAGTACTTTACACCACAATAAAATACATTACCCCATATGATGACCTTCACTATAAATAAGAAAAGATTATGTATTGTCGAAGGACAGTATTAGTGTATACTTGAGCTCAATATTTTACTAATCCAATAAAAATATCTTATGAAAAGAATGTGGTCTTTATATGTACTTGTATATATTAATTGAATTTGGTAAACTACTTACAGAACAAATATCTCATAACTGTATTCATCAACTGAAGGCATTACATATTTTATATGGTATTACTTGTAATAGAGGATAGATGCTAATGGATATGACATAAATTTTTTGAAATATTACAACTCATATTCTCACTCTAGTCAGGTTTCATTACAAAATAATATAAGTTCACCAACTGCTTTTTTTTTTTTTACGTTTTTAATATGCATGGTTTCTTGATTGGTCTAATCACTACATTAATTCATATCTGATCATAAGGACTATTCCATTTCCAATTACCAGGGGAGTGGGAATGCTACTTTAGAGTTATAGACACCCCCCCCCCCCCCCCCCCCCCCCCTCAATAACAACAAAAATGTGTGTATTTGTTAGAGATATTTCCAAATGGAGACAGTTTTATCTTGGGGTGATTAATAAAAAGAAATCCTTTTGTGTTATTAACTTTTTTTTTTCTACTGTATATTATAAACATGTCTATATTGAATTTCTAAATCTAATACACATTTTATTACATGCTTTATTGAAGTATACAGTCAGTGCTTGTTTGATATCAGTATTTTTAACCTCTATCATTGTGCTGGTAAGAGATTAGATACTTGATTAACTTGTAATAAATTTTATCATTTTTTAAGTCATTTTCTCATCAAATCACATAAGAAAATAAATGTAAATAGAAAGTTAATTCAGTTTTGTTTGTTGTTAATATGGAATTTTAACAGATGGGATCATCCAAACTCAACCAATCTGCTCATGTTGCTAGAAATGTTTTTTTTTTGGTCACCCGCCTTTCGAAGAAAGCAGGGGACTTTGAAAATGGGTTCGTCTGTTCGTCACACTTTTTGGGACACAATAACTCTTTCTAATTGAGTTAAAATGTTCAAACTCGGTGTAGGTGTTTATTACATCAATACCTTGACTAAGTACGATAATGAGCATTTTCTGCTCAGGGTAAGCAGAGCGATAAGTCTACTTCTAATTGATGTAGAATGTCCAAACTTGGTGTAGGCTTTCATTAGGTGAATGCCTTGATTGATGGAGTTCGATGATGAACATTGTATGCTTACAGTAAGCAGAGATAAGCAATCTGATTGGTTGATGCTTTGGGTCACAATAACTTTGGTTGTAATGAAGTTAGCGATGAAACTCGGAATATAGATTCATTATATCATTACCTTGACTAAGTTCGATGGTGAGAATTTTCTGCTTAGGCTAAGGAGCAATAAGCAATTTTGATTGGTCAAGACTTTGGAACATAACCACTCTGCTTTTAATTGAGTTAGAATGTTTAAACTTGATGTAGATGTTCATTGGGTGAATGTCTTGACTGAGTTCAATGAATAACATTTCGAGCTCTAGCTAAGCAGAGCTAATCAATTTCATTGGTCGATGCTTTGGGACAAGATAATCTTGATTCTGTGCTATTGTGCTATTAATTTTAAAATATGTGTCATCTATTTATTTTGGGATTTCGGCGGGGAACATCGGCCCCACTGTTGGCTTGTTTGTCTTGTGTTTGACAGGCAATACATGAATTCACGTGCTATAATTTCCTATATATAGCTGTGAAAAAGGATGACCCTCTCAGTTTCTCTCAAAATGGAGAAAACAGTATGTAAAGCCATGATTAAAGGGGCATTGTGGGAGATTGGATATAGATAAAGAGTTGATAACGTAACGTAAATAGAATATACTGAAAATTTTAGGTTAGTCTCGATTATCCATATAAACATATGTATGTTTAAGTATCTTCATTTATAAAAGTTTATTCATAATGACATGACATAAACATTAGGTGACATTGCCCTGTATAGTATGAACAGTCCTGTGCTGAATTTAAAGGGGGAGGATCAGAACTAAAGAAAAAACACAGTCTGGTCATCCTTGTGGACTGACCATCCAAGATAAAGTTGATGTTGTCCTCAATAATACAGGGCAGGCGATGTTGTTCTCAACAAAATAATACAGGACAGGTGACAGTTAGCTACTACACTGGACATTAGCAAAACACCAGTGGAAAGAATAATCTATGAAACGTTTTCATATGGTATGGAATTCCAAACAGCTCTTTATTCAGTGTTTTTAATTCATAGTCCTTAATTCTTATTTCTTCATTTGGTCTGTCATTGAGTCAACTGGCGGGATTTCGGTTTCCCGGATGTATATGACAAGGAGTAGACTTGCCTGTCCAACCTTGTGGGCTTTCTCTGGGTCCTCCGGTTTCCTCCCATTGCTAAAGACCCCTACGCGCAAGCGAATTATTGAAATAAAATTAAACCATATGTTAGTCCAGAAATTACCTAGTTTGTGTCGAGTGGATGTTAAACCCCATCTATCCCTCTCCAGATTTTCTGGCGTGGTTTCCCCTTTTCAGTGACCAGGACGGAGGGCCTGACAAAGACAGCTGTCTTGCTGTTCGGATGGGACGAAAAACCGAGGCCCTGTGTACATATTGGCGTGCACGTAAAAGATCCCTTCGCATTTGGAATTTGATATAAGAGTAGGCCGTAGAGCCGCTTCCCAGGCAAAATTTCTCTCATAGCACACTGTATGGCGTATGCCTGTCTTCATTAGCCCAGTTTAGGAGCAGAACAGTAGGACGTTAAACTCCATTTCATTTCATTTCATTTCTATTTCTTCATTTGTTTCCATATTTCGACATTTGTTTTACAAATCAGACATTTGGGAGATTATGTTTGATTTGACTCCCGTTTTATAGGCCCACATTTTCATGTGGACGTATATTGTCGTCGTCTCTGAACGTCCGGACATTCAACAAACCTTGAAATATAAGTTTATCTCCCCAAGTTCTCGGTTCCTTTCGATGTTGGCATGTATCGAAACGTAACTTCATGGATTATGGCCCCTGATTGTATGAAAAATTGCATTTTTAGCTTGTGGACCCTATAGAGGTCACAATTTTTATAGCCCAGATTGGTCGTATACTGTGTCGGTCCGGTGAGGCTAAAGTTAATATCCGATTGAAGTCACAATGTTGATCCGATTTTGATGAAACTTGAAATATATCTTTATAATAACCAAATGATCTTGGTTCCTGTTGATATTTGTGCATATCGGATCGTAACTTCCTGAATTATGGCCCTTGATTGTACGAAAAATCGCTTTTTGATTAGCTTGTTCTCTATCCATCTCTTGCAAAATGTGGGCATATCCTGCCCGGCAGCCGCTGGTTATATTAAATTTCAAATGGCGAACGGTTCTAATCTAGTTAAAATCTCAATCCGATGCCATCGAGAGTTGGTTATGGTTTTGTTTTCTTAATAAATGCCTAATTTATAACATTTCAGCCCTAAAGAAAGATCTGCAATAGGCAGATTTAGCTCTTGCATGCCTTTTTATGCGCCCACATTGAAATTGCTTGTGGACGTGGACGCTCTGAAGGCTAAAGTTAACATCCAATTTACTTTAAATTTATACACAGTGTTTAAGGTCATGAGACAAAGAAGCCTATTGATTTTCACCAATTTCCGATATTTACTGCCTGGCCTTTGATCACTTTGAAAAATCTTGTGGACGCTTTAGACGCTAAAGTTAATATCGGATTGACTTTAAATTTATACACAGTGTTTAAGGTCATAAGATGAAAAAGCCTATTGATTTTCACCGATTTCCAATAATTAATGCCAAAGTTATGGCCCTTGATCCCTTTGAAAAATCTTGTGGATGCTCTAGAGTCTGAAGTTAATAACCAATTGATATTTATACATAGTGTTTCAGGTCATGAGACGGAAAATCCTATTGATTTTCAACAATTTCCGATAATTACTGCCAGAGTTATGGCCCTTGATCACTTTGTAAAATCTTGTGGACGCTCTAGGGGCTTAAGTTAATATCCGATTGACTTTAAATTTATACACAGTGTTAAAGGTCATGAGAAGAAGAAGCCTACTGATTTTCAACAATTTCCAATAATTACTGCCAGAGTTATGGCCCTTGATCACAGGCATACACCATACAGTGTGCTATGAGGAACATTTTGTTCAGACAGTGGCACTACAGCCTACCCTTGTATCAAATTCAAACTATCGAGGGATCTTTTACGTGCACGTCAATGCATGCACAGAACCATCTGAACAACTATCCTTGCCAAGCCCTCTGTCCTGCATCACTGACAAGGGGGAACCAATATTAAACTTAAGCCATCTGTCTACTAAGCTAATTGACCGACATTTAAAGTCCTAAATTGTCGAAAACACTAAACTTCGAAAATTTTGAGATGTTATTATTTTGCTTCCATTTAATCAAATTGAAAAGGTTTTAGTCTTTGTGTGTAGGACAAATGTGAAAGGAAGTAGGACCGCATTACAAAACAATATACTAAATAACAATACTTGTACATCTAAAATAAATTACTGAAAAGTCATTCATTTATAGAGATTCATTTAATAACAGTAAAGAACAAGAGCATCGCTAACACTGCAATATACATCCACATTCCTGCTTTGATTGATATGGTACTTTTTGTCCCCCGCCTTTCGAAGAAAGCAGGGGACTATTAAAATGGGTTCGTCCGTCTGTCTGTCTGTCCGTCTGTCTGTCCGTCCGTCACACTTTTTGGGACACAATAACTCTCTTCCTAATTGAGCTAGAATGTTCAAACTTGGTGTATGTGTTTATTAGGTCAATGCCTTGATGGAGTTCGAAGATGAGCATTTTCCGCTTAGGGTAAGCAGAGATAAGCAATTTGATTGGTTGATGCTTTGGGACACGATAACTCTCTTCCTAATTGGGCTAGAATGTTCAAACTTGGTGTATGTGTTGATTAGGTCAATGCCTTGATGGAGTTCGAAAATGAGCATTTTCCGCTTAGGGTAAGCAGAGATAAGCAATTTGATTGGTTGATGCTTTGGGACACGATAACTTTTAATTGAGCTAGAATGTTCAAACTTGGTGTATGTGTTTATTAGGTCAATGCCTTGATGGAGTTCGAAGATGAGCATTTTCCGCTTAGGGTAAGCAGAGATAAGCAATTTGATTGGTTGATACTTTGGGGCACGATAACTCTCTTCCTAATTGAGCTAGAATGTTCAAACTTGGTGTATGTGTTGATTAGGTCAATGCCTTGATGGAGTTCGAAGATGAGCATTTTCCGCTTAGGGTAAGCAGAGATAAGCAATTTGATTGGTTGATGCTTTGGGACACGATAACTTTAGTTCTAATTAAGTGAGATTGATGAAACTTGGTGTATAGTTTCATTACAGTAATACCTTGACTAAGTTTGATAATGAGCATTTTCTGCTCAGGGTAAGCAGAGCGATACGCAATTTGATTGGTCGAGACTTTGGAAAACAATAACTCTCCTACTTTGATTGTTAGACTATAAGTAAAGATATACTGTTTGATTGTTCAATACTTTGTAAAAGATAATTTGTGATAAATTTATATGTGTCCTCTAATTATTTTCCTATTTCGGCGGGGGACATCAGCCTCACTGTTGGCTTGTTAAAATGAAGAGAATGAAATATGAAATGACTGTAATATGACAAGAGGCAAAGAAGGCTAGGGGTTGGGTTTGTTTTGCCAAATTTACAGACAAAATATTAACAAAAAAATGTGGTTTCGAATCCCCGGTTGTACATGACAAGGAGTAGGGTCGCCTGTCCAACCTCATGGGTTTTCTCCGGGTCCTCCGGTTTCCTCCCCCTGATAAAGACCCCTACGTGCAAGCGAATTATTGAAATAAAATTAAACCATATGTTAGTCCCAAAATGGCCTAGTTTGTGTCGAGTGGACGTTAAACCCCATTAACAAAAAAATGGGTGTGACACCGCCCCGGGGGGTCGGGTAATGCACCAAAATAAATAGTTGCTATCTTCTCGGTATAAGGAATAAATATGCAAAGTTCCAAGATGATCCATTCAGAATTGCAGCCTGTAGACAATAAATACAAAAATTGGGCGTGGCTCTGTCCCTGGGGGTTGGACATGGACCAATATATATAGGTACAACCATATGCTGGATCATTCCGAATTGTATCCAAATCTGTTAATAACTGCAACCTGTATATCATTTACAGACAAAATATCAACAAAAAATGGGTGTAGGAAGGGGTCGTGCACCAACATCAATAGTTGCCGTCCTTAGGGTATAAGGAATAAGTATACCAAATTCCATTATTAAGAATTGTGGCCTGTAGGCGACACACAGACACACCAAAATATATATGGGCTTGGCTCTGCTCCTGGGGGTTGAGCATGCACCCCATGTGATAGGGATGGTCCTTAGGGTACAAAGAATAAGTATGCAAAGTTTTAAGATGATATCTTAAGAAATGCGGACTGTAGACGACAAACAAACACATACAAGAAATCGGTGTGGCTCTGCCCCTAGGGGTCGGGCATGCACCAAAAACAATAGGGATCATCCTTAGGGTATAAGGAATAAGTATGTAAAGTTTCAAGATGATCACTTAAGAATTGTGGCCTGTAGGCTACACACACACACCCAGACAGGGTATAAAAATGCTAAAATAAACACAACAGTTCTATGGATAACAATTAGGGTTCCTTCTGTCTGTATTAGTATTGTGCTTGATAACAACAAGAGAATCATTGTTGAAACGTAGCTTTATAGAAATATAGTAATTGTTATCCATAGAACTGTTGTGTTTATTTTAATGTGTTCAATTACTAAATGCCATTCAAACAGTGTATAAAAATGTCTTATAAAATACAACCAACATATGAAAATTATCTAAAAAAGATTTGCATAATAATAAATACAAAATAGCAGTAAACAAAGAGGACTTATAAAATACAACCAAAATATACAATTTATAACAAATAATTACATGATATCTACAGCCAATACAATTTGGTGCATCTACAGAATATAACATTTCAAGTTTATATTATAAATACTAATTTGAACTTGAATCCATAATTTAACACAATATTAACCATTTGAGATAGCTACCCGGTATTATTATGTAGGGTTCATATAACAGTTTGAATAAACATAACATAATTTCACTTGGTGTCAATATTTATAAATGGCATACTATTAATTGTAGGCCTACCTGTAGTTTAATCTGTTTAACGGGTATTCTGTAAATAGCTATCTGCCTATTGCAGGTTTCTTTTAGGCCTTAAATGTTATATAAATTATTAATTAGACATTTATTAACATGACAAAACCACAATCAACTCTCGATGCCATCAGATGGCTCCGATTTTAAGTAGATTAGAATGGTTCGGCTATTTAATGATTGAATTAAAAAGCTGTCAAAACTACAACCATTGAAATATTATCGCGAGAATGGCCAGCTCTTTATCTAATCTTACATAATGCCCCATTAATGAATTTGTGAATCCCAAAAATAGTGTTGCAGTAGCTAACATTTGATTATAAAACAAAAAAGTTAACTAAGATGCATTATGTAAGAATTAGATAAAGAGCTGGCCATTCTTGCTATGAAGTATAGTAGTAGGGTGACCCGTGCATTGAAAATTTTCTCTACAGAAAGTTAGACTAGACACGGCGAATGTGCACGCTTCAGTGGCTTGTCTCGAAGTGATTTCTGGCTAAGCACGCACTATGATAATACTCAGCACTAGAGTCTATGATACTATAAATAGCCATTGCATGTGCAATTCTCTACACATCTATCAACTATTACAGTCGTAAAAAATCGTAGAATTTAGCTTTTTGGTTATTACAGCAGCTTTAGAAAATATGTTTGTTTTATTTGTTAAATTGCTTTATCATTAACTGTACCGTTAGGAGTGACATCTTTTGGTTTAGTACAAAAAATATCTCTGAAACACTTTCAATAGGCAAGAACATGATACTAGCAGTAGTTTCATTTTACTTTTACAAGGTTCTTAAAACAGCTGTTGAGTTGCCTAACGTGCATGTTTCTAAATTCAATTTCTTGTTCCAGCTTTCTGTTATGTTTCGTAAAAAAGTAGTCCTGATTATCCCGGCCTGTCAATCAGACGTAGAATGATCGGTAGACAGGTTAAGCGAGACTAATTTCAAAACAAGGGCACGGGACCTAATTTTTACTCACAAGTGCCCGGATGTTATGGCCGACACTCGTAACCATCTTTCAGTGTATTATTTATAGATGGTTAAATGGTCATAGCTTATTAAGTACAACCAGGGCTGGGGCCATTACATTGCCAATGTAATTAATTACATTACCATTACTTTTTAAATGTAATCATTACAATTACTTTCTCATTTTTAGCAATGTAATTAATTACCATTACCCATTACATTGAAAGTAATTAATTACCATTACCCATTACTTTATGACTATATAAATAAAAAACATTTTTTATAGAAATTAAAAAGACAACCATATTTTTCTGCCATGAAGTACCTACAAAATCAAACTCAAAATAATCCTTGATTTACTTAATAGATATTTGTTTATGAATTATTATTTCTAGCAATTATTATAACATCAAGGCAAATTTTATAGTGATGGGCAGTGGTGACAAAAACTGACATTTTCACTGTATGACTTGAAAAATTAATCAAAACTAGCCTATAGTTAATTAACTGTATTTTCTTTTAAGTAATATTTAAAAAAAATTTAATCAGTCCAAATAGTTTTTCTATAATATATTGTATAATAACTGGTAAATTATTCAGCTTGACTCTAAAACAAAATATATATTAGTTTTAAGTAACCATAAAATGATGAGATACTTGAAGGTCATTGTTTGGTTTGTCACTTGTTACCTTGAGATTAAGATTAAAGTGCAGTATGACTATTTATTGTCTTTTAATCTAACTGACTGATTGATTGATTTATTGACTGAGTGATTGGCTGCAAATTAGTACTAATCTTTGATTATAATATACATCTTATCAGAAATCCACTTCTTAGGTTACATGTCTAAAAAAGGTTCCTTCATAAAAAGTAATAAAAGAAAATGTTTAATGCCTTCTTATTTTTCTTATAATTTTTTAAAACTGATTAAAATCTTTTTTTTTAGAATTATAATGAATTGGATTTGTGTTAGATACACTTAATTACTTCTTTGGTGCTATAAAATTTGAGGCTTGTCATATTGGAAATATTTATATATGCCATAAAATGTAATTGAAAAGTAATTGAAATGTAATTGACCATTACATGATTTTTGGAATGTAATTAATTACATTTCCATTACTCATTACTTTTGAAATCTTCCATTACCCATTACATGACCATTACTTAAAAAATGTAATGATTACATGACCGTTTATTTAGTGACTATAAATGTGCGAAATTGATTGAAGGCTTGGTATATATATATATAAATATTGTGGTATAATTGTCGAGATATTTGGAGAAAATTGATAATGAAAAAAGACTATTTGGAAATTTCAGTAAAATAATTTTATTTTGTGCAAAGTTATGAGTGTTTGAAGTTTTGACAAAATGTATAGATTGTTCATTATCATAGCAACAGTACTTGACAAAATGAAATGAAATGGGGTTTAACGTCCCACTCCGACCGGGCTAATGAAGACGGAGTACTTGACAATCAAGATTAAGTCTCGATTGTCTATTTTATCGTTAAACTTGTAAATGGCTGCAGTGTTCTAATCTACTTAAAATCAGAGCCACCCAACGGCCTAGAGAGTTGATTATGGGCTTGTCATGTTAATAAAAATTTAAATAAATATAACATTTAAAGCCAAAAAACAGACTGCAATAGGCAGATTTTGGGTTTGCTCTTAAAATATTTAGTTATTTTCGGGTTTGTCTGTAAAACACATCAAAAACCTACTTGCTTAACATAAATTTTTGTGTAAAAATCCTTCTCTAAAACTCGTTGGCTCTCTTTGCAACCAAGCCTGGAAATAACTTTCAAATGTGTGTCTGACACCATGTCAGGCTGGATGAACATTCTGCCTGACATTTTACATTTTCGGCACAAAGTCTATCAAGATCTATTCTGTTGACTAATATCTTTTGCGATCCACGTGACTTGAGTCAGGGCAGTTTTACTTAGTTTTCGTTTGTTGGACGAAATTGGTTTTGATTTGTCACGGATATAGAAATGTTACCCATTAAAATGCATCGAATGTCATGATACTTGGGGTAGATACATTTCGGTCAGGTGCTATTTTATCTCGGAAATGAAACACGAACACGATGTTTTAAAGAATGAATAATTGAGTCACGCTTGCTGCGGATTTAAAATACACACCACTTCCTGAGAACTTAAGTAGCTAAGTCTCTAACTCAATATCATCCAAAGACATCGACATTGAAAACACAAATTATTTGTCAATTTAAATCAACATTGATGCTGTGATCTTACCCGGGTAAAGATAGGCTTCTGATATCCAATATTTAAGACAAAATAAACATTTTACCATTGGTACACGCATCGTGTACCATAATGCGTTTCAGCGTCCTTTGTAACAAAGAACGAGGCTAGACATATTCCACAAGTCATATCAAATGGTGACCTCATATTCTTATCTGAAGAGCATGACAATAAATACTGTCGGTGCTGAAAAACCAGATGCTAGAGATTGCCATTCGATTAAGACTTCTATGGCATATTTCGCCAAACATAACTAATTAGAAATTATAGTAAAAACAGAAAAGATTGAATGTAAATCAGTTTATATACATTCATATTACATTATTACCGGTATATGCGTTGCGACCGATTTGTGTCCATTTCTAGGTTCAAAATATTAGCGATTTAGCTCCTTTAACTATTTGTTGTATGATTACATAAAGTATGATCAAGACTTTGAGTTAAATCTTAAAATATTAAATCCCTTTATAAACTGTAGTGGCTACGTATACACAACTTTGTACATGTTACCGTGAAAACATGCAGATATTACTACGCCGTAAATACTACATGGGAATAATAACATAATACGGAACTTCTGGGGTATGGTTAATTATTTTACTGTAGTTTACGAACTTGTTAGAAATTTTAAACAGGAAGCCTATTTTGTAAATATGCAGGAACATGTTTCATCAAAATTTGTAATAAAAGGTTCTATGCTGAAATACATACAACCGAATTACACCATTCGACTGACGACTGCTCAGTGCGTATCGGCATTAGATTTATTGAGAAAATATCAAATCTCTGAAGCATGACAACGTATAAATTCCACAACAATGTATGTTTTATCTCGTAAGATTCCCTTGAATATATGTGACAAAAATAGGTAAATTTTAGTATTCGGCACCTACGATGAATTTATTACGCCCGTTTTCGATACATTGTTGAACCTTCAGTCATGGAGTTGAACCATGATATCAAAAATAGTTGATTGCCCTGTCAGTATTTGCCTTCCTATAGTTTTTTTTTTCCTGATTATAACCCTGTATCCGTTGGGTTAGCATAGTTAGATTTTAAATTATAGAGCTACTCTCACTCGCCAACATTATCTTTATGTCTGGGAATGAAATTCTGAGACTACAGCCATGGCCATAGAAGCAAGCCCGTGTGGTTGATTGACAAGACTGTGAAATGTTTCAGATAAAAAAAGTAATATTGTGGATTAATAGACTTTTATGTGCGTTTTCCGACTGTTGGTTGTGACATAGCATTTTCCGAAAATGGCGATAATCTGCTGATAAATTTATCCTCGGACAAAATGACAGACTGTTTGGAAGTTTCACCCGACAAGTCGCGAAATTCGATCAGACTTTTTCCATGTCCGACCAGTTATTTCAAGGCATGTTTGCAACACTAGCCGACATGTTTGATTTGTAAATTATTTCTAGGTAGTAAAAACATTGAGCAACCTGGTCTTTATGCAGACGACATATTTTCGGTATTACTTCTGGTAGTAGTATTTGCAACATTTGAGGTGGAGTTATATCCCTGGTTTATTCCATTTGCATCTACAATTTCTGTAGTATATGACGTATCATTCCGTAATGTCTTCATGTAAAAAAATCTGGCAAGCAATGCCAACAAAAACATCTCAAAAATAAGCAATCCATGATGTGTAACTGTAAATAGATAATTATAAAATAAAATCTTCACATTACTTGAGTTTCTCTAGAGCTAAAGGTTATTGTGTTTGTGTACAGGAATCTGTGCATGCCTTGTTATCAGACATATCTTACTCCACCCATATTATCATTAACACTTTATTATCTTATGAATTGTATAATGGATGGCATTTAATGTCACTTCAACACAATACTTTGAATCTATAGACATACATATTAATGCAGGTGTTATTTCTATGGTTGCATTAGCAATGCTAAATGGAAGATTTTTGCCCAGACACTGACATTTCTGTACATAAGGCAATGAACTTGGGGGTGCAGATTGTATCAAATATTTTCAGTTTTTTTTATAGTAGGCCTATTATTCCACAGCCATAAACTACATACTATCAAAAGAGCTATCAAAAGGACTAGCAACTTATAGCTACACTGCACCTTGTCATGCATGTACAACTGTACTGGATGAAACTCATGATTGCATAGACGACCGAAGATTTGCTGAAACGCTGCTCCTCTAAAATTCAGTAATTGTGTTTTATTTGACCGATTAATAGGGAACCCAACACCTTGGCCCCACCCTCTTCATCCCCGTCATCATGTAAGTTTGCTGTAATGGACATGGTTTTGACAATGTTAAAACTTTTGAGTGCATCTAGGCAAGGGGTAATATTATCAAGGTGTTTAAGTTTGATAGGAACTGACTAATGCTATGGGAAATATTTCTGTTCAGAACACATCTAATTGTCAAATATTGTATTCTGTTCCTTCTTGTTAAACTGTGGTGATATATAGCACAGAGTTAAATAAAATCCTTACCATTTCCTATGATTTTTGGTGAGAGAGTTCCTACACATGGAAAGACATCATTCGATGATAGTATACTGAATACTAAGATCTGTAAATTACTCGCAACTAAAACTAATTGAAAACAAATAAATTTTGGCACAATATGGTAATGTTTAAGATGGTCCTTCGATGCTCGATATATAAGTATCAAACCATACATAGCTAATAATGTAGATAATGTATTGGTCAGGCCAAAAATAGTATTAACTGTTGATTTAGTTAACTGAAATAAAAATAAATAGAAAAGTTATTTGTAAATATTGATAAAATGTGTGTGTGTGTCTTAAGAAAGCCATTTTTTTCTACATTCATTCTATTTTCATTCTGCGCATGTGAAACGCCAAGGCCTTGATTACATCTTCAACAAGCTCTTGTCATACAAGATACGCTCACATTTTCCTATACATGGACAGAGAACAAGCTAAAAAAGCGATCTTTAGTACAATCAGGGACCATAATCCAGAATGTTACGGTCCAACATGTGTCAATATCACAAGGAGCCCAGATCTTTGGAATACGAATATATATTGTACGTTTCATCAAAATCGGATAAAAATTGTGACCTCCAGAGGGTCAACAACCTTGTATTACATGCTTATTATACTATTTCCGTAATGATCCCATTGTCTCATAAATTCAAACTCAACCATGATTATGGTGTAACTGATATATATACGGTTCATAAGCTAAAAAAGTGATTTTTCGTACATTCAGGGAACATAATCCAGGATGTTATGGTCCGACATGCATCAATATCGAAAGGATCCGAGATCTTTGGGATATGAACATACAATTTAACTTTCATCAAAATCGGATAAAAATGCTGACCTCTAGAGGGTCAACAACCTTGGTATTACATGCTTATTATAACATTTGCGTAAAGGGGAGTGGCCATATTGTCAGACAGTCTTGATCCAATTTTCACGAAATTCAAACTCAACCACAATTATTAAATTCAATAGGCTTCTTTGTTTTACTAATTTAAATGATGCATATAAATTTCATACAGATCGGATAATAACTTTTGCCGTTACAGCATTCTCAAGGTACAACAAGATGACTAGTCATCTAGTCATCAACATCCCGCGCCCTTGCACGGAAGAAATAAGGAAAAATAACTTGTTTATGCTATTGGTAATCAATATAAAAATGTATCAGATTTCGCAAACAGTGTCACTGGTCCTAATATTGTGGCCCTGTTTAGTAGATATTGCTCTCTATTTCTGAAAACAAATGACTAATTGATATTTACTAGAAGATTTGAGATAATTTATGACATTAAGCTCTGGTTTTAAAAATTAGACATGACTACATAGAAAATAGAGATATTTTGCAAGTGGAGGGAACTGGAGCTTTAGACAAATCTCATATTCCGACACATGGAATATCAATTCACAGAATTTCATACTCTGATCACAGTAGCTCGGCAAGGCAGGGTCGCTACTGCCTGTAAGGTTTGCACAACAACCTTTGCCTACCTCAATTAGCTACTGTATGTTAAACAATAAACTTATACATCAGAAAATAAAATACTATAATAGGTTAATGTTTGTACAAAGTTTCAAAAAAGATTTCTTGAACAGATAATAAAATATGCTCCAGAAACAAAATCAGGACGGAAGGCGTGATTTCAGAAAATAAAATAATGGGTAAAATTATTTTAAAGGTATCTTGAACAGTCAAATGTGTTTCCATGGAAACACATAAAATTATCAAATCTGAGAAATTCAAAATAAGTGCCATGAAGTTATCTTGAACAATTTATGAGATATGCTCCAGGAACAAAATTGTACACCAAAAACTAAGTAAAATTTGTTTCCATGGAAACACACAAAATATCAATCCCAGAAATTCCTAAATAGCAAAAGGCACAACTACTGTAACGGGTTGATGTGTGTGCAAAGTTTCAGAAAGATATCTTGAATGGTTTATGAGATATGCTCCGGAAACAAAATTGTACACCAAAAACTAAGTCAAATTTGTTTCCATGGAAACACAAAAAATATAAATCCCAGAAATTCCTAAATAGCAAAAGGCACAACTACTGTAATAGGTTGATCTGTGTGCAAAGTTTCAGAAAGATATCTTGAACGGTTTATGAAATATGCTCCGGAAACAAAATTGTACACCAAAAACTAAGTCATTTTTGTTTCCATGGAAACACACAAAATATCAATCCCAGAAATTCCTAAATAGCAAAAGGCACAACTACTGTAATAGGTTGATGTGTGTGCAAAGTTTCAGAAAGATATCTTGAACAGTTTATGAGATATGCTTCGGAAACAAAATTGTACACCAAAAACTAAGTCAAATTTGTTTCCATGGAAACACAAAAAATATAAATCTCAGAAATTCCTAAATAGCAAAAGGCACAACTACTATAATAGGTTGATGTGTGTGCAAAGTTTCAGAAAGATATCTTGAACGGTTTATGAGATATGCTCCGGAAACAAAATTATACACCAAAAACTAAGTCAAATTTGTTTCCATGGAAACACAAAAAATATCAATCCCAGAAATTCCTAAATAGCAAAAGGCACAACTACTGTAATAGGTTGATGTGTGTGCAAAGTTTCAGAAAGATATCCTGAACGGTTTATGAGATATGCTTCGGAAACAAAATTGTACACCAAAAACTAAGTCATTTTTGTTTCCATGGAAACACAAAAAAATATAAATCCCAGAAATTCCTAAATAGCAAAAGGCACAACTACTGTAATAGGTTGATATGTGTGCAAAGTTTCAGAAAGATATCTTGAACAGTTTATGAGATATACTCCGGAAACGAAATCGAACGGACGGACAGAAAGACAGACAGACGGACCGACGGACGGACGGACGGACGGACGGACGGACGGACCCCATTTCAATATCCCTCCCTAACTTCGTTCGGCGCGGGATAACAAAATGAAACAAGGGCCATAACTCACGGCGTAATTAATGGAAATTGCTGGAATTCAATAGGCTTCTTCCTTTCACTAATTTAAATGATCCATATCAATTTCAAACAGATCGGATGGTAACTGTTGTCATTAGAGAGTTCACAAGATTCAACAAAGTGAAACAAGGGCCATAACTCTAGATGTAATTAACGGAAATTACTGAAATTCAGAAGGCTTCTTTGTTTTACTAATTTAAATGATGCATATAAATTTCATACACATCGGATAATAACTTTTGTCGTTAGAGCATTCACAAGGTGCAACAAAGTGAAACAAGGGCAATAAATTCAGAGGAAATTAACGTAAGTTATTGAAATTAAATATGCTTCTTCATCTCACTAATGCAAACAACATATATCAATTTAAAAAAAATCAGATGATAAATGTAGTCTGTAGAGTGTTCACAAGAAATTGACACCACAGTGGATGTGACACCACCCCAGGGTGTCGGAGCATGCACCAAAATAAATAGTTGCTGTCTTTATGGTATAAGGAATAAATATACAAAGTTCCAAGATGATCCATTCAGAATTGCAGTCATTAGATGATGAATACAAAAATTGGGCGTGACTCATGCACCAAAATCAATAGTTGCTGTCCTTAGGGTATAAGGAATAAGTATACCAAGTTCCAAGATAATCCATTCAGAATTGTGATCTTCGGGCGCTAAAAACATAAATTGGGTGTGGCTTGGCCCCTGGGGGTCGGGACATGCACCAACATCAATAGTTGCCACCCTTAGGCTATAAGGAATACATATGTCAAGTTCCAAGTTGATCCATTTAGAATTGTGGTTTGTATGTGATAAACACAAAATTTGGGCGTGGCTCTGCCCCTGGGGGTCGGGGCATGCACCAAAATCAATAGTTGCCGTCCGTAATCTATAAGGAATATATATGTCAAGTTCCAAGACGATACATTAAGAATTGTGGCCTGTAGGCAATACACAGACACACAAAGAAAACATGGGTGTGGCTCTGTCCCTGGGGGTCAGGCATTCATTACATTGCAATTGGGGCCATCCTTCGGGTATATGGAATAGGTATGCACAGTTTCAAAAGGATCAGTTAAGAATTGAGGCCTGTAGGCGAAACATAGACACACAAAAAGAAAATGGACGTGGCTCTCCCCCTGGGGGTTGGGCATGCACCACAAACAATAGGGATGTTCCTTAGGGCATAAAGAATAAGTAAGCAAAATTCCAAAATGATATGTTAAGAAATGCGACCTGTAGATGACAAACAACAAATACACGAAATGGGCGTGGTTCTGCCCCTAGAGGTCGGGAATGCACCAAAAACATGTTAAAGATACATTATGTGAGATTTTTATAAGGAGTTAGCCATTCTTGCTATAACAGTTCAAAAATAGATGATGAAAGAAGAATATATTGAAAATTTCAGTCAAATTACTTTATTCTGAACATAGTTATCACCAGTGTAATTTTTGACTAGAAATGGGATTGAATTCCATCTTCACCGATTCTTAGTATGGGTGATCGTTTGATTGACAGGCGTTAACTCCACCTACATAATCTCTGCTGTCTTTTGTCGGCTGTCATCATATCCGAATCTGTGTTTTACCTTTTTGGATTTTTATAACAATTGGACAAAATGAGTGAGAGGGTAAATTTTCATTCTTACCTGTATTTTGGGAATGCATTAAATCAATTGAATATAGGACATTATAAACAATTATGATAAATCTATAGGTATACACCAGTGGCGTTGTGCCTATTGGGGAAATAAAAATATTTTTATTGATATTATTAAGACAGAAGACCTGTCCGTCTGTATTAGTCATCACACGGTCTCCAGGAATTGTATAATTTGTCATTTTCTGTGTTTAGTTTATTGCACTTTAAATAGTTTTGATGTCATTTGTTAAGGCATCGCTCAACAGCGGCCTCGCTTCGTACACTCTATAATTTAGCCTTGATCCGGGAGTATGACGTCAACGTAACGGTTAATCTCCGCTCACGACGCCATTTAAAATTAAATCAGTCAACGAAATCCTGTTTGTTGCGTAAATAAACATCTAATTTATAATTTCTATGACATCTGAAGCCTAAATAAAGACTTGCAATAATCAGATTTAGCTCTTGCATAATGTATGTTTAAGTTTCAAGATGATCAGTTAAGAATTGCGGCCTTCAGGCGAACTATAGATACACACACACACACACAGACTGGGGTGACCGCAATATACGTCCACATTATAATGTGGACGTATAAAAATAAAAATTGTGACCTGTAGAGGATCAAAAAAACAAAAGACATCCACATGAAAATGTGAGCGTATAAAAATGTCAGTGAGCAGTGCGTACTACTGCATAAGATTTAGCCAATATTTGATGAAAGATTTAACTGGAAATAGATAAATATAAAACGGTGAGATGAATTATTTTTTTTAGGCCACTAGCAGATAACCTGGCACTGCACGGGTTGAAAGTAGTATGATTCCGAAACCGGAAGCAGTAGTCCAACACCACCTAGCCCATGTTATTCACCGGTCCTCTGAACAGGACAGACTGTATATTTACAAAAACTTTTTATTTTCAGAAGTATGATTTATGTCTACTTGCTCTGATGTGAAAGAGTTACAATGAATGAGCTTAATCCTGCTTTCTTGTTTTGACAAATAAATATATCAACCAATAACACAAAATTTCATTAATTAAATTCGTTGTATGACTATATAAACCAACTCACCATTCCTTCAACATACAAGCCTTCTGTCCATAGTACAGCAGATAAATACATTATCAGTGGCCGAACAAATGCACACTGAAGTACTATTGCAGAAATGATTCTATAAGTCTTTCTGTAAAATAAGTAGAGTAAATAAGTATCATACCATAGTAGTTTTTCTAAATTAATCTCTGAAGCCTCCTTTTCTCCATTCTTTAATTTCTATGATAAACTATTTTATATTTTAGGATTCATAATAGAATTTTTATTTTAAGCTTGTTCTAAAAACAAGCTAAAAACAAAAGCGATTTTGCGTACAATCAGGGGCCATAATCCTGAAAGTTATTTTCTGAAAAGCGCAAATATCGAAAGGGACTGAGATCTTTGGGATATAAAGTTATGTCTTAAGCAGGGATCTTAATCGGCTGTTTTTTGTCAGCTTTAGCCAATTGATCTTTAATCTAGCCGATTGGTAAAACAATGAACCGGCCACTAAGGTATCACAAATCAATCTACTTTCAGCCAATTTACAAAGAATTAATTATCAGGCCGATTGGTAAAATAATGAGCCGGCCACTATAGTATCATAAATCAATCTACTTTCGGTCGATTACAAAGAGTTAATTATCACTCGTCAATTAAGAAACCCATCAAAGAGTCAATCATTGCAATGAATACCTTCGGCTTATTTCATAAATAAACAACTTAATTGAGGTTATCATGCCAAGTAAAAGAATGTATATAATCCAATGTCGGTTCATTCATTTCTATCAAACAGTGAAATATCCAGTGAAATTGAGGAAGAGATCCTCTCAGATATCCGAACTAGTCCTGCTGCAAGTTTTATGTTTGATGAAAGCACAGATCTGTCTTCTGAGAAACATTTAATTTTGTATTTTAATTATTTGAAAGGTGGACAATTGTTGACCAAATTTATAAAATTGATAGAATGTAATGTGGTGGCAATTACTAATGTTATTATTGCATTCTTACGAACCAACAAGAAAGATGTCAAAAAGATATTTGGTATGGGGTCAGATGGGGATGCAGTGATGCTGGGGAAACGGAGGGGGGGGGCGTAGCAGCCTTACTAAAGGAATATGCCCCACTTCTTATGGAAGTTCATTGTATTGCCCACCGTCTAGCTCTTGCTATTGTTGATGTATCAAAAAAATTGTAACCTTTAGAGTGTTCACAACCTTTGTATTACATACTTTTACACAATTTGCTTACAAAGAGCGGCCATTTTGTTGGGCAGTTTCATTTCAAGTTTCCCGAAATTCGATTTTAACCTTCATTATAATGGTTATATATTTAAACGTTTTTTAAAATCGGAAAAAAAATTGTGACCTCTAGAGAATCCACAAGCTAAAATTGCAATTTTTTGAACAATCAGGAGCCATAATCCAGGAAGTGACGGTCTGACATGCGCAAATAGTGAAAGGAACCAAGATCTTTGGGGCATAAACATAAATTTTAAGTTTCATCAAAATCTGATAACAATTGTGACTTCTAGGGAGGATCCACAATCTTGGTATGACATACTTTTACACTATTTGCGTCAGGAAGTTTTGGACCAATTTTCAAGAAATTGGAACTCATCCTTCATTAGGGTGTAATGGTGATAAATTTAAATATTTTTAAAATTGGATAAAAATTGTGACCTCTAGAGGATCCACAAGCTAAAAACATGATTTTTCGTACAAACAGGGGCCATAATCAAGGAAGTTATGGTCAGATATGTGCAAATATCAAAAGGAACCACCATCCTTGGATTATAAACATATATTTCAAGTTTCATTAAAATCAGATCAAAATTGTGACTTCTAGAGTGTCAACAACCTTGGTATTACATACTTTTACACTATTTGCGTACAAGGAGCTGCCATTTTGTCTGGCAGTTTCGGTCAGATTTTTATGGAGGTCACAATTTTCATCTGATTTTGATGAAACTTGAAATGCATGTTTATAACCCAAATATCTTGGTTCCTTTCTATTTTCGTACATATCGAATCATGACTTCCTGAATTATGGCCCCTGATTGTACGAAAAACTGCGTTTTTTGCTTGTGGTCCATATAGAGGTCACAATTTTTTTCCGATTTAAAAAAAATGGTCGAATATATCACCGTTACGCCCTAAGGATGGTTAAGTTCGAATTTCATGAAAATCAGACCCAAAACGGCCAGACAAAATAGCCGCCCCTCGTACGCAAATAGTGTAAACATCTGGTATATCAAAGTTGTGGATCCTCTAGAGGCCACAATTTTTATCCGATTTTGATGAAACTTGAAATGCTAGTTTACAACCCAAAGATATCGGATCCTTTCAATATTCGCGCATATCGGAATGTAACTTCCATAATTATGGCCTCTGATTGTATGCAAAATCACGTTTTTAGCTTGTGGTCCCTCTATAGGTCACAATGATTATTCAATTTAAAAAAACGTTTGAATATATCACCGTTAAACCGTAATGTTTGTTGAGTTTGAATTTCGTGAAAATCGAGTCAAAAATGCGCAAATATCAAAAGGGACAGAGATCTTTGGGATATAAAGATATGTTTTAAGTTTCATCAAAATCGGAAAAAAATTGTGACCTCTAGTGGGTCCACAATCTTCGTAGCATACTTTTATACAATTTACTTTTATACAAGAGCGGCCATTTTGTCAGGCAGTTTCATTTCTATTTTCCCAAAATTCAAATTCAACCTTCATTATGGTGAAATGGTGATATATTTAAACAGTTTTTAAAATCGGAAAAAAAAGTTGTGACCTCTAGAGAATCTGCAAGCTAAAAATACAATTTTTCGAACAATCAGGAGCCATAATCCAGGAAGTTACACAATCAGAAGCCATAATCCAGGAAGTTTCGTTCGGATATACGCAATAATCAAAAGGAACCCAGATCTTAGTGTGTAATGGTGATATATTCACAAGTTTTTTTTAAATCAGCTAAAAGTTGTGACCTCTACATGGACCGCAAGCTAAAATCGTGATTTTTCTACATTTAAGGACCATAATTCGGGAAGATACAATCCGATACGCGCAAATATCGAAAGGAACCAAGATCTTTGGGTTATAAACATGTATTTCAACTTTCATCAAAATCACATCAAAATTGTGACCTCTAGAGGGTCCACAACCTTGATATACCAGATCCTATACACTATTTGCGTACGAGGAGCAGCCATTTTGTCTGGCCGTTTTGGCCAAATTTTCATGAAATTCGGATTCAACAAACCTTACAGTGAAACGGTGATATATTCAACCATTTTTTTAAATCAGATAATAATTGTGACCTCTAGAGGGACCACAAGCTAAAAACATGATTTTTCGTACAACCTAATAATTCGGTTAGTTAGAATCCGATATGCGCAAATATCGACAACAACCAAGATCTTTGGGTTATAAACATGTATTTCAAGTTTCATCAAAATTGGATCAAAATTGTGACCTCTACAGGGTTCACAACCTTGATATACCAGATGTTATACACTAGTTGCATAGGAGGGGCAGCCATTTTGTCCGGCAGTTTTGGCCCGATTTTTATGAAATTCGAACTCAATAAAAGTGATATATTTGAACATTTTTTTAAATCGGATAATAATTGTGACCTCAAGAGGGACCTCTACGGTTCCGATATGCGCGAATATCGAAAGGAACTGAGATCTTTGGGTTATAAACTTACATTTCAAGTTTCATCAAAATCAGAAGAAAATTGTGACCTCTATAGGGTCGACAAGCTAAAAACATACAATCAGGGGCCATAATCCTTGAAGTTACGGTCCGATACATGCCAATATCGACAGGGACCAAGATCTTTGGGAGATAGGCCTATATTTTAAGTTTCGTCAAAATCGGATAAAAATTGTGACCTGTAGAGTGTCCACAAACAGGGCGACGGTATAATACGCCCACATGAAAATGTGGGCGTATAAAAACTAGATAATGTAAAGGGAATATTCTGAAAATTGCTTGACTCTAAACCGAGATATTAGCTAGTCTGAGTCCATACGCAGAACAGAGTTGTCTTTCCTTGGGAGAAGTTATTGTTGATGAATTCATACCTCTTTTAGGCTCCGCCCACATGTCATAAAAAGATAATGCAGTCGAGATAAAACATTTTCGCTAATGCAATGTAGAAGTTACTAAGACGAAGATGTAATGTAGATAGTGAAATGTAGAAGATGCCAAGACAATTATGCTTTGTTCAATGTTCAATGTCGAAAGTGAAAAGACATTGCACATATCATTTTAGGTATTGTGTCGATTGTTTTATGTAAAGTAACATTTGTATTTTGAATTAGCGGTATCATGACATAAGTAATAGAGGTATTTTGTATTGCAAAAGCAGTATTAGACATAAGTACATAACATCTAATTCTGAATACGATTGACCTCCATACTTATTACCCTCAAAGGAACATATCTTTTTTTAAAAGTATGATAGTAATGACTTACTTGTTGAGAAGAACCATAGGACAGCAGCAACAACAACAAGCCAATGGTGGACTACGTAGAGCTATTTTAGTATCTGTAACTATATGTAGAAATGCAGCTTCTCCACCATAATATGATATCATCAAATTTACAAACATGTAAAGAACCACTGCAAGATACCTGGAGAAGACAAATACACATTATTACAAGTATCAGTATTTACACTCACCGTATAAGGGTTATTTTATGTACACGCCAATATATAACCAGGTGGATCTTGACACAATTTCGCAGTCACAACCCAGGAAAAGTGAAGACTGGCCTTGAAAACCCCTGAAGATTCTATTCGGCCATGCTGGGATTCAAACCTGGAACATTCTAGTTGAGAGTCCATTGCCCTGTTGACTCAACTACGACCCACCATTGCTGCACATTGCATCCCTGTGATTTATAATAAAGTAAGGCAGAAAGCCTTTTTAGCGACTTTATTATTTTGTGCACATCCTTTTTAGCGAATGTTATTTTCTTTCACATTAAAAATATGCTTGAAGCATGGTATTGCAGTAAAAGATTGGCCACACATGCTCTACAGACTAAAAATAAGACCAATATTTTTGTGCAGTGATTGGGGCTTTTTTCAATGTGATTTTCTATTATTTTTCTGTTTTGTATCTAGATTTTGGATATTCACACAGCTATTCTCTGGAATATATAAAATACACATATATTAAAATATAAAATTTCCTCACCCTGATGCTAGAAGCTGATCTAATAAAGATGAACGAGGAACAACAATGGCTAATAAAGATGTCGAAGAGAAAACCTGAAATTTGGTAAATATGCATACATATTCCAACTATGTGCTAGTCACTTTACATAGGAATTGATGCTGTTATGAGACTGAAATGATCAGCTAAACGTTTGTTGAATGGGAATAATTAATAGAATATACTTCAATAATTTTCAGATTAGCTTGTAATGCAAGGGAAAGAATTTTGCCCAGAACAGCAGTATTTCTATCCTTCTATTTCCTACATACAAACACTAAATATGTTTTTAAATGATCAGACAACTTTCTTTCTAAGCTGTTTTTGCCCATGACAAATGAGAACAAGGGTTCATTATTCCCAAATTAGAATTCTAGTTCCAAAAATCTAGTGAATTAATGGCAGAACAACCGTGCCACCTCCTTGATGTAATATAGCATAATGAGATAATTGTCTAATCATACACACAAGTTGCAGTCAGGATTTTAATTTGTGAAAGCAGATAAAAAAGGCTAGTCCATTCGGTGACCTTGGTTATGAGATCGCAAAGACTGACTTGATTGATATGGTGTTAGTAGTTCTTCATTAGCCCCTGTCGAAGTAGAACCAACGCCGGATTAACCATGGTGGGGGCCCTGGGGCCTGGAACATGTGGGGGGCCCCTGATCACCGACCGCGTGCACCGAAGACGCGAAGCCCCGCGAGCTACACCCTGGAAATTTTCAGAAATTGGAGGCCGGAAACATGATTTCCTGGCATTTCAGGCACTTGTGTCGGAGCCATTTAGAAGTACCTCCCCCAGAAAAAAATGAAATTCTGCTACAAACTTAGCGCATTCTGGCGTTATTTCAGTGGACCAATTACCAATCCAGGCGAGTGCTATGAAAAGAAGACATTTCTAGAGGAGGGGGCTGGAACCCATTGAGCCTGTTAAATCCACCACTGTAAGTGAGCAGAGCTATATCAAACCTAATTTTGAAGTCGCTCAGTGATAAATAACAGGGTCACTTGATTCGGAATCGTATTGTATCCCTCACGATGATTTGATGAATGGAGGTCGTAACGTTACGACCAAGCCGGACTCGATTTTTGACGAACGTCTAACACTGTAAGTACAAAATGGTAATACGAGATTTAATCAAGAAATCTGAATATTTCGTGTGATCATGATGTGCATCTCATCAAATTCAGCTTATACCCACAACAAATATCAACAACAACAACAACAACTACAGCTTATATACAATCGTACGTCAATCTGAGGCAAAATTCGCGCTACTCGAAATGATGGGGATGGGTAATTTGTTCGAGTTATACGATAATTCGAGTTAGACGATGTTCGGTCCGATAGAAGATCTCATGACAATAAAAGACCATGTGTTACACCCTTAGATAAAGCCACAAAAAGCGTTTATTTTTCAAATCTTCAAGTTTCCAGGAAAGTTGCCAAGGCGATGTAAATAATAAGACTTCGATAAGATTTGTACCGGAAATTTGGTTAGAGCTATGCGATAATTCGAGTTACAGTTTCCGAGTTATTCGATGTTTTATAAAAGAAACTATCTTATAAAAGAAACTATTGAAACAAAATGAGAGCAGAAATTCAACCACGTACAAGGCAGTACTCTCATTAGAATTTGACAATTCGCCTGTAAATAGCGTTGAATTCCGGCGATCCACTTAGAAAACATCTTGGAGCATCGGAGGGGCCCCGTCACTAGGTCACCGGCTGTTGGAGTCCTCGGTCCTACCATGCTTGAGGCGCGCAACTGAGATTTTTGTGGGGGGCCCTCTAATGTGACGGCCCTGGGGCCTGGGCCCCACAGTGCCCCATGGTTAATCCGGCGTTGAGTAGAACAGTAGGAGGTTAAACCCTATTTCAATGGCCTACACTACATGAAGATCTGACGAGTTGTAGTCGAAGGTCATGTCAGGGGTCATACGAGCGGCTTTGGACCCTATGGCGTCAGCCAAGGATTAAACAATCAGTGTTGACATTTCTAGTGATTTTACCCACAGTTCTGTGATGGCATGCCACAAAGTTGTCGAAACAGATTTTTTCATTGGCTTATCCCTCACATCAACAAGAACCCATCAACAAGAACTTTGTGGCATGCCATCACGGAACTGTGGGTAAAATCACTAGAAATGTCAACACTGATTGTTTAATCAATGTCTGACGCCATGGTGTCGATTCCCCGGTTGTACGTGACAAGGATTAGGGTCGCCTGTCCAACCTCGTGGGTTTTCTCCGGGTCCTCCGGTTTCTCCCACTGCTAAAGACACCTACGCGCAAGCGAATTATTGAAATAAAATTTAAACCATATGTTAGTCCCGAAACGACCTAGTTTGTGTCGAGTGGACGTTAAACCCTATTTCTCTCTGTCTCTTTTCTTGAAATTCGGACTCAACCATAATTATGGTGTAACAGTGATACATTTAAAAAGTTTAAATGTTTTAAAATCAGATAAAAATTGTGAAATATTTAAACGTTTTTTTTTTTAAATCGGATAAAAATTGTTACCTCTAGAGGTTCCACAAGCTAAAAATGTGATTTTTTGTACAATCAGGGGCCATCATCCAGGAAGTTACGGTCCGATATGCGCAAATATCACAAGGAACCAAGATCTTTGGATTATAATCATACATTTCCAGTTTTATCAAAATCGGATAAAAATTGTGACTTCTAGAATGTCCACAACCTTGGTATTACATACTTTTACATGACTTGCGTACAAGGAGCTGCCATTTTGTCCAGCAGTTTGAGTCAGATTTCTACGAAATTCGAACTCAAGCTTCACTGATGTGTAACGGTGATATATTTAAACGTTTTTTAAAATTGAATACAAATTATGATTTCTAGTGGGTCCACAAGCTAAAAATGCGACTTTTTTGACACTCAGGATCCCTAATCCAGGAAGTTACGTTCTAAACTTTTGATATGCGCGATTATCGAAAGGAACCAAGATCTTTGTGATATAAACATAAATTTATATCATAACATAAAGTTTCATCAAAATCGGATCAAACCTGTGGCCTCTATAGGGTCCACAACCTTGATATACAATATATTAGCCCTATTTGCATACGAGGGGCATTTTTAAACTGGATAAAAATTGTGACCACTAGAGGAACCACAAGCTAAAAACGTGATTTTTTGTAAAATCAAGGGACATAATTCAGGAAGTTACGATCCGATATCCACGAATATATATCAACAGAAACCAAGATCTTTGGGTTATAACCATGTATTTCAAGATTCATCAAAATTGGTTTAAAATTGTGACCTCTAGAGGGTCCACAACCTCGATATACCATATTTTTTACACTATTTACGTAGGACCGGCGGCCATTCGAACTCAGTTATGAGTATGGTGTAACAATGATATAATTGAACGGTTTTTTTTAAATCAGATAAAAATTGTGGACTCCACAAAAAATGTGATTTTTCGTACAATCAGGGGCCATAATCCAAGAAGTTATGGTTCAATATGCGCAAATATCAAAAGGAACTGAGATCTTTGGGTAATAAACATACATTTTAAGTTTTATCAAAATTGTAAGCTCTAGAGTGTCGACAAGCTAAAAACAGGATTTTTCGTACAATCATGGGCCATAATCCATGAAGTTACAGTCCGATACACGCCAATATCAAAAGGAACCGAGATCTTTGAGATATAAAACCTATATTTCAATTGTCACAAAATTGGATAAAAATTGTGACCTGTGTAGTGTCCACAAACAAATTGTGGACGGACGGATGGACAGAGGCAATGACAATATACGTCCACATGAAAATGTAGGCGTATAAAAATGTGGAATTCTACTTACTGGATAAAGGCCTAGAAGCCAAATAGATTTATGTAAAATATTTTCATGTTTATTAGATTTTATCAAACATCGTAGTTCATCTAAAAAGATGATGATGGTAATGAGAGTCAGTCCTCCACATATTCCTATTATAACTTTCATTACAACAGGTATTTCTACAAAATAACGAAGTATAACATTAATTTAAAAAAAAACATTCTGCACTGTTATATAACAAAACATATCACAGATTTGAGAAAAGATCCATTCAGTTTTCTATGGTCCCACCTACTGAATAAATCTGTGCATATCCATCATGGAGGATTTATCTTACTAACTGACCAGCACTTCTTCTTCTCGAAATAGCTGACTTTGAATTCAACTGGGCTGAAACTGCCCGAAACCAAAAATAATATCCTACAGTAATTTTGTTAGAATGTCTAATGTGACTCTGTCTTGAGGTTCTTTGAAACAATTATTTTGATGGCATGGACAGCCCCCTCCCCTCTCGCCGTAGTTATCGATAATGCAGATATCAATAATATAAATTGTTATTAAAAATGAGGATTTATATAAAATAACTACATTACCATTAAAAAATTCATGTCCATATGGTAAGGTGTCACTGCAATTGGCCCTGGGTCCATCTTCCCACAGAGAGTTTCTGTAATAAAACACCTAATCTTTATTTAGTACTAGCTCACATTAAACTGACTAATTTACTATTTTGCCATTCATCAATTTGATAGAAATGGTTAAACAGGTAAAATTTTAATATCGAAATATTGATCCGTAAAAACGATTTGAAGATTCTGGAAGTGACGTCATTATTTGTAATGTAGACAGTGGCAGACAAAATTTAGCTCAAAGTTAAATCTTGTGAAGATGATTATATGAGACTACTGTGATAGGATATCATTTCAAAACTATTCCCCATCTTCATTAGCCCAGTTCGGAGCAAAACAGTAGGACGTTAAACTCCATTTCATTTCATTTCAGTTGAAAACTATTCATAAGAAGAACTGACTGTCACTACATCATAATTTCTCTTGGGTTTTTTTTCCACTTTCAATATATTATTCCTCACATACAAGTAGTTTAATTACCCTTTAGTGTATATTATGTAAATTCAGTATTGTTACTAAATATACCTTGTCTCTTGTCTAATTAAATATCATCACTCTAGTTTATATCAGGCACTAGAGTGGGCTTACTACTAATTACCCATAAATTTATTAGTTTCTTAGATTACTCTGCTAATTTGTCCATGGTGCCTATGATCTTGTTGTTGTCATTTACTGTTTCAGATTGATCACTATTTTTTCTACATATATTTGCATTACATTTTGTATTAGAATTAGGTTTACTGTAGTTTCTTGCAACATTTTTGCTAAACTGTAGCAAGTATGAAGAAATATGTAAAGTGCATTTATACCCAGCCTTCTCAGTAAATCCTGAGATTTCCTACAATTCTATTAATCTCTTTGACCCTCCAAAATCGATTGCCAAGGCAGTGGCTTGTGATAAGATCTAAATTAATGGGGCTAAATCGCTAATATTTGGGACCTAGAAATTGACACAATGGGTCGCAACACATATAATAATGTAATATTAATGTATTTAAACTGATTTACATTCAATTATTTCTGTTTTTTCTTTAATTTCTAATCAGTTATGTTCAGCGAAATACACCAGAAGTCTCAATCTTATGACAATCTCTAGCGTCTGGTTATTCCAGTCTACACCGATAATTTTTATTGTGCATGCTCTCCAGATAAGAATATGACGTCAACGTTTGACATAACTTGTAGAATTTGCCTTGCCTCGTTTTTCGAGTCCCTTATTACAAATAGCGCTGAAACACATCATGGTACACGATTCGTGTACCAATCGTAAAATGTTTATTTTGTCTTAAATATTGGATATCAGAAGTCCATATCTTTTCCCGGTAAGATCACAATTGACAAATTGACAAATGATTTGTGTTTTCAATGTCGAAGATTTTGAACGATACTGAGTTAGAGACTTAGCTACTTTAAATTTGGTGGCAACTACATGTAACTGAAACCCTATATACATGTAGATATACATCTACTATACTGTTTATATGAATGTATTACTTGTGTGTTCATGTATGTGTTGTCTATGTAATACTAGCAGGATACCCGGCTTCGCTCGGGGATCATAACTCCGAAACTGGAAGTGGTAGACTAACGCCACCTGGCCTATGTTACTCCCCGGTCCGAGCTACCCCTATACCCCAAATTTCAGACTCGGGGCAGACCTAGTGTAGCCGCCAACCCCGAACAGACCGGCTTCGCTCGGGGGTCATAACTCCGAAACCGGAAGTGGTAGACTAATGCCACCTGGCCTATGTTACTCCCCGGTCCGAGCTACCCCTATACCCCAAATTTCAGACTCGGGGCAGACCTAGTGTAGCCGCCAACCCCGAACAGACCGACTTCACTCGGGGGTCATAACTCTGAAACCGGAAGTGGTAGACTAACGCCACCCAGCCTATGTTACTCCCCGGTCCGTGCTACCCCTATACCCCAAATTTCGGACTCGGGTCAGACCTAGTGTAGCCGCCAACCCCGAACAGACCGGCTTCGCTCGGGGGTCATAACTCCGAAACCGGAAGTGGTAGACTAACGCCACCTGGCCTATGTTACTCCCCGGTCCAAGCTACCCCAATACCCAAAATTTCAGACTCGGGGCAGATGTAGCCGCCAACCCCGAAAAGACAGACTTCGCTCGGGGGGTCATAACTCCGAAACCGAAAGTGGTAGACTAACGCCACCTGGCCTATGTTACTCCTCGGTCCGAGCTACCCCTATACCCCAAATTTCAGACACGGGGCAGACCTAGTGTAGACGCCAACCCCGAACAGACCGGCTTCGCTCCAGGGGTCATAACTCCGAAACTGGAAGTGGTATACTAACGCCACCTGGCCTATGTTACTCTTGTCCGAGCTACCCCTATACCCCAAATATCAGACTCGGGGCAGACCTAGTGTAGCCGCCAACCCCGAACAGACAGACAGACAGACAGACAAACGACAGTCACAAATATATATATAGATAGATGAGCGCTTTAATTGCAAATATACGTACATTTATAACCGGGGTGTAAAATATAAATGCACTAGCAGGATACCTGGCTTCGCTCGGGGATCATAACTCCAAAACCGGAAGTGGTAGACTAACGCCACCTGGCCTATGTTACTCCCCGGTTTGAGCTACCCCTATACCCCAAATTTCAGACTCGGGGCAGACCTAGTGTAGCCGCCAACCCCGAACAGACCGGCTTCGCTCGGGGGTCATTTCTCCGAAACCGGAAGTGGTAGACTAACGCCACCTGGCCTATGTTACTCCCCGGTCCGAGCTACCCCTATACCTCAAATTTCAGACTCTGGACAGACCTAGTATAGCCGCCAATCCTGAACAGAGAGACTTCACTCGGGGGTCATAACTCCGAAACCGGAAGTGGTAGACTAACGCCACCCAGCCTATGTTACTCCCCGGTCCTAGTGTAGCCGCCAACCCCGAACAGACCGGCTTCGCTCGGGGGTCATAACTCCGAAACCAGAAGTGGTAGACTAACGCCACCTGGCCTATGTTACTCCCCGGTCCGAGCTACCCCTATACCCAAAATTTCAGACTCGGGGCAGATGTAGCCGCCAACCCCGAACAGACAGACTTCGCTCGGGGGGTCATAACTCCGAAACCGGAAGTGGTAGACTAACGCCACCTGGCCTATGTTACTCCCCGGTCCGAGCTACCCCTATACCCCAAATTTCAGACACGGGGCAGATGTAGCCGCCAACCCCGACCAGACCGGCTTCGCTCGGGGGTCATAACTCCGAAACCGGAAGTGGTAGACTAACGCCACCTGGCCTCTTTTACTGCCCGGTCCGAGCTACCCCTATATCCCAAATTTCAGACTCGGGGCAGACCTAGTGTAGCTGCAAACCCCGAACAGACCGGCTTCGCTCAGGGGTCATAACCCCGAAACTGGAAGTGGTAGACTAACGCCACCTGGCCTATGTTACTGCCCGGTCCGAGCTACCCCTATACCCCAAATTTCAGACTCGGGGCAGACCTAGTGTAGCCGCCAACCCCGAACAGACAGACAGACAGACAGACAAACGACAGTCACAAATATATATATAGATTAAATGTATATTATTATGACTATGTCTAAGTGTATGCAGGCTGTCCTTAATGGACATTTTGATTCGATAAACATCTTATCTTATCTTATCTACACATTGAGAGAATAGTCTTGGAAGTGTTATAGTTTATTGCTCTATCTAGTTACTAAATGCCTCTAAAAGATTCACTTGCGGTCCTCCTGCACTTATTATTTGATATACATGTACAGTTGTACATGTATATGACTATGTCTAAGATAAGTGTATATGTATGCATGCTGTCCTTCATGGACGTTTTGATGCAATAAACATCTTATATCTTATCTTATCTTATAGGTTCTAATACAAATAAATAATTATTCCCAAATCTACTTACAAGCCATAAATCAAATGCAAATTGAAAACACTCACCCCTGTTGATCATTCATGTTAATATTTTCTAACAGTTCTAAAGAATTGCTGAAAATAAAATACAGTCACAAGGCTTCAATATCATCCAACATAAATACAGTACATATAATAACAACCAGTTCACTAAGAGAAGGGGTTAATATATAGGACAGTACTGTAACACCGCCTTGTCTCTGTACAGTGCATTTTAAAGTGACAACTCTTTGTTGCATTTTCTTGCTTTTTAAAAAAATTGTTTCAGACTGAAAATTGAATCTAAAAGGGGGGGGTTTTCTTGAAAACTATATTTTAAATGTGCGTCAATATTATTTATGACATGAATGATTATAAGAGCGACATATTCTACACAGATAACAGCCTGTATGATCTACACAGTACACATCAGACTACTCAATTAGAATCGGAAAATATATATTTATATAATATACATTTATGAAATATATTACTGAAAGAACATACCACAAAAATTGAACATAAATCTAGGCATCATAAATTATGATTGTCTTCAAGGAGTTTAGAAGCATACATTAAAGATATATAATATAAGATTAAAGAGCAGGCCGTTGGTGGCAGGGCTGAGATAATGGTAATGGAATGTAATCATTACATTTTTGGAGTAATGGCCATGTAATAAGTAATTGAAGATTTCAAAAGTAAAAAAATCATGTAATGGTCAATTACATTTTAATTACATCTTAATTACTTTTTAATTACATTTCATTGCATATACTGTGACATGATAGTTTAAGAATAGATAATGAAAAATGAATATATTGAAAATTTCAATCAAATTACTTTATTCTGAGCAAAATTATAAATGTTTGATGTTTTGACAATATTTAGCCTAATTAGTCGCGATTGTCAAGTACCGTTGATAAGATAATCAATGGCGGGTATTGTCTTATCCATTTAATATCTCAGCCATCTGATGGTCTACACACGGTTGATTATACACTTGTCATGTGAAGTGAGTCCTAAATAAATCTATATAACATTTGAAGCCAGACAAAAGACTTGCAGATTTAGCTCTCACATAATGCATCTTTAATATAATATAAATCGATTTGACTCTAAAAATAGAACTTTCATCAATTATATTTGATGCTTTTGAATCATTTGCATGTAACATGTGTATGTAATAGGAAGTCAATCCAAATATCAATTGTGCATAAGTGGAATATAGGTTGCCTGAAATGGGACAGGATTTGAGATAATTAGATGTGTAAATATTATGTAAAAATAGAAACATTTTAATTGTATTGGTAATGCTATTTGTTTATAAATAAGGTAGGATATGAAATATTAAATATATCAAAGATTGAATATATCCTGTCATCCTGGATACAGAATTTTTCCAAAGATGGTATGCAAACCCAAGAGTTGGCAGCCTAGGAAGCAAACACTTTGTGCGACCTTAGAATAGGGGAAAAACAGCAGGCCAATCTCAAATCTGTGTCCATAGCCACAGTCTTAGAAATAAACGATAACACTAAAGTACCCTGTTGCCGTCTTAGATTTATCTAAAAATGTTTAACGATATCTTGTACAATAAATAATTTTAAAGCGTTAAGTTTGGCTGTCTACCATTACCTTTGTCAACAGGAAAAAAGTTGTCATTTCTGCTTTACTAAAAATAGCACAGACCGCTCGAGGTTAATCAAAGTTCATGACAGGGTGAAAACAGTTGAAAACATGTCGATATTCTTTTTGACAAAAATAATATCATAGCGATATTGTCGGCGATTTCCCGTTTCTTGGTTAGACATGAAAAATAGGCTACAACAGATAAATCAAGGCTTTTTAAAACGCATCTGTAAAAAATGTGAGTTTATTCCACAAAATGTTTACGTATGGCAACTTTTGTATTTAACAAAAACATCTGATGTCCTCCAGAGGAGGAATAATAATTGTGAATCGCGGAAATTTAAACACCAGTCATCATCCTGATCGGGGGGGGGGGGGGGGGTGGATGGCTGAATGGTTAGCGTGCGCGCGCTGTATCATAAAGTCTGTCATTGAGTCGACTGGCGTGGTTTCGAATCCCCGGTTGTACGTGGCAAGGAGTAGGGTCGCCTGTCCAGCCTCGTGGGTTTTCTCCGGGTCCTCCGGTTTCCTCCCACTGCTAAGACCCCTACGCGCAAGCGAATTATTGAAATAAAATTAAACCATATGTTAGTCCCGAAATGACCTAGTTTGTGTCGAGTGGATGTTAAACCCCATTTCTCTCTCTCTCTCATCCTGATCGGCTTTACGCTAATTCATTTAAACACTCTTACATCTTCGTTTAGTGGTTCCTAGCGCCAATAAAAATACATATTTATATTTATCACAATATAATTGTTACATTTATATTAAAAAATAACATGTTCAGACATATTAATACAAAGCATATATAAAAGACAAAAAAAAAAAAAGCTATTACCGTCAACATACTAAAATATCGCATAGTAGACTAACTGAGCACCCAGAAAACGCCACTTTGCATCAAAAACATATTCAAACCATGCAGCCTTGGTCGCAACATGTTTATTTTATTTCACAGAATCTTAAAGGACGAATAATCTACTAGCAAAATTTCAGCAGCCTTCTATGTTGCATTTTGAGATATATTACCGTAGACATACTAAAAAATATGGGGGAATTGGGTTAGGGTAGGATCAAGGGGAACTCAATAACTTCTAAACTAGCTTTGGTGGCTCGAAGACGTTTATGAGTACGGTACGAACATGCAAAAGTTTATTAACTTTCTACGGAGCATTATCGAGTTATCACCGCAAAGTTCCTCGAAATTCGTTGGTTCAATAAACAAGGTATGCCCACGCTACATCAAACAGTACCCAAACCAGTATTGGTGGCAAAATGTTTTTCTTTATTTCACAGGATCAAGGGATTAATAAACTACAAGACTGCAAACTTCAAAAACCTCCTATGTTACTTTTTCGAAATATATTAGCGTAAACATACTAAAAATATGGGGCAATCGGCTCACTGCACACAAAATAAATTCTAAACTAGCTTCATGGTGGTGGCTCGAAGAGCTTTATTTCACCAAATCAGCAGATGCATTACTTCAACATACCAAGTTTGACATTTCTTGTAAGAATATAACCGACTACATACTGGATAATGATCCAATTTAAATTTTATTTTAGATTTTCTGTAGTTACCTAACCCTGTCTGAATTACCTCCCTTTATATGCCTTTATAAATACACTTACATAGTACGATTTCTTCAACATACCTGTTTTGCATTTCTTGTGTGGGGTATTATTAATATATTATATATTGTACAATTACATAACTTAATAATTCCGATTAGTCACTAAGACTTATGTTTTTTTTAGCTTTTAACGTTATTTTATCTGGATTATCGCCCTTATTATTGTGATTTTTTATCACCATCTAAGATATGACGTCATTCTCAGTCAGCAGACGGCTGTCCCTCGAGACAGTCTACGTACATTTCTCTTTTGCTTCTTTGTATTCAGTTCTGTTTTTGTTTTTGTGACGATGGAACATGTACCCTATATATGTATTGAATACTTAAACGTTTCTTGACTGAATTTAGAGTTTAGACTAATATTAGTACTTACGGTACTATTTCAGTAACGTACCTCTACCAATTCCCATGATCGTAGAGACTTGAAATTTTCAAGGGGTGTTCACGGTATAGCCATGACCTCACACCAAATTTCAGCCGAATCTGTAAATAACTTTTTATTTTACCGTAGTTTAGCTTCTATAAGAGATAAATTTATCAGATTTTGACGCCATTTTGTTTGTTGACTATTTAGGCTCTGTATATTTCGTCATAGTCTCAAGATGTAGACAGGGCTAGCCCTAACCCTAACCCTGTCTTGTTATTCGAGTCTAAATAGCCAACAAACAAAATGGCGTCAAAATCGGATAAACTTTCTCTCGTTATAAGCTAAACTACGGTAAAATAAAAAAATTATTGACAGATTCGGCTGAAATTTGGTGTGAGGTCATGACTAGGCCCCATAAATGGGAACTGGTAGAGGTACGTTACTGAAATAGTACCCTTACATTCGCATTTCGTGTAGCATATAACAGATCATGACTCATGCTGGCATTACACTTTTGGTTGTAATTTGTATTCTTAATTGTTTTCAAATTTCAGTGAAGTCTGTGTCACTACAGACCCGGGACTGTACAGCGCAGTAGACGCTTACGGCTAGCCCCCGGATCCATTCACCTTTTTTGAATTGTCTTTATGTTTGTGTTTTCCTGAGTATGATGTCCTGTCCGTGTGTATTTGTTTTTGTGTAAATTGTGTGTCTCCCCCTGCACTTACTATAAGGTATGAACATGCTAAAATTGATTAACTTTCTATGTTGCATTATCGAGTTATATCACCGCAGCCGGATTCGAGACGTAGTTCGTGGGTTCAATAAGGAAAGGTTTGGGGGGGGGGGGGGTTGAATAGTCGGTCTAAAAATAGTGGCAGTCGGTCTCAAAATTATGCATCGGCGACTAAATGAATTACTGAGGTAAACAAACAATGCCAAAATAGAAGGAGAGAATCTCAAATACTTTATATATGCATGAATATGATTGCTTTGATTAGATATCACAATACACGCCAGTTTTTTTCAAAGCTCAAATTATTAAAAACTGTTAGCATTCAGTAATGAAACAGGAACGCTCCAATGACTCTTGCGTTCAGTAATGAAACATGAACGACCCAAGGACTCTTGCGAGTGGGCGTGACTTGACGGACACGGTCGATCTTGACAAAATCGCAGATCAATGGTCAAACCTGAGTAATCGCGGCCGCTTGATGAGAATATGGGGACATAATCATAATTTATGTATATTCACCACAACAATATATCGAAGTCCATGTAAATAATGTAATTATCACTTTCAGAAGTTGCCATACATTCACAGTAGGCCTATACATTGTACGTTCTTGCAAATATCAGAATTCTGAAAAAATCTTTCCTCAAAGTCCAGCAAATGGCATTTCAGGGACTCAAGATTTAAACATTTCTCCGGGGGAGCATGCCCCCCCTCCCCTAGGCCGTCCTAGAAAGCTCGCACCGGCTGTGCTCGGCATGTGACTGCATCACTCGTGTCAGGGGCCTGTGGATCAAACTATGATTATGTTCCCCGGGATTTTGCTGCGTGGTTTTTCCATGTCGGTAGTGCAGGACAAAGGACCTGGCAAAGAACAGTGTCTAGTATTGTAGATAGGACAAAAAAACCCTCCTGTTTACACATTGGCGTGCACATAAAAGAATCCTTCACAGTTGAAATTCAATGAAGAAATGCCGCGGTCAATTGGAAATTTCTGTCATATCACTCTGCATAGCATATATATGCTTATCTTCAATAATCCAACTGGTTCGGAAAGTAGGAAAATGAAATGGGGTTTAACGCTCAACTGTTCTGCTACGTGAGCCACAGTGGCCAAGTGAGTAAGACGCTGGCTCGCTAGCCTGGCCGAGAAAGTTCATCAATATTTTCCGGCGTGGTTTCACCCTTGTCAGGGGTGCAGGAAGGAGGGCCTGATAAGGACAGCTGTCTCGTCGTTCGGATGGAACGAAAAACCGAGGTCCCGTGTATACATTGGCGTGCACGTAAAAGACCCCTTTGCAAATGGAATTCGATATAATAGTAGGACGTAGCGCCGCTATCCGAGCAAAATGTCCCTCATAACACACTGAATGGTGTAAGCCCGTCTTCATTAGACCAGTCGTAGCAGAACAGTATTACGTTAAACTCCATTTCATTTCATTTTGTTCTACCCCGACGGCAGTGTGAAGTTGGATCGTTTTTCGTTATTCGTTATTCACCTATAACGAATAACGAGGTGGATCACTTCGTTATTCGCGAATAACGAGGTGATCCACCTCGTTATTCGTTAATCAGCTTTTTATTCGTGATTCAAATATGCAGCTAGCCATGACTAGAATGATGGATGTCAAGTATCCCCCAGTAGTATAAAAGACAGTAAAACGACTTCTAGACGAAAACAGCAAATAACGAGCTGTTTGTTATTCGTTTTTCACCTCGTTATTCGGGATTCACATATGACGGGGTTCATGCATCTTTAATGAGGATAATTCAGGATTTAATTTAAAACGATCACTATACATCAATATAATAATGGATTGTAAAGTATCCCCTAGCAGTGGAAAACCCATTAGTAGACGTATAGTCGGTAAAAAAACCAGATTGTTATTCAAGCGGTGAATAACGAATAACTAATAACGAGCTGTTTGTTATTCGTTTTTCACCTTGTTATTCGGGATTCACATATGAAGTGGTTTATGCATCTTTAATAAGAATAATTCAGGATTTAATTTAAAACGATAACTATACAACGATAGAATAATGGATTGTAAAGTATCCCCTAGCAGTAGAAAACAGCTCGTTATTCACCGCTTGAATAACAATCTGGTTTATTTACCGACTATACGTCTACTAATGAGTTTTCCACTTCTAGGGGATACTTTACAGTTCTTTATTCTATTGTTAAATAGTGATCGTTTTGAATTAAATCCTGAATTATCCTCATTAAAGATGCATGAACCCCTTCATATGTGAATCCCGAATAACGAGGTGAAAAACGAATAACAAACAGCTCGTTATTCGCTGTTTTCGTCTAGAAGTCGTTTTACTGTCTTTTATACTATTGGGGGATACTTGACATCCATCATTCTAGTTATGGCTAGCTGCATATTTGAATTACGAATAAAAAGCTGAATAACGAATAACGAGGTGGCTTATCCCTCGTTACTCGCGAATAACGAGGTGATCCACCTCGTTATTCGTTATTGGTGAATAACGAAAAACGATCCAACTTCACACTGCCTACTCCGACTGGGCTAATGAAGACGGACATACCCTATACAGTGTACTATGACGGAAACTATACCTGGATAGCGGCGCTACGGCTATACTATTATATTAAATTCCAACTGCAAGGGGGTCTTTTACGTGCATGTCAATATGTAAATGGGTCCTGGTTTTTCGTCCCATCCGAACGACTGATTATACGTTATCCCTTGTCCTGCACCACTTTCAAAGAGGAATCACCCCGGAAATGTGGTTTAATTTCCCATTTTTCTGGTAGTCACGGTGACTCAGTGAGTAAGAAATTGGCTTGCCAACGTTGAGGTCTCGTGTTCGATCACTGCGTTGGCCGAGAAAACTCATCGGGAATTTTCAGACGTGATTCCATTTTAATGTGGTACAGGACGTATAGTCTTTTGAACGGGACGAAAAATCGAGGTTCCGTGTACATATAAGTGAGCATGTAAAAGACCCCCTGACAGTTAGAATTCAATATAAGAGTAGGCCGTAGCGCCGCTATCCGAGCAAAGTTTCAGCCATCATATTTCTCCATTCCTTGTCTTTAGTCCCCATGTTCTGTTTTTGTCACAATATTTCATAAACAATTTAATTTGCGTTTCAAAATAAACTTATACCATAGCTAATATTTTGATAATGGAGAATAATTAATCAAGACCATAATATTATTCTACATATGTGTTCTTTAGCACAAATCCCTGCCATCCATATTACTACATTTTTGAGATATCTTAAACATTCCCAAAATATGGGAAATCAGCTCAAATAAACAAGTAGCTGTTTTTCCATAAGTATGTGTTATAGTTTATTGCCCTATCCAGTTACTAAATGCCTCTTAAAGATTATGGGAAATCAGGTTAGGGTAGGCCTACTGCGCACACAATAACTTCCAAACTAGCTTTGGTGGCTCAAAGATGTTTATATGAACATACACAAAGTTCGTAGTAGATTTGGGTGCTAGGGTGAATCGTGCTACCGTGAGAGAATAAAGTATGAGTATGTATGCATAGAACTATTGCGGCATTCTTTGTCATCTACGCAAACCGTGGGGTGTGCGAGAAGGAGTAGGGTGTTCTCCGGGATCTTCATACCCTGCACCCATCTGAATCAATGAAATAATGATTTTTTCCCCAAATGGTTGTTGTTTTGATAAGACGCTTCCTCACAGGGGCCCTTTGATGGTTGCGTGTTAAACCACATCTATGGCACAATAAAACAGTTTAATCAAGTATAACGAATCAAAGTATTGAGTTTACCACCTTCTCTTGTTTATCAAAACAACAACAATAATAATTATGATTTTGGTTTATATACTCCAACTTTTCGTTAATATAATTGTATATGCATGGAGTGTAAATGGCAACAGCAAAAATAGGTGACTTCAACATATTAAAACGATAAAATATTTTGTCATCATATATTATTTACAGATAACATATTATTATGTACAAATAAAAACATTATTTACTTCAAGTTTATTTCAGAATATACAAACATTCCAGTTCCTATATTTATTTCTAGCTAAGCTATTTTGTCAACTTTCTCTATAAGATTTTTCTTCTTTCTTAAATAAAATCGAAAGTTGAAAGAAGAATAACCCTCCATCAATAAGTTTGTATGATAGATATAAACCATTTCTTTAAAGTACACCTTCTGTAATACTAGTAAATGGATTATTTATGTCCACACAATACTGGTGATAAGATCACAATTGTTAGAATTTCTTCTGTAAACAAACAATTGGATACACATCTCTTTCTTTTATAAAAAATGGGTTTTTTTTTACAACAATAGATATTTTCTTCATTAAAAATTAACATAACGGATAGACTAGATAACCGAATCTAAACAAGAGAACGAAATAAAAATAAACATTTCGAAAGTTTTCATATAAAGATGCATGAAGAATTGTTAACAAAGAATATGAATAGTAAATTACACTTCGTTTTGATTTATATGTACATTGCAATATTTTAAAAAAGAACGAATTAATAGCTAAGGCCCACTTTTAAAGGTTAGGAAGAACCTTCAAACAAGTTTCTATATTAAATGCGCGGGCCCGCCTATATCGATGATTATTTCATTTGCAGACAACGTTGACCACATAATTATCTGGAGGTATGGATGGACCAGAAGATCTCTATAGGGCTGTGGGATCAGCGGCTCGGATAAAGACACAAATTTCCATGTAAATTAATCTAGAATACTGTTTTTCAAATCAATCAAAGTAAAAGTATCGTCTATAAAGTAAAACATTAGTTTAACCGAACGTCCTTATCATTTCATCACTATATCTGTATTTATAGTTGAGTTCCTGACGTTAGTCCCAGACGATAATTTTGAAATCATTAGTAATTTTGACTTTTATTTCAGATCTTAAATGTAGATTTTTCTCCTTTTATAAGCCCAACACTCATAATCAGGGCTGTAACTAGCTCGGAGCAACGAGGGGGGGGGGGGGCTTTCTACGCCCCCCCCCCCAGTTACGGGCCTGCCGATAATTAGTAGCCTAAGAATTATTCAGCAGTTTACGCAACCACGTAGAACAACAAAAAATATATATATATTAATTAATGTGTAACATGATGAAAATAAATGGACGGATGAATTATTCGTTCGTATTTAAAGTACGATATATTATTATTTTTTTTATCAGCAGTTTATTAGAGTATAATTTGATCATAGACATGATGTTATCACAGACGCTTGAACTTATACACATATCTTGATAATAAATAAACGAATAAAATACAATTTAAACTTCTGAAATCATTATAAATGACATTATTATTTTAGGTATCACAGACAACTGTTTAAGCTGTATAATTAATCAAATAGGACGGGGTGAGGGTGGGTTCACCTGACTCACACGTACATCCCCCACCCCTACCTGAACTCGCCCTTAATTTTTAGGCGAACAATATTATTTGTATTCTCCACCTCACGTGCATCTTTGGAGTTCGTTGTTAGAGTTATCACCCTTTATACGTAACACCAAAAAAAATTGTTGTCCCGAAGAAGAAACCCCATTCAACCCCTGCTGAAACTCTTACATATAAAAATAAACAATTAACCATGAAACTTAAATATCACACAAGGATTCTCTATTATTATGCCATACTTAAGATTGTTTGTGGCCCGGACCAATTCGTACTTTGTCCGGTTTCAAAACTTCCACGATAAGTTGAGCTACCATCAAACTTTTCTGTCGACTTCAAAAAGCTATCCACTGAGGGTTTAAAACTTCTAGGTTTCACACCCTTTTGTCCAGTAAAGGCATCTCGGCTGGTTGTTGACCCATCAAACGGTGCTGTATTTGCTTGATACGTTTCACGCAGGATTCGCTGTGGCCTGCCACCTCCCAATGCCCCTTTGAAGTCGGATGAAAATGTTGTGGTTCCATCAAACCGTGCATTAGATTGAAAAGCTTCTTTAGTTGGTCGATAAGGAACCCGTTTCTCACCTGCATTACCAAGAAAATCACTTCTGCTAGTAGAGATTCCTTCAAAAGGAACTGAAGATGGGATATACACCTGGGGATCTCTTTTCGGTCTTGCTGTGACGGGGGGTTGAGCAAAACTATCCTTGTAGATAGAATCTGCAATCATAGGGGCACTGCTTCGTAAGGCAGACTCGGTTGTTTTAAAGTTCTTAGTTTTTGATAGTGGCTGTATTCCAAAATCAACACGACTGGTCGTTTCTCCTTCAAATCTAGTTAAAGGGGGTACATACTGTTGCTTTTTGTAAACTTCCTTTGCGGGTAGTTCTTGTTGCGTAAAGCTATCCCGATATATACTTTCTCCATGAAACTTCCCATCATATTTGAGAGTGTTGGACGACCGCGGTCTTTTACCACTCCTTTTTCTTATTGGTTCTCCACGATATGAAATATTACTCGTAGTTTGAAGATCCATGGGGTCATTTGATTTGACATATGTATCCTGGCGTTTGATAAGAGCCTTGTCAACTGCCCACTGTTTATAGTCACCCCTTGCGGTCGTATTGCCATCAAAGGGTGCATCTGAACGAAAGGGTTCCTTTGTAGGCCCGAAACCGGTGCGTTTTGGGGCTGCCACACTCTGATAATCCTGCTTATTTGTTGTGACGGACTCGAGTGGTACTGTTGGCGGAACATATTGTTCCTTTTCTCTTAAGATTTTGGCAGCGACTTGATGTCGCACATAGGTTTCTTGGTATCCTGTGTTTGGAGCAAAAGGATCGTGAGATTTAGGAAAAGATTCTACAGGTATAATTTTGGTTCGTTTGGAAGGGGGTTGATGTTGATAATCTAGTTTACTCGTTGTTTCACCTTCAAACTTTCCTTCCGGTGCGACATATTCGACTTTTTTAAGACTTTGGCGAGGTTTTAAATCATATTCTTGAAAGGATGCCCCATAGCCAGATGCTCCATGAAATTTTCCGTCTCCCGCTAAAGCATTGGAAGAACCGCATTTCTTTATAGATCGCTTGGCTCCGATTTCTCCGCGATAAGTATGCTGGTTAACTGTATACAGATCCATGTCACCTTCTAATTTCAGGTTTTCTACTTGGCTCTTAATAGCTGGTCTATCAGCTGCCCATGTTTTGAAATCTTGAGCAAAAGTTGTTGCATCATCCAAGGGTGCTCCAGAAGAATATGGTTCTGTATCTCGTTTATAACTCTGTCTTTTCTGGACTGGAATACCAAGGAAATCTTGCTTGTTTGTACTGACGGTTTCCATTGGCTCTGATGGTGGTAAATATACTTCTCTCGAACGTATTTTTTTTGCTGGCATATTGTGTTGAATATATGCATCTCGATTTTCTGTAAAACTATCAAATGGTTGATCAGACTTGAGAGAATCAGCGACAGGTCTGAAGCTCCCCCTTTTGGCAACTGTCTGGCCAGTGTAATCCAATCGACTAGTCGTTTCTCCCTCAAATTTTACCTCTGGTGGATGGTATTCATTTTTCCTCATGGATTCTCTTGGAGTAATCTTGTGTTCTTTGTAAACATCATTGTACCCACTCAGCCCTTCAAAATTACCAGTCCCTTTCAATGCATCGGAGGAAGCTGGTCTTTTAGCTACACTTCTATTAAGGGGGACCTCTCTGTATGTTTGGGCATTAACAGTATCGATATCCATATCTCCCTCGAGTTTCAGATTCCCTGCTTGCTTTTTGATCTCTGGACGTTGTGTAGTATGTTCTTTATAATCTAGGGCACTTGTTGTTGAATCATCTATAGGTTCATCCGACCTAAAGGCTTCTGTGTCACGTTTATAGCTCTTTCTTTTCGGAACTGTTAGACCTTGAAAATCCTGTCTGTTCGTACTTATAGAATCTATAATTTCAGTTGGTGGCTGATATTCATCACGCCGTCTTCCTTGTTTTGGCTGTATTGGATGCTCAACAAAAGTATTCTTATAACCAGTATTCGCATCAAATGGATCTTCCGATTTGAGAGCATCGCCCGAGGGTTTGAAACTTTGTCTTTTAGAAACTGGCTGGTTCGAGTAGTCGAGTTGACTTGTGGTATACGCTTCAAATTTACCCTCCGGTGGAACATAATCGTTCTTCTTCGTGGTTTCTCTTGGGGTAAGCTTGTGCTCTTTGTAAACATCATTGTATCCACTTAGTCCTTCAAAATGGCCACTTCCTTTTAGGGCATCAGATGAAGTAGGCCTTCGAGCTACTCTTTTCTGTAATGGAAATTCTCGGTATGTCTGTGCATTGACAGTATCGATATACATATCCCCTTCTGGTTTCAAGTTTCCAGTTTGTCTTTTGATCTCTGGACGCTGTGCAGTATATCCTTTGTAATCTAATGCACTTGTTGTTGAATCATCTATAGGTTCATCTGATCTAAAGGCTTCTGTATCACGTTTATAACTCTTTCTTTTGGCGACAGTTAGGCCTTGAAAATCTTGTTTATTGGTACTTAACGAATCCATAGTTTCTGTTGGTGGCTGATATTCATCACGCCGTCTACCTTGTTTGGGTTGTAATGGGTGTTCAACATACGTATTCTTATAACCAGTATTGGCATCGAATGGGTCTTCCGACTTGAGAGCATCCCCGGAAGGCTTAAAACTTTGTCTTTTAGGCACTGACTGACCAGGATAGTCAAGCCTACTAGTAGTCTCGCCATCAAATTTAGCATCGGGGGGAACATAGTCATTTTTCTTCATAGATTCCCTGGGGGCAATTTTGTGTTCTCTGTAGACATCGTTATAACCTGTGTGACCATCAAAATTACCCGTTCCTTTCAGAGCATCCGAGGAGGTTGGTCTCTTAGCTACTCTTTTCTGTGAAGGAAATTCTCTGTATGTCTGTGCATTTACAGTATCGATATCCATATCACCCTCTGGTTTCAAGTTTCCAGTTTGTCTTTTGATCTCTGGGCGTTGTGTAGTATATGCCTTGTAATCCAAAGCGCTTGTTGTTGAATCATCTATAGGTTCATCTGATTTAAAGGCTTCTGTGTCGCGTTTATAATTCTTTCTTTTGGGAACCGTTAGACCTTGAAAATCTTGTTTATTGGTACTTAACGAATCCATAGTTTCTGTTGGTGGCTGGTATTCATCACGCCGTCTACCTTGTTTGGGTTGTAATGGGTGTTCAACATATGTATTCTTATAACCAGTATTAGCATCGAATGGGTCTTCCGACTTGAGAGCATCACCGGAAGGCTTAAAACTTTGTCTTTTAGGCACTGACTGACCCGGATAGTCAAGCCTACTAGTAGTCTCGCCATCAAATTTACCATCGGGGGGAACATAGTCATTTTTCTTCATAGATTCCCTGGGGGCAATTTTGTGTTCTCTGTAGACATCGTTATAACCTGTGTGACCATCAAAATTACCCGTTCCTTTCAGAGCATCCGAGGAGGTTGGTCTTTTAGCTACTCTTTTCTGTAAAGGAAATTCTCTGTATGTCTGTGCATTTACAGTATCGATATCCATATCACCTTCTGGTTTCAAGTTTCCAGTTTGTCTTTTGATCTCTGGACGCTGTGCAGTATATCCTTTGTAATCTAATGCACTTGTTGTTGAATCATCTATAGGTTCATCTGATCTAAAGGTTTCTGTATCACGTTTATAACTCTTTCTTTTGGCGACAGTTAGGCCTTGAAAATCTTGTTTATTGGTACTTAACGAATCCATAGTTTCTGTTGGTGGCTGGTATTCATCACGCCGTCTACCTTGTTTGGGTTGTAATGGATGTTCAACATAAGTATTCTTATAACCAGTATACGCATCAAATGGATCATCTGACTTTAAAGCATCGCCACTTGGCTTGAAACTTTCTCTTTTAGGAACTGTTTGACCAGGATAATCAAGCCTACTAGTAGTCTCGCCATCAAATTTACCCTCGGGTGGAATATAGTCATTTTTCTTCATAGATTCTCTGGGAACAATTTTGTGTTCTCTGTAGACATCGTTATAACCTGTGTAACCTTCAAAATTACCCGTTCCTTTCAGAGCATCTGAGGAGGTTGGTCTCTTAGCTACTCTTTTCTGTAAGGGAAATTCTCTGTATGTCTGTGCATTTACAGTATCGATATCCATATCACCCTCTGGTTTCAAGTTTCCAGTTTGTCTTTTGATCTCTGGACGCTGTGCAGTATATCCTTTGTAATCTAATGCACTTGTTGTTGAATCATCTATAGGTTCATCTGATCTAAAGGCTTCTGTATCACGTTTATAACTCTTTCTTTTGGCCACAGTTAGGCCTTGAAAATTTTGTTTATTGGTACTTAAAGAATCCATAGTTTCTGTTGGTGGCTGGTATTCATCACGCCGTCTACCTTGTTTGGGTTGTAATGGATGTTCAACATAAGTATTCTTATAACCAGTATACGCATCAAATGGATCATCTGACTTTAAAGCATCGCCACTTGGCTTGAAACTTTCTCTTTTAGGAACTGTTTGACCAGGATAATCAAGCCTACTAGTAGTCTCGCCATCAAATTTACCATCGGGGGGAACATAGTCATTTTTCTTCATAGATTCCCTGGGAGCAATTTTGTGTTCTCTGTAGACATCGTTATAGCCTGTATGATCTTCAAAATTACCCGTTCCTTTCAGAGCATCCGAGGAGGTTGGTCTCTTAGCTACTCTTTTCTGTAAAGGAAATTCTCTGTATGTCTGTGCATTTACAGTATCGATATCCATATCACCTTCTGGTTTCAAGTTTCCAGTTTGTCTTTTAATCTCTGGACGCTGTGCAGTATATCCCTTGTAATCTAAAGCGCTTGTTGTTGAATCATCTATAGGTTCATCTGATCTAAAGGCTTCTGTGTCGCGTTTATAATTCTTTCTTTTGGGAACCGTTAGACCTTGAAAATCTTGCTTGTTCGTACTTAAAGAATCCATAGTTTCTGCTGGTGGTTTATATTCTTCGCGCTGTCTACCTTGTTTGGGTTGTAGAGGATGTTCCACGTAAGTATTCTTGTAACCGGTGTGGGTATCAAGGGGATCTGTTGATTTTAATTCAGACTCCTTTGGTTTAAAACCCTTCCTTACTTCACCTTTTAAAGGAGGGTAATCCTGTTTGCTTGTTGTTATTCCATCCATTTTGCCATCAGGTGGTAAATACTGAGAATTCTGTGTCAACTTTTCAGGGCGTTTGGCATCCCAGGCTGGATAATCCTTTATGTAATTCGTATCCTTTTCCACCTCTCCCTCTCCACGAAGAGCTTTTGATGAACTTGGTTTCTTGACTATTTGCTTTTGAATTGGGTGTTCCTTGTAATTGCTTCTGTTAACTGTGTCCAGGTCGATTTTTCCTTCTGGTTTAGTGTATTCCTCTGGTTTACGCGCGATGCGGCGCTCCACTGGGTGACTTTTGTAATCTGTACCTGCTGTAGTAGTACTTTCAAAATCGGCATTTGATTTAAAGGGCTCTGTATCCCTTTTATAGCTTTCACGTTTTGGTACGACATCTCCTCGAAAATCGTTCTTTGCTGTACTGGTAGCATCAAACTTCTCGGGTGGTGGTACGTGAATTTTTCGCTGTTTTGGTTTTCGGGGTTGTACAGGATGGGCAACGTAAACGTTCTTATAACCAGTGTTACCGTCGAAAGGATCTTCGGATTTGATTGGTTTTTGACTGGGTTTGAAACTCGTCCGTGGTGGATTGCCTTTAGCTATGAAATCTTGTTTGGCAGTTGTCTCCGTGCTAAATTTTTCTGTTGGTGGATCCCATTTCCGACGAGGCTTCTTGAGGGGCATGTTTTCAACTGAAATACAAAGACATGTAAAAATAATTACAAATTATTTAAAACTGTCTAACAATTCGCGTTTATGGTGCAGAAATATATATCTGTAAAGGGTTGTGTTATCTGTACAGCATGACGCACATGATCGTAACTGTTTAAAGGGGGAGGGGGGATGTCAGTTTCCTTATACTCCCACCACTAACACTAAATTCCTTGCCATCATATTGCCAAGCAAGTTGTACGCTCGAAAATATATTTTTCTATGTGAAATTATCTTCGAAAGGCAAAAAGCCTATACCATGAGATGTATGTAAGATGAATACTTACCACTAACGAGAGTTGACATGTTGGTAACACTGATGAATATGTACGTTTAATAAACCTGCAATAAATAAATAAATAAATAAATTGCACCCAACTATCATGTATTACTCAAATATGTTAGCGCTACATGTATATGAGCTTCACAGATAACTTGGAAGTGGTATCAGATGTTCTAAATAGAGTATCGGTAAACTCACTTAATTACCATAAATCTATATAACCTTCGAGCTTTGTAAGTATAATTTGAAGTGAAGTAAATTTGATATTTAAATACTGGATTATTCTACTTTTCCCTGATCTTTTTAATGGCTATTCTGGTAGTTTCTCGAACTAGTATTCAGTATGATTAATATATATTATTACACCATTCCGGCTTACCTTAAACCAGACTGTTAGGAATTCCAGTTAATATGCTCTTGAATTTCTAGAATTAAAGCTATATGTTACTCCTCCCACCTGAAAGACAACGAAAAGCGACATGACTAATGGGAACATTTGAAATATTGAAAATGTTATTGCGAGGGTTTTTTCTGTTTTAGTTTTTATAAGAAACACGTTGCATAATTCCTTAATATCATATGTTAGGTTTGTTGAACTGTTTCAAAGACAAAAGTATTTTAATTATGCAAACTTCCCAAATGAGGAAGGGGTATCGGATGTTTTAGTTTACGCATACTCCGTGAGTCTGTCTCGTAAACAACATGCGCCAACGCGTACCGCTAGTTGCGTTTATAAATCTATTCAAAACATAAAGAATAAAGACCGAACCCCGAAGCAAATTGATACATATACCTTGAGCAGTATCCTAAAAAAAAAAATTTCGGAATGATTTCAGACCGAACTTAGTAAATATAGTTGAAATATACATTGATATAAATCGAAATATATTCTTGGTCGATAGATGAGCAGTGGCTTGTACAGCCAAGCAACCACCGGAGTTAAAATCATTGCATAACCAAAGTTACAATTTTACATTGCTGGTTCAGTTGACATAATCACACGTCTTAGTTAAATGCTGTTGATAGAATTCACACTTAACGATTATATCTATTAAATAAATAACTCTAGCATCCAACATCCCACCCTGGTTGTCATAGTCACGTCTGTATACAAAATACTTGTCTCGACATCAATGGTTTCCATTTAAAATCTATTTTCATGTAGTTATGACTGTTGTTAGTTTCATTGATGTAAATATTATAATAGACATGTTATGGACTCACGGGACCCGTACAAGAATAACCTAGGAACGGGGGGGGGGGGCAGTGTAAGCAAGATACGTAAAATTTGAATTAATAAATTTCATACTGTATAGAAACGGTTCAAAGATATACCGTTTAGAAACCCCAAATATGGGGATCAAACGGCCTCTTTAAGCAGACTGGGATAATCTGTTTATGTGGATCGATGAAGTTTCTATTTCTGATGTCTTCATTATACCTACCTGACTTAACGTCATGGCAGATTTTATTTAAGTTGTGCATTAAGCGATACGATTTTTACCAGAATTTAAAAACCACCCTCCAGATAGCTACTCACTATATAGTTGCACTAGGGAGTTTAAATTAGATTGTATGTCATTTTTGAGACGCATCAAAAATCCATTGGTGAGAAGTATTAACTTCAAATTTTCAAGGCAGACACGGTGGCTAAGTGGGTAAGACGCTGGCTCGCTAGGCTGGAGGTCGCGTGTTCGATCCCTGCATTGACCGAGAAAGTTAATTAGGATTTTCCGACGTGGCTTCCCCTAGTCAGTGGTGCAGGACGGAGGGCCTGACAAGGACAACTGTCTAATCGTTCGGATATGAAGAAAAACCGAGGTCCCGTGAATACATTGGTGTTAACGTAAAAGATCCCTTGGCAGTTGGAATTCGATGTAAGAGTAGGCCATATTGCCGCTGCCTGGGCAAAAGTTCCCTCAAAGACTAAGAAGGATTTCGGGGTGGTCTTTGGTTATTTTAAAGATGAAATTATTCAAAACTAATTGCATTTATTTTGTTGTTCATAATGATAATGCCTCTTTAATATCGCAGTAGACAGATAATGGGAACGTCATTTTAAGAATTTCCGGTTCAGTCGCCTGATAAATGACACGAATGATACGATCGCGTGTCAAATGTCGTTCCGATCACTAGCACAATTATTCTATTACTAACATCTTTGTCCTGCTGTGTTCTCGTGTTCTGCTGTCATGGCATTAATCAAATCATAACAATCTATGATCAAATTATGGAAATTATTTTTGTCAACATTTATTTCTCTCTTGGTTTTTCTTCTATTAAATAAATACCGATACAACAGATAAATATTTTAGGTTTTTTAAGGCCCCGTCACGTGATTATTATTTGAAACATGTAGTTCGTGACAGGAGTGGTTAAATTATCGGTCAATGAATCGATCCACTGACACAAAACAGATCGATTTTATGTGATGGATAAAAAATATTGTCTAACACCTTAAAACTGTATAGGTAGGCTAATGTTTGTGGCCGAGAAATCAGTGTTAACTGTGACAAGTCTTACTTTTATTCGAAGTTTAGTTTAGACGTTTGGTTTCATAGTTATTATTAGGTACATCCTTCAAAACATCAGGATTTGACATGTATATATTAATATAATAGTATGAATAATAAAAATAAACTTCCGTGGATTTTTTTTAGATAGCGTTTAGACCGATAATGGTCACGTTGTGATTATATAGAATTAGACTCCTAAAATCCCTTTACATGGAACTGGTAAGCAAATGCACCTAGATATCTTGGAATTACAATTTGCAATCACAGCAAATAAGAGAATTGTCCCTAACTCATTTTTTTTCCCCTAGACATGGCCGTCATGGAAACTTGGGGTGAGAGATTCACCTAACTCATCAACACACCTAGATATGAGAGCTTGGTTTATCTGGAAATCATGATCTATAAAGGCTGATTTACCTGTCTTGTAATCCGAATCTTGCTCAATCTTTCAATCTTTGTTTCCAAATTAAGAATAAAAAAAATACAATTCGGCTTATTATATGAGATGATGTTTACAAAACAATGACCACAATCTGACAAGTCAATTCTTATATTCCACACGAAAATTGAATTGGAGCGTTACACAACCCGAAAGGGCACACATTGCTTCGTTGACTCCATATTATACACTGTGCAAACCCGCAACAGATAAAAACTATCATCACTTTATTGTAGTTAAACCACTACGCATAAAGCACTACACCGACATTAAGTTGTAAAAGCTTTCGATAGATCTACCACGCTATAATTAAATATTTAATGAAATTGTTAGAGAATCAGATTAACTCGTCCTTAAAGCAAATTCATAGACTGTCTATTGTATCGAGATTCGCAAAATCTTATTACCAGCATGACTGGTGACCAATGTATTAGGATGGACTTTATAAAAAATATCATACATAATCCTTTATCAATGGCGCTACCAGAATATATCAATAACATAATTTCCGCCACCATATAGGCTATAAAATACAGATCGCGGAATTAATTTGATTTAATCTGGAGAACGTGAGAAGCAATGGGAATATGCTTTATTCACGGTGATTAAAATATATTTTATTATACTACAATAATCTCTTTTCGTTCAGAAATTGGCCCATGTTGAAGGTGCAATATGTAAGAGCTAAATCTGCCTATTACAGGTTTTTATTTTGGCTTCAAATGTTATATAAATTACTATTAAGACATTTATTCACATGACAAGCCTATAATCAACTCTCTAGAACATCGGATTGAAATCCGATCGCCATTTAATGATTTAATTTAAAAATGGAGAAGCGCGACTAAAGCTATTTTTAGTCCATCTCCCCCTTTCTCTTTTTTCCCCTTTTGCATGGCGATCTTTGTTGACTTTTTGGTGTAGAATTGAAGAAAAGGGTTTGAATATACATTTTCTGCCAGGTTTTGGCGAATATTCATGATTTTCAGGCGGAAGGATACAAGAGTTAGGAGGTTGGTTAGGTTGAAATGTAGGGGGGGAAATTGCATTTTTACTTGTCTCTACTTCCAGCTTGTGTATCTCAAGTTTTTCATGATAAACCTCACACATGCGTTTGGTCAAGATGTTGCCACATGTTGCTCCATCTGTGGTAGAAAGCGTTCTACCCAACGAACATTTGGGAAAGAGTTGGAGCCGGTCTAAGAGACAGGAATTAAAGTCAATGGGGAAATCATTGGTGATCTATGGCCGTACGCACAGTCGTGTTATTGGGTTATGCTAAGCGTTATAGTCTCGGATGCCCTAGTAACTACGGACGCCCAGAACCGCCTCCATATAGTCTGAATGATAGAAACTAGATAAGGGTGAGATTTTATATATAGCTTTAAAGGAGCTAAATCGCTAATATTCGGGACCTAGAAATTGACACAAATGGGTCACAACGCTTATAATAATGTAATATTAATATGAGTGTATGTAAACTGTTTTTACCCTAATTTCAAATCAGTTATATTCGGCGAAATAAGCGAGAAGTCTCAATCGAATGTGAATCTCTTGCGTCTGGTTATTCCAGTCTACACCGGTATTATTTATTGTACATGCTCCCCAGCTAAGAATATTGCGTAACCGTTTGCCATGATTTGTGGGATATGTCTAGAATCTTCTTTGAGTCATTTGTTGCATTATGGCGCTGAAACGCATTCAAGTAAAATGTTTATTTTGTCTTAAATATTGG